ACAATTTATATACCGCCGAAGGCGGTCGTAGGTGTGGGTACAAAGTGGTGTCTACGGCGGACTGGGCGCACCCAGGATCGGATACAGAGCATGCATAGCAGCACGATAACAAAGAAACCCCTCAGCCTGGGTCCCAGGGAACCAGCGAGGTCTTGGTGAAGGCATCCGTCTCCGTGAGGAACGCCGCGAGCTTCTGTCGAGCGTGTTTGGAGGCGAAAAGCCGGTTGAGGCAAATAGGATGGGCAGGGTTGCCGAGATGGTGGCGACTGTGGGTGTAAAGCGGGCAGTGGACGAGCAGATGCTCGCGTGTCTGCAGGTTAGTGGTGCGGCACTGGCACTGTGTGGACTCTTCTGCCACGAAGCGATGGTAATAGCTACCGACGTGACCATGCCCCATGAGCAGCTGGACAAGTCGGCACTCGACAGTACGAGGGTCTTCGTTCTTCTTGAAGTAACGATGCAGCGTTAATTTAGGCTCGGTCGTGACTGCTGCACGGAATTCGGATGGATGTGCGTCTCGACGAAAGTCACGCCTCCACTTATGAAGGGCTCTTATGCGCGCAGTTCCCTTCGCCCACACCAGTGAAGGTGGATGATTGGCTGGGGAGGGAGCACCGTGCTTCGCCAGACGGTCGACGACTTCATTGCCCAGAAAGCCAGCATGACCAGGGATCCACACGATTTCCACGCGCAGATCCGGTCGGCTTGCAAGCATCTCGGTTACCTTCCGATAGAAGAGGAGGGAGTGCAATTGGCAATCGTGAGGGTGGAGATCGAGAATCGACTCCACCGCTGCGCGATTATCCGAGGCAAAGACCACACAAGTTACGTGTGGCCGGGTACGAAGCAGACGTGAGACATTCTCCGCCGCCGCGGCGAGGGCGAACATCTCAGCGTCGAACACCTCAGACTGACGTCCAAGGCCCCAGGATCGCTCGAGCAGAAGAGTTCCGGCCAGAAACACGCACGCACCTGCGCCCGCTCTAGGGACCCGGTTATGCTTGAGTCGCGATCCATCGGTGTACGCCCACATCCAGGAGGGGTGGGTGGCAAAAGCGTCCAGCTTGGGCCGGAGCACTTCGGCGACGAAGGTTTTTGAAGCACCTTTGAGGGGTGCTGGGACGAGGACGCGGATGCGATCGCCCCACTTGTGGTATGTCTCCCATGGAGCCGCGTAGTAGGGGATAACGGGGACGACGTCTGGAGTCGTTCTCCTCGCTAGTTGGTGGATGATTGTCAACGGGCGCCTGGCCCGGGAGATGACGCGAATAGGGATTGGGTACGGCTCGGGGACCGCAGTGATGGGCCAAGGATGAGGCATCCTGGCGAGTACCTGTGAGGTAGAAGGGAGTGTGTGTAAGCGGACGGCGGCACGATCGCAGATACGATTCAGTTGCCAGCGCATGGGCAAGATACTGCCCAGGTGGTGCATCGCATCCACGGGCGAAGTGCGAAATGCCCCCAAGAACCAGCGTAAACACTTGTTCTGGGCGAGCTGTAACGGCCGAATGAGCGTAGCTTGGCGGAAGTCATGGAAATAGACCGGTGCCCCGAAGGTGAGCACCGACAGAATATTGGAAAGATAGATAGTGCGAGCAGCCTTGACAGACATGCCACGAACGGTGTTGGCCAGCATGCGGAACGCTTGGACCCGAGAAAGAGCACGCGTCGTCATGACACGCACATGGTGACGGAATGTGAGGCGAGGGTCGAGCCAGAACCCAAGCCAACGGATGTATGGGCGAGCAGGAACGACGAACTCGTCCCGCTCCCCAGAAAAGAGGGTGATCACCGGCAAGCGCACACGATGTAGAGGGAGATGAGGGAAGTGGATGCCCTCAGTCTTGGCAGCCCCCACACGGAGACCGAGAAGACCGAGAGTGTGGTTCACGACGGGGACAGCCCGGACTGCGAAGTCCGTGGACATGTCGAGGTTGAGACCCTCCGCAAGCAACCCGATATCATCAACGTAGCCCTTGAGGCAGACGTTGGGGTCGTTGCGGAACAGATTGAATACGGGAAAAGAATAAATGGTGGAGAGGACCGGCGATACCGGCGATCCCTGAGGGATGCCGACTCCCGAAATTGGTGCCGAGTCAGCCAGCTCCTCGCCAATGCGAATGCGAACCGACCGACCAGTGAGAAAAGACTGCACCCAATCACAGATTGGGGCAGGGAATCCAAGAATGCGAAGAGAATGGAAAAGCCGCTCATGGCGGATGGAATCATAGTAGCCTTCGACATCGAGGGCCAGAAATGTAGCATCGCATCTTCGGTGCCAGACGCTTTGGACATCATGGACAAGGGACAAGCCCGCGTCGATGACCGAACTCTTATCCCGACCACCAAATTGGTTAGTGGGAAGGAGCTCGTACCGTCCGATCTCAAAAAGGAGCCTCTTAGCCACAACCTTTTCGATAAGTTTGCTGAGCGTCTCCATCAGAGCGATGGGACGATATGCTTTAGGGAGCGAGTAATCCTCGTCTAAAGGGCCCCTTGCGGAAATAATGCCCTGCCGGTAGGCGCACGTCGCAATCGCATCAAGGGCACGAGGTTTTATCCCCGTGTTACATCCCAGGCTGCACGCGTGCCACCTCTGGACATCCCAGTGCAAGCACCGGTGCTCATGACAAGCTTTCAGCCAAAGGTTGTTTGCCATACCGTGACGCGGTATCAACTTATGCAGGTACACCTCGTCTTTCACGAGGACCCACCGACGGAGGATTTAGACCTCTCGAGCCAGGGCAGAGGTTCTCCCCCTGCCCTGCTACGGCTCGGCGATAGCCCCAGGGCGCCACCCCCAGGATCGCTTTCCCGTGCCACGACACCCGGTTCGCATATGCCTATGTAGCGCCAGTAACCCAGCTGCGAACTCCCTTCACCAAGGGGAGACTACACGTAGGCGCGGATCCCCGTAATAAGTGTTCGTGATCTCCGTCTCGCCAGGGACGCTACCGGGCTAGGAGTCGCAGCATGACACTGCCCCAGAGTTTGGTTTATCCTGACTAACGTCCCATGCCCAGAGGACACAGGAGGGGGGTGGCCTGTCCTTTCGGTCGGCTTGTTATCACCCAATGCCCCCTCTTATCGACCTCTATCCTTTCGGACCCTTTTGGGTGGCTACTCCGAAGAGTAGTCCTTGAGGAGAGCGCACTCGCCAAAGGCGAGAACTTGCACTGCAGCGCCGGTAGTCCAGCTGCGAACTCCCTTCACCAAGGGGAGACTGCAATGCCGTTCGGCGCTAAACATCTGCACCCCCCATAGGTGCCGATGCAAAAGTGACAGGAAGGCGGCCAGCATGCCCAGCCATTAAGTCCCTTCGCCAAGGGGACACCCCCAGTCTGTTCGTTAGCACAATCCAGCAACGATAAGAGAGCGACGCAGCTGCCAGCATGCCCAGCACTACGCTCCTTTGCCAAGGGAGCACCACGCTACCCCCCACCGGCCAAACTGAGCGGCGAGACCCCCCGAAGAAAGTGAAGAGCGCAGGAAAGTGGAGGCAGCCCGAAAGACGATGTGAGATGGCCGTATTGGCAATCTGCATACGAGAAAGATGATGCAGTAAAAATAGTCTTCACCTCCTCCACTGCAGATCGAGCTATACTTAAAGAGATAGTAGCGGTCGGAGAGCCTGCTTAAAAAAACAAGAACGAGCCTGCGCGGACGCAACATGGATCCCGCTGAGACATGATGGCCCGTATAGGTTCAAAAGCTTCGAATAGCAAACGTCACTGTTGCCATCTCCACCAGCGTTTTTCAGACGAGTCGCCAATACGACTCGAGCTAGACGCATCGCGAAAGTACGGAAAGGACGGTATCGAGATTCCCCGCCCTTCCCTCCTTTCTCTCTCCTCCCATTCCTCATCGTCTAGGTATCGGTCTATAGCACGCTCTTCCAAGCGTCCTTCCGCACTTCCGCCAACACGTCGCTGTTTCGGCATGTCTAGTGTACTCTCGAACGACTTGGACTTTGACTTGAGCTCGCCGCTCTCGTCAGGATCGTCTACGTCTGCGACGGCAACGTACGCTCTTGCGACACGCCAGTCTGCCTCCTTCGTCAAGACTTGGAAGCGCTTCTCCGCTCGCTCGCGGGCGCGCCGAGCCTCGCGGACTGCGACCTCCACGGAACCGGCGCTGTCAGACAATGGGTCGTGAATATCTATGCCACTCGCTGACGGGGGAAGATTGAGATATGTGCGGGTATGTAGGAGATGTGGAGTGGTGCGGAGAGTGCTAGGGGGGAGGCCGTTCAGACGGCACAGTATTCGACCCTGCAGCACATGCAGTTAGAAGAGGCCATTCACTACCCATGGAGACATCACGTACATCTACACGAAAATGCAGTGCGATTCCGACTAGCGTGTCATTGGGTTTCAGGTAGTATCGATGAGGGCTGGATGGTGTCAGAGCGGCGACTGCCTGTGACCCTGCTTCGACGTTCTCCTTTACCCCATCATGACTTGATCCATCAAGAGGTGATGCCGCTGAGTCAGAACCACTATCAGTATAGGCCGGGGGAGGCATGCTAGGGGCTGGCGAGCCCGACTCCGCACTGCAAGAGTCGTCCAGTTCGTCTGGGTCATCATCATCCAATACGAAGACGTCCTCATCTCGTATTGCACCGTCAACATTCACAGGGATGGCCTGTTTATCTCTTCCTGTTTGAAGTTTCGCCTTGCTCGCACTGACTGCATCCACTCCGCCCAAACAGTGGAGACATGGGTTGTACCTCGCCAAACGGGGATTCCTGCTGATACATGTGGGGCATATTGGTCTATTGCAGCAACGAGTGAGGAAAACGTCATCGGAGGCTAAATTGTTTCCCCCGAAAGCCTTGTTCATCGACCTGCGAGGAGGTAGCGAAGAGGAACAAGCGAGGCAGAGAAAGGTCGAGCGATCCAAGCCCGACATTGACATGACGTAGGACGGGTTGCAGGTGGGTAATACAAGCGAAAGCAGAAAGAGCAGCCACAGCAAGGGGGGTTGAATGGAAGTGCGCGGATAGAAGTACTGTGAAAGTGAACTCGTCGGCAATACTTATTGCGGATAGCTGCCGCGAGGGCGTTGATCATGTGATTTTAACTGTCTGAGGCAGACGAAAGGGCCCTTTAGCAAACATCACCGCAGACATGAAGCGATTTGCGCATGTGGCAAATGCTTAGCAAATGTCGACAGATTTTTTGCCTTTGTGATCTCAATTTGCTACGGTTCCTTCCCACATTCCGTATTAAGTATTTGCATATAATATGTTGGAGGCAGAAATTTAATATCATATATTTAAGAAATGACACCATTTTCAAACTCACCAAATACATTTAGAATTTGAGTGCTGTTGAATGTAATTATACATTTTTGAATTTCAAACTATGACATGTATAAAATATCCAGTAGCAGATGAAGGTGTGATTATGCCTACATTCTACTTCCCTACTGAAGTCATTCTAGCCAAGATTACTAGAATGAAAGTCATTCACCGTAATTACACCTTCATCTGCTACTGGATATTTTATACATGTTATAGTTTGAAATTCAAAATGTATGATTACATTCAACAGTGCTCAAATTCTAAATGTATTTGGTGAGTTTGAAAATGGTGTCATTTCTTAAAATATATGATTTTTAATTTCTGCCTCTAACATATTATTATGCAAATACTTAATATGGAATGTGGGAAGGAACTGTAGCAAATTGAGATCACAAAGGCAAAAAACCTATCGACATTTGCTAAGCATTTGTCACATGCGCAAATTGCTTCATGTCTGCAGTGCATACTAACGCCTTGCTTTCTGTTCTCTTGCAGTGGACCGGTTCGTATGTTGAGAGATACGGCCACGGCCATACTTTACAGCGAAGACACCTCGTGGCGAACGTGAGGCTACCTTTTCCGGTATGCTCTCCTAACGGCAGGGCAACGCTCAGAAGCATTCTACAGGAGGCGTCTCTTCTGTAAAAGGTCTTTCATCCGTTCTGCTGCGCCCTGAGGCTGTCCCAGTATATCGCATCCTCAGAAGCTGCACCGTAACTTGCCCCATTGACTTTCTCATCATGCTCATCGGCTCTTTGAGCGCGTTGATTGCGTTGATTGCGAGCAGTTCAATCTCTATTTCAGCAATCACTGTCTGCGACATACAAGGCACATCCTTTCGATCCCCTCTAGCTGGCCAGATGGTGGAAGATGTCATTGGCTTTGTAACGGCTAAGGTACGCGCTCCTTGGTGTTGTTTTATTGGTGTTGTTAGCCGTAATAAGTCCTCCATCGCACCTGCATTTGCAGGTGCGATGGGCGTGAGAGCATTATGAGCATTATCATTCGCGATTTCACCTACTCTGTGTGGGGACCTTGTGACATGCTTGCATGAACTCGTCATCATACTCGTGTGAATGTAACAATTCTGTCTCAGGATAAATATGGCGCTTGGATTGTGGGCGAACCCTCCCAAGACCCTCGAGTGTCCAATGGGCTACGCATATATGGTTCGACCCCCCTGAGGAATGTGAAAGTAGAAGATGCTATCTCGCTCTCGGGTCGCGTCACGGAATACCGGCCAAAGTACAGCCCAAACGACCTGTTCCTGACCGAGCTCGACCTGATCCGCGACATCAACATCCTCTCACACGGCAACGAAATCACGCCAGTCCTGCTCGGGAAAGAGCGCATCCCACCTATTGGCCAGCTTTCAGCTTCTGATGATGGACCAGACGGCTGGTTGTCGATCCCAAATAACATGACTCTACTCGAGTCAGTAAATGCGACTTTGCAGCCGGACCTGTACGGCCTTGATTTTTGGAAGAGTTTGGAGGGTCAGCTGGTGACGGTGCCAAAGCCTGTGGCAGCGAACTTCCCTGACAGATTCGGTTCGATCTGGATCTATGGAGACTGGCCTGTCGACGGAAAGAATACGAGGGGCGGTCTGTCCTTGACCTCGTCTGGTCATTTTCTTCAATCATCATACAAAAGCTCAGCTGAACGTCGCGATATTTTAGACTTCGGTGACGCACCTGATGCGCACCCTGGGGCTATTCTGCTCGGATATCCTCTAGACGACACGAACCTTCCACGGACACAGATGGGAACGGCCCTCAGCAATGTTACAGGTGTAGTTACATATCAGGTGCGCCAAATCAATCCCAATGGTAAGTATATGCGCCCGACGTCCGTTGTACTGCTTAGTACGGCAACTATTATATCCTGCCTCTCACTGCGCCGAGTGTTCTCGGTACGCCAAATGAGACAGTGTCTCCGTCTTCACTGATATCCGAAGACAACGCGTGCTCTCTGACTATCGGAGATTACAACGTGGGTGGCTAGCGTCTTAAAAAGTGCGATGACGCTAGCTGATATGTGGTAGGTGGAGAATATGGGACCGCGTTCGCACCATCTCCAGACCATTGCGATGCACATCGCCAACTACCTCAGCTCCCCCGATATAATGTTCTTGCAGGAAATTCAAGACGATTCTGGCACGAAGGACGATGGGACGGTCTCGGCTAACAAGACCCTGAGCAGACTAACCAGTGCTATCGCGTCTGCGACCCACGACGAAGTGCATTATAAGTTCACCAACGTCGAACCGGAGGATAATGTGGACGGCGGGCAACCAGGTGGGAACATACGAGTCGCGTACTTGTGAGTGGGTGTATCTTGCACACTGCTGCTGACGTCGACGGATCTCCTCTCTAGATGGCGCCCAGAAAAGGTCTCACTTGTCCCTGGGTCTCCTGTAGGGAATGCGACCGAGGCGACGGAAGTTGTGTTAGACGACAAAGGGCAGCTTACTCTTAGGTATATACTTCAGTTATCTTGTCCGGTCGATATGATATGGCTGACTACTGCACTTCCCAGTCGGAATCCGGGACGCATAGATCCAAGAAATGCCGCCTGGGATGGAGCACGCAAGCCGATTGCAGCTGTATGGCAGACGACGACCGGCGAGCGATTTTACACGGTCAATGTTCATTATAGTTCGAAGCGCGATAGCTCATCTGCTCAAGGCGATGCGCGCCCGCCGGTCAATGGCAAAAGCGACCAGCGGACCGCGCAAGTGAACGTGACTGCGGTCAGTACATGCCCTTGCTTCGTCAGTGCGCTTGTTGAACTCGTCAGCCATCGCAGACCTTTGTCCAATCTCTACTTGTGCAAGATCCAAATGCGCACATCATCGTCGGCGGTGATATGAATGAATTCATCCAGACAAGCTCCGTGTTCGCGCCATTTGAAGGCCTTCTTTCCGACGTCAACGAGGTTGCCGGTATATCCAAAGAGGAGCGCTACACATACGTATACGAGCAGCATGCGCAGGAGATCGACCATATATTCCTGTCGAAGGCGGTTGCTGTGCAAGAAGCAGAGGTCGAACATGTGCACTTGAATACGTGGGCGGATAGCAAGAGCGCACAGGCGAGCGACCACGACCCTACGGTGGCGAAGATCTGGGCGTGTGCAAGGGAGGAGGGAATGAAGAAAGGTAAGGTGCAGGACATCGCACCTTTATATCTCGCTGATGCACTTGCACTCCCAGGTCGTACGACAATGCTGGTGGCAATCTTGTCGCGCATGTTTACATCTTTTGCTGGGTGGTGGCCCCGTCGTTAAAGTCGAATTTATCAATCGATCTGCTGTTTTCTGTCATTCATTACCACTTCACACCAGACTTCAGTTCAATGTAATAGTAGCGTGATGTTTCAAATACTGATTTCAGCGAGTCCACAATAGCTAGCTGCTGATGTGTGGGTTATGAGCAGGCCTGGCTGGATGATTCATGTTCAACGTGACTCTTATCATAACAATGTCTGCTTTGAAAACCCACAGCGATAATGTTATATGCATCGGAAGATGCTTGCTTTAAGCTATGGATATCATTCCTATCGAGAGTCCACATGTGCTGCTGTAGGATCGCTTTGCGTGGTATCATCCGTAACGGTCCGTCTCTTGTTCCACTGTAGCCATTTGCTGAGATAATATAGTTCGATAACAATGTATGCCTCGTTAAAACGGTGATATACAGGGTTCCTTTCACACGTGCTCTGGTGGTCGTGTCCGCAACGCAAATTGGCAATAATTCACGCAATGTTCCCGTTTTGATGTGAATTATGAGAAATTCTAGATGTACGCAGCTTACTGAGATCAATGCATCTGGGAGAGCGGTGAGACGATGTTGTACGGCTTTCATGTCGTTGTAATCATCTGCGGCTGGACTGCTGGATGATGTTACGTGCCGTGACTGACGCGTCGGTCACCATCCACGTGACCGCGTTTCGTTCGCCGTGCGCCTGGGCTACAGCACATATAATAAAGAGGCTGTTACCATTCCAGCTGTTGTAGGCGATGAATGGCACCTCTGCCTGTGCAAATTAGGAGAGAACAGCCTTCGCCATCGCCTGTGCATCCGCGGAACAATAGCTATTCAAGAACGTTCGTGGCACGCCTAAAACAAACGGCTATAGCCTCCCATTGTCAAAAGCTCTGACTGCCGATCACCGCACTTTCCGCACCACCAATCTTGCTCCTAGCCTGACATGATCATGAGCGAAGATATTGAAAGGCAGCTTAGCAACTGCAACCCACCTCCTCCAGTAGATCGCTGTCCAAGTCTGGCAGCACCTCAGCCCGGTTCCCGTTCGATGGAATGATATTCCATCGCGTTGGGGCGTCCTGGACATAGAGACAGACATCCTCAGGCAGGTGCTGCCCGTGTTCTGCGTTGAACTCTTCCCTGAGCTGCCGCTCCTCTGCAGTAAGACATGGAGACTCAGAGCGTCGGCGAGATAACCAAAACACATCCACACACCATCAACCATCGCATCAAGCTCTGCCACCATGCGTTTGACGATGTGTTCCGCAGTGTCACGGTACTTCCGGCGGCGTACAAGCTCAAGCAACAGCTTGTTGTATGAATATTGGTAGGAGGTGAAACGATGGTATAGATCTTCGATAGTGATGAGGTGATGTTGCAGTAAGGCGAGATGCTCCGTGCTTTCATTCTGATAGCATATGCCGTTCATAAATGAGAAAATGAACGAAACGGCACACAAGGCACATACCTCAACTACCTGTTGACGCTCGAACATCTCAGACATGATTTCACCTAACTCATCCAGGTCAGTTAGCATTTGTCGATGTGTCTCAAGGTGCTCCTGTGCTTTTCGCTTTGAGACCAGCAGCTGCCCACTGTTCAAACAGAGACATTTACCACAACCCAAACGCTTTCTCACAAAGGTGGCTTACTGGGGAGCCTCAATAGCAGTGACGCATTCTTCTAGCTCCGCGATGATAGCGGGAAGCTCATTGGTATCTCGGTTCATTTCTGTGAGGAAGTGAGCCGATATGATCTAGAGAACGGCTCGATTCAGAAAAATAACCAGTACGAACGTTGCAGGTCGTCTTTGCCAAACTCCTCGCCAGCCTCATGTTCTCTAAGTGCGGCGGACATCTGGTCATAATGTGCGGCAAGGCTCTCGAGAAGGTCGGCCATCCTGGTAGAAACCGCCTCTTGCACTTTGCAGATGTCCTCAATAGAGGGAAGAGATATTCGGGCGGGTAAGGTGTTCTCAATGGCGGCGATGGTTTTCGAAAGTGACTCGGGATAATCGGAAGTGCGAGCGAAGATATCCTGCTCAATATTAGCGACCTGCATCCGTTACGAAAGCAACACTTCCTCCCTACTTCAAGCGCGTTCCGATCGCTCTCGATCGTGTCGAGTACATCTTCGACTGCGCGCTCGTCCACGAAATCACGAAGCGTCTTCCACGAGGTTCTGTCCTTAGTCTTGCCATTAGGGAGCGGCCGTGCGTTCTGTCTTATGTCGCGCAGCGTATCCGTGGGGCTCTGGCCAGGCCCTTGCTCTCCAAAGAGCGCATTATCGATGTGCTCCTCATCCGAATCGTGCTGGCTACCAAAGGGAGAGACGTCGGCAGATGAGGTTGAATGAAAGTCTGGAGGAACAACTTGGGAGCCTAGAGATTCGAGGATGCTGTCAAGGGAATCTGCCCTTTGGGAACGCAGAGAGTCCCACTCCTACAGATGACAGAATGAGCTCCACCATATAAGAGAGATCAGAGCGACATACTTCCGCCTGCTTCTCTAACTGCGACCGCTTCTGCTCGATGCTCTTCGCAACGCAAGCTGCCATCTAAAAGCGAAGTGTTCGTACACATTTCCTTCTCGCACATCGTGCCTGCATGTATGATGACCGCTTACCTTGAGTTGTTCCAATACTGCATCTGTGAACCATCTGACCTTAGCATCCAGTGCAAGAACGTCCATTGCTGTCTGGGAGGTAGTGGATGAAAGCATGCTTGCACGCGAACAAAGAGCCTCGCCATGTTGCAGGGCTTTCTTCGACTGCAAGGCTAGTGGGACCAAACGAGGCTGTCCGTCTGCAAGAGGAGAAGACTGCATGCTGAATCTTCACGATGATGAAGTTCGATGTAAAGCTAAGGCCTATAGCCTACAAACCCAAATAGGGACGAAGGGTAGAAAAAGTATGAGTCGGCCCAGGATCGAACTGAGGACCTTCTGTGAGCACATTATGTTAGACAGATGCGATAACCAACTACGCCACCGACCCAGTTAGTGCGGTTTTGCCCAAATATACTAAGTCACTTCAAATACATTTCAGCCACCGTGCCTGCCGCAGCTCGTTACGCCGTCACTTCGCTAGGATCCCTTAAACATGTCTCTGCTGGCCCCCATCATCTGTGACAATGGAACTGGATTCTCGAAAGTTGGGTGCGTCTAGGTTCACTTTCGACATCATTCGCTGCTCAAGAATGCCCCCAGCTTTGCCGGTAACTCTGATCCCTCATTGTGAGTGACATGCTTGTTTGTTGCTGGTACTGTGCTTCTGGTACTGACTGCTGGCGTAGTGTCTTCCCAACCGCCATCTGTACGCGCGGACCAGTGCAACAGTCGACACGATCTGGACCATCAGTACCTCCTCGACCAGGGAACCTCGCGTCAAAGCGCGGCGTAGAGGACCTTGACTTCTTCATAGGTGACGAAGCTCTCGCGAACGCGCAGACACCGGGCTATGGAGTATACTACCCCATTCGTCATGGTCAGATTGAGAATTGGGACCATATGGAGCGTTACTGGGAGCAGACCATCTTTAAATACCTTCGTGCGGAGCCCGAGGATCACTACTTCCTCCTGGTAAGTGCACTGATCTCAGGCCCATGAGATGGCTTCAGGGTATAACTAATTTACACATTGACTGTTGATCTAGACTGAGCCACCATTGAACCCTCCCGAGAACCGCGAGCAAACCGCTGAGATCTTCTTCGAGTCCTTCAACATCAAGGGTCTCTATATCGCCGTGCAGGCCGTGCTCGCGCTGGCTGCATCCTGGTCCTCGAACCGCGTCACGGATCGCACGCTCACCGGCACTGTCATTGATTCTGGCGACGGTGTCACACACGTCATCCCCTGCGCTGAAGGCTATATCATCGGCAGCGCGATTAAGCACATCCCCATCGCTGGGCGCGATATCACACAATTCGTGCTTAACCTCATGCGTGAGCGCGGTGAGATGGCTACCGTCCCGCCGGAGGAACAGCTTAAGGTTGCGAGCAAGGTGAAGGAGAATTACAGCTACGTGTGCCAGGACATCGTCAAGGAGTTCAGGAAGTACGACCAGGAACCGTATAAGTATTTCGAGAGATATGATGGGGAGTATACGGTGACTGGTCGGGTAAGTGCTGCCTTTGATGTCATGCATGGCTGTTTGCTGATGTATGCATGTCACGCAGAAATACTCGGTGGATGTTGGATACGAGCGATTCCTTGCTCCTGAAATCTTCTTTAACCCCGAGATCTATTCTTCGGACTTCCTGACGCCGCTGCCGGAGATTGTAGATGGTGTCATCCAGCAATCGCCCATTGATGTTCGTCGCGGTCTTTACAAGGTCAGCCTTCCGCATTGCCATTCCACAGAGGAACCAGCCCTGATGACCATTTCTGCAGAACATCGTCCTCTCAGGAGGTTCCACCATGTTCCAGCACTTTGGCCAGCGCCTTAAGCGGGACTTGAAGCAGCTCGTTGACCGCAGACTGGATGCGAGCGTCCTGGCGAGCGGTAGCCACATGAAGGTCAGTTTCTATCTAAAATCGCAATCGACGGGGTGTTGATGATATTGCTCAGTCTTCCGGAGTCGAGGTCGAAGTCATCTCTCACAAGCGTCAACGGTCAGTATGCGCATTATATATCCAGAACCGGGCTCTATGCTCAACACGGTATATACAGCTACGCAGTCTGGTTCGGTGGCTCATTGCTTGCATCTCTTGTAAGTTGGCCACGTCACTGCAAGCATTTCGGCACTCACCTCTCTTCTAGCCGGAGTTCTACTCTTCCTGCCACACAAAGGCGCAGTACGACGAGATCGGGCCCAGCATCTGCAGGCGGTACCAGATCTTCGGCAGTGCAACATAGACAGGACGCTCGTCAGAATATCACTTGTATCATATTACCGTGTAGTCTGCAGAAGACCGGAATGCGAAGGGCACTAGCACATTGCTAGGAAGACAGCAGGAATCATCAAGCCATCTACTTAGATCCGGAGAGGTCAATGAAGAGATGTAATGATAAAGTAAATCAGCTTGAACAGCTGCACTGGAATCCGAGGAGTTTCCTGTCGCCTAGGCTGCAGTACCTGCGCTCCTCCTTGATCTCCGCATCTAGTGTTGACTCGTCGCCTTGAAGGTCCTCTGCACCCCAGGGCTCGAATGGTTTGCAGGCCATCTGTTTATCTTGAGCGTGAGCATGCAGCAGCCACCTGAACATCGATTACGTGCCTGCAGCACCTTAGCGAGCAGATGCTTCCCGTCATCCACATCCCGTTCTACGTTTTTGATAACCTCTTCCAGGACCCATTGCCTCAGCACAAACCGCGGGTTTGCCTCCTTCATCGTGCGCTCCCTCTGCGCGTCCACGTCAGCCTCACGATCACCGTTCTGCAGCTCGGAACCCCGAGTCCATTCCTCGCGTTCGCCCTCGATACGTTCCCCATATAGCCGCAACCATGCGCGCAAGTCGTGAGTCGCCTTTTCGCGGTCGAGGTTCTGCGGCTCGCCTGAGAGCGCGAGGATGCTCGAGATTAGCGCATTGCGTGGGTCGTCTGTTATTGAGGGGCGGAAGAACGCCAGGCGACGGAAGCTGCCATGAAAGTCGAGCTTATGCTCGGACAGAAGGTCGAGCAGAGGACGGAAGAGTGTGGCTTCATCATCTTCTTGCAGACGTCGCAGGCCAAGGCGCTATGTGCAAAGACGCAGTCAGCTTTACGAGACGGTGAGACGGGCGCGAATGTAAGGCGGCCCACCTTGTGCATGAGCCGAGCATACTCTGCGGCGCACGTCTCCTGCGCGATGCGCACCATCTCGTCGTTCACGAGCTCCATGCCCTGTTTGCGCAATTCGTCCAGCTTCTCCTCTGGGACGTCGTCCGCCCACCCAGGAGGAACGGCCTTGCCGCGCTCAGCCTCTGCGCCGATGAGTGGGGACAGAGCGTTGAGGAGCGCACGGAGCGCATATATGCTGTGGGACCGTCAGGAAGGTGTGCATGAGAACAAAGCAGGCAGTACTGACATCGCGTTGGGTTGGAACTGGTGGAAGCACATCAGTATGGCGACAGCGGATCGATGACAAGGAATATGCGCACCTTATATGCGTACCGTCCTTCCCCGTCGTCGTGATTGCATATATGGAACGAGTCGAACACGTCCATGAAAGAATACGGGCCTGCATTACGTAGCTGGCGTTCAGTAAGAATGGTTCCGAAACAAGAAGCAACACGCACCGTAGTCAATCGTAAAGCCAAGAATGGAGACACTGCGACCTGATATCAGTCTTTCGACCGGACAGGGTATATTCGAAGACGCACTTGTCCGTATTGATCACTCCATGCATGAACCCGTATGCCTGCCACCCCGCCACCATCCGCGCATTGCGCCTCGCCACTTCCAATACCATCTCCCTCGCCCACGGGTTCCCCTCTTCCCCCTCTTCTCCCCTCCATTTTATCCCCTCCAGCTTCAACACCCTCCGCGCAACCCACTCTCCAAGCACCCTGAGAGCATCCAGGTGCGGTTCCTGCTGTCCGCTCCCGAGGAAAGGCGGATTGAGCGCCTCGAAGTTCCCGATACGCAGGAAAGAGGGAGCGACGCGGGCGAGGACGCATGCGCTTTCAGTGCGCTCGCGGTACACGGGAACTGCGGGGAGCGAGACGAGGGAAAGGGCGCGGGTTGTGGGGATGCCGAGGGCATGCATGGCTATGAGGCGCGTTAGCCGGACGGAGAGAAGTGAGAGGTAAGGGTACCTTCTGAGCACAGGAATTCACGAATGGAGGAGCGGAGGACGGCCAGTCCGTCCGCGAACCTCGAGAACGGTGTGCGACCTGCGCCTTTGAGCTGCAGCTCATAAAGGAGCTCAGGATCATCGGGATGAGGAGTAGTCACTGTTATGGACACCATAAGCTAACGATCATCATGCGACCGGAGAGTTTGGAGAGACTGACAGAGTGATATTGCCCGACCGTCACCCAGCTGTCCCGCCCACGTACCAAACTGGTGCCCGCTGTACCGCAACGACCAAGGCGCCCAATGTGTCTCCGGATCACCTTCCACATTCATCAACATAGCCTGGCCACCCAGCACGTCAATCAACTCCTGCCGCACCGCGACCTCCTCTTCCCTAGCAGAACTCGGTTCGACATCGTCGTCTAACGCAGAAACAAGTGAGGGTGTTCCGAGCATTGCAAATGCATCGCCCACGTCGAGATGTGGGACGCAGTCTCTCAGGGCCGTCCCGGCGAGCGCGACTAGCACCTGCGGCTGCTCTCTCTTCGCAGGATAGTATTTCTTCAGTCTGCCCGGTACAGGAGATGGTGCTGTAGGCCGCTCCTGCAGGGCTTCGCGCTCGATCAACCACTTCTCGATGTACGCTGCCTTGTCGGTGACAGGCTCGCCATCCTCGGGAGCTGCGATCTGGTACGGGAAAGGGATCGGACATGGCGCGACGTACGAGAAGTGTGCCTGTGGCTGCAACAAACGCGTCCGGCGAAGTATGCTAGGCCGCTCGGACAGCACTTGGCGGAACTCCGCGGTGGAGGAGACCTCAGGGTCTGGAGTGAGGTTGCGGGCGAGGACGTGCGTCGGAGGGGGCAGCGGCAAGGCAGAGATGGGTACGGAGTTGGGTCGCGACATTTTTCGAAGTGCAGGGACGATAGTGCTCATCCAGGCCGCACTGGAGCGACATGAGACGGATTATGTAGCAGAGACTGTGTAGGGAAATGGCGTTTGCTGGGGTCATGAGTACGCCTCCCGCTCCTCAAGATCCATCGTAAGCAGCACCTGACACCATGGAGAACGGATCACACGTCTATAAGGGGGCCATGCGCTCGCCTGCAGCGAATAAGAGACACCGCAAGACGCAAAGCCGCGCGATAATGAGGTGTGCAAGTCAAGACCTAAGGACGATTGATCTACGATCGCATATATACTGCCAGCGGTCAGCAAACCTGGCTAGAGCAAGCGTCATCATGTATCGTCACTCAGTATATCATTCCAGTCAAATGTTCCGACCACACTAGCCTATATATGTAGTCCCGACGAGCTATACGTAAGGAGTGCAACTCTACAGCCTCGCGTTCTTCGGCATGCTCCTCATCGCCTGCCGAACTCCCAAATCAGCAAGGACATCCTCGGCTGCATATCATTTAGTTATTCTGAGCCTCATTAAGCTGAAATGAAAGAAAAGCTTACCTCCACCGAGCAGCGCGTCGAACGCTATTGTACGGTGATACTGCAGATGAAAAATGTGTAAGTGAGTGTACGTACGGGAAATGAACTTTCGTCAGCAGCAACGTACGTGTTCGATGAACCGCCCCATGCCGGTCTGTGTAACTCCTCGTCCTCCGAATATTTGCACTGCATCCGTGGCGGTCTCCTGTGCGCTACGCGTGCTGTACATCTTCAGAAGTGCAATCGGTCTATAAAACTTATTGTCGGACTGGACATCCAACGAGGAGTACGGAATAACGTACCCTGCAAGCTTGTTCGCCTGCTCCTTGTAGGACTGCAATGGGGAAAAGATAATGAGCACCCGAAGTCTGTCTACGTACGAGGACCAGCTCGTTACCATGTTGTTCATCTGGTGTGTGATGTTCTCCAGCCAGCTCTGGATGCTTTCCACTCGGGCAATCATGCCAGCGAGCTTCGCCCGTACGACAGCCTGCGAGTTGAGTGGCTTGCCAAACGCCTTCCGCTGGGTTGTCCACCTAGAGTTACACACTTAGTGGACCACGAACGGAATGAAAGGATCGTCGGCGTACTTCAAGCATTCTTCAACGACACTCCTTTGGCTGCGCGCGGACGTGCAGCACATCACCCATCGCTCATGGTTGAAGTTACTGCGCATTCGCTCACATCGGCACTCAGCTAAGGAAAAACCAATATTGAAGCGTACCTGAGGATGACAAATATACCTCCACCCTCCTCGCCAAGCATGTTTTCCACAGGTACCTTTACGTTGTCGAATGTAACAAAGGAAGTACCTGCGGTCGGCGAATAGGCTGTCTTGATGGGCTTCGTCTCCACACCTTCTTGTCGCTCTACGAGAATCACGGTAAACCCGTCCTATTGTATGTGAGTTAATGTCATGTGCTTTTCGGTTGTCAGAGAGACCTACTTCGGTCTTGCAGCCAACGGTAAAGCTTGTATAACAACGTCACTAAGGTTGCACATAATGCCATCGCGGTGATACTTACTAATCTGCCCACCTGTTAACTCAAGCGTCAACTTCCAGACTGGAAGAGATTTAAAAACTAGATCACTCACATGCCATTCGTGATCCACTTCTTCGTTCCGTTGACGATCCAGTGCTTGCCATCCTCAGTCTTAGTTGCAGTCGTCTGTAAGCCGAACACGTCGCTACCTGCCTGCGCCTCCGATATCTGGACGAGGTCACATCAACAATTCAGCCTCAATCATGTCACGCGCACGTACCGCCAAGCAAATGAACTTCTTGCCACTCAGCACCTCAGGCACCACCCGTGCCTTCAGCTCCGGCGACCCGAAGTTGAGCACGGGCGGCAGCCCAATGACGCAGCCCGCATTCAGCCCGTCGCCGTACCCACGTGCACCACAGCGGCAGACCTCTTGCGAGATAATCAACTCGTGGAAATAGTCGAACTGCACGATGACATCAGTGATGCGGGCGGATGACGATTTAAGGAAAGTGACTTGCCTCTTCGGGCTTGACAAGACCATTCATGAGCGTGCGGCCCTTCAGATGCTTGCCTGGACCCATGCGCATCGCGTGTAACTCGAGCTCGCTGAGGAAGTCGCGAGACACGTCAGAGAGATATATGGGTCAATGAAAGGTTTGACTTACGCCATCTTGTCGAACACGAGCTGAGACGGACGTTTTCCATCTGCTTCACGGGCCTATCAAGATGACCTTTTGGTTAGAAGAAATGGAACAGATCGCGAAGTCAAGGGGTGTACCTGAGCATCCGGATAGACCACATCATCCATAAACTTGCGTACTGCCTTGTGAAACCGTCTATGACTCTGCAAAATGGATGGCGAGTCAATACAAAGCCGCTCATGGGCCCACACGCAATCTCTTCACGACGTTCGTTGACGTACCTCCGTGTAATACGGGCTGTGGTAGCCGTCAACGAGCCAGGTCGGCTCAGCGTACGGAACTTTGCTAATAGCACCATCATTGATAGTTGAAACTATCTGGGGCTCCTCTCCCTGGATGTATCCAATCTGCAGACGTTTGTATTGCGGACGTTCAAGGACCTCATGACGATGAAGGCTATAGAAGGCTTCCGTAGCATCCTCACCGGCTACGAAGCGTAAGAAAACCATCTTGCGTACGTGATACTAGAAAGACTTACGGATACCCTCCTCCAAGAGCACCGATGCACCTCCTGGGTGCATATTCCTGAAGCGTGTGACATCGTACACCTTTGAGTCTATGATGATCCACTACGCCAAGCTGAGTAAGAACGGTAGCATTCCCGAAGCATAGAATAGCTCTTACAAGGTTACTCTCCGTGTTATGCTGTTAAACGTATCAAGTAATGTACGACCCGGAAAGGGGTGACACGCGCACCTTCGCAACCTCCTCACGCGTGAACGACTTGAGTTCCTTCGATGCCATCTCGCGGACAAAATAGCTTGGTCACTAATAATGCTCCTATACAGCAGGAGGAACGATTGGCGATGAGATGAAGGGGGAGGGGAAGGCGTGTACAGCGACTGGGGAGGAGGATACACTCCAAGCCTTCAAGCCCAAGGGGATATACTGGACATAAGCGCCCGCCGCACGTTGCATTGGCTCGTGATTTCGATATGGGGAAGGGGCACGTGCTCAGTCTGCCCCATTGGCTCACACCAATCCGTTCAGCGCCTACTGAAAGCGACCAACTCAAACAGACGGAACACTCGAGCCTGCTACAATGTGTGATGAGAACGGCATATACTGGGTCGATCTGCTCTCGGAGGTTTTTCAATGTCACCTCTAGATGAAGATGTACGGATCGACGTACTCATCGCCCGACTAATCGCTCTGTTGCCTCCCACGAACTTAACACGTTTTAGACTTCAGCCCTTTCGCCGACACAATTACGGAGTTCGTCACTTTGTCGGTGCAGCATAGTATCATATGAATACAGTCTACCGTGAGCCTGTTGGATGGCTTGTCTCTTGCTCTCTCCATGTCATTTGACATACAGGAAAAGGACAAATGTCGAACCGGTGCCTCGTCACCGTCTCATTTCACTGTACGCGAGAACGCTAGTACGTACCTGAAGTCGCACGGTCATCAGATTCAGAAGTCTTCAAAGCCAAGGCGCGCGCCTCGCCTCTGCAATCCGAGACCCACTGGAACTCAGATCTTGCAGCCGAGACTAGCCGCCTCACCTTATAATTCTATCATACACACCTGTGATCGCATGCATTTCATCTGAAGCGCGAAGCACCTCGTCTTCGATAAACGCAATCACCAGAGAAACGCCGATGTGGTGTAGGTTCGGGTCGTCCGATCGTCATGCAGGGTGTTCTGACCCGTTGTCCATACGGTGAAGCAGCAGATCCCTGGGAGCCTTCGGACAATGACATCGTCCTCAACCTTCTCCAAGTGCGCAAGGAAAACAAGACCTGGCTACATCGCTGGGGTCAGGGCGAATCGCCGGTTCGGTATGATACTGCTTCTACCGAAGTTCACAGCCACCGGCGTCTTGTGGTCCATCCAGCGCTGTGTTGTGTCTCTCTGTTTATGCCACTCGAAGTCTGGGAACGAGTCATAGACAATCTCATTGGCGATTCTCAAACACTGTACAGATGTGCCCTGGTTTGCCGTACGTGGTACCCTCGGAGCCTCCACAACCTATACATTGCGATATCCATCTCCTCCCGCCGCAATTGGGACTATCTATCGGATCTGCTGCGGCGCGTACCTCGTCTGCGACAACAGTTCAAGACCGCCCGCCATCTGCAGATCTGCGACCGCTCAACATTCATGTCGCTCGCATCCACCCAGCTGTTCCCGTTTATTCTCGGAATGCATCTGAAGGCGCTGCGCACTTTGCGGCTCACCAATGGTACATGCGACCAGTCGTTCCCTCCAGGATTCTTCTTATACCTCGGACAGCTCGCTTCACTCACGGAGCTGACACTCAGCGCATATCACATCCATTCTGGGCACCTCACGCAGTTCGTTGTCGCATTCCCGCGGCTGGAGCGTCTTGTCCTGGAGGACATTCGCGTTTTGCACCCGGAGCTGCTGACCGATGTGAAGATCGCGACAGCCTCGTCTTTGCGTTCAATTGTGCTCCGGATCGAGAGGGGTGGTTACGACGAATGTATCTCTATGCACCATCTGATCAACTGGTTTATTCGCTTGCCATGGATCCGCACCATACAATCCGTGCAGATCAGGTTCAACGAGGACGTCTACGAGGAGCTCTACAATACTATTAGGCGGCGCGTGCGTCGCTGGCTCCAACAGCTCATTTATGCGCTCGACGAATCGCTCGTGCACTTGGAAGTGCCATGTATAGCTGAAGGTCGGCCATTTGCATGATACCAGCTACGAACTATGGCCTTATCGTTCCCTCTGAAACAGATCTACCATATGACCTGAAGATGAATGCAAAACTACGTTCTCTGCATGTCCGAGAGTACATCAGCGAGGCCGAATGCCGCAAAGCCGGCATGACGTTGTGGGGCACCATTGCACGCTTCCTGTCTCAAATTACCAGCCGCGAGATACGGCGTATCGCATTCGGCATCGACCTCGGATGGATCCGCGCGCCTGTCCACGCTGACCTCATGCACTTCCTCTCTGAGCTGGAAAAGTGGGACCGCGTTTTAATCGGTGAGGTCATCTCCCGAAAGAACTTCAAAGCCCTGGAGGACGTCACGATAAGGTGTTCCATCTGGTTCGGCCATGATGCAACCCCAGCGCATCTGGATACTGCGTGGAACGCAATCAATACCCAGATTTGGCGCATGTTCGCTGCATGGCATGAACGGGGTATTCTACACGTCCGATCATCGTATCCCCACCTCGAGGGCTGCTCCAGCCTCAGCGCGAACTCCCCTGGTGAGAGCTTCTGCTATTAATAGAGTCGATTCAAGTTGCTGAATAGCCACGACGAGAAGAGTATGAGGCGCTACTCAGCTCTTTCGAGCACGACGTGTCTCACCCGAACCGACTGCCCGTCCGGAAGGACCGGCCGCTCGACGTTCTATCGCGTCAGAACGAGGCATTCACGATCAGTGGTCCGGATAGCTGGGAGCCTCTGTTGCATTTTGACAGACGTCCACCGAGGCAGTTTCTGTACAGGTCGCACGGTGGCATGCAAGCACCGAGATGATACATCCGGCCTCCGTTACGGCTCGGACGATGAGATGCAAGACGAACTCTCATCTGTATCAGGTCTTGGTTTTCTCTTCACTAAATCACGTAATGATAGAGACGCTGTAGCTGCTGGCTGCATCAGTTTATTTACGCAAGCACACGAAACGTCTCACCTTGACGGGTTATTTTTAACCATAGGTCGCGAAGATGCAAACATATTTTGGTCGCATCACGCCCTGACTGCGGGATCATCATGCGCTCTTCCATTTGCCTTGGTCAGGCTCGCCACCATCTTCAGTGAGTTCTGTGTGCGATTGGGTATCATATATGCATCTTCAAGTCTTCTAATGTATGCGTACACTACTGTAACACGCGTCCGTGGCCGTCGTAACCTAGGCCCTCCACAATCAAACCATAACGTCATCGTGTCCGTCACATCTCTATGGGATTCACTACTTGCCGACGGTGATACCCATATCCCTCAACTGCCCGTTCTCAATCTCATAAATCCATCCGTGCACCAAGACATGCTTCCCCGATGCCCAGGCCTGCTGGAGCACCTCTGACTTTGTCAGGTTCTCGACTTGCATCCGCACGTTCGCCTCCTCCAGCTCCGACACGCTGCAGCCCGTCTGGCGCGCGTAGTCGGTGAGGGGCGCGAGCCAGCGCGCAAGCGGCGTGGTCGGATCGTCGGGCAGAGCCTGCGCGGCCGCGTGGCATGCTGCGGCGCCGCCGCAGTGCGTGTGCCCCACGAGGAGGATGTGTGTGACGCCGAGCTCCATGACGGCGTATGTGAGCACCGAGCTGATGTTGTCGTCGGATGGGAACACTTGACTGCGTGGGCCGTGCAGCACCCGGTCAGCCCGAATTTCAACCCAGCAGGTCAAATGACACGCACTTTGCAATGTTGCGGTGGACAAAGATGTCCCCCGGTTTGGACACGGTGAGGACTGAATCCGGCACGCGGGAATCGGCGCAGCCTATCCAAAGGACCTGTCCCAAAACGAGGTCAGTGAGAGTTCGCCGTGTTGTCGGTGTATGCGCGCTAAACCGAGATAGACTGAGATTGGGCGCCACAGGTCCTAATGCCACCGAACAGCGAACGCCGTTACCGTCAGCTGCGCTGTCTCCGTCTATCCTCCCCACCACCCCTCTGCCAGCTGTACGATGACTCCACGCTTTATGCCCGCGCGCCACACGAATTTCCCGCCGTAAATGCAGCGAAGACACGAACCTTGGGGGACTGGCCCTTCGCGCACCTCTCAAAGAAGCCCGGCTGGACTTTCTCGACATCCTCCGCCCACTGGGCATTGTTGGCGAGGAGGTGAGCGAGAACGGGGTGTTGTCCCATAACGAAAAGCGGTGGCGGCGGGGAGTTTGGGGTGGGAGTAGAGGGGAGTTTGGGGAGTTGTGCATAAGGTGGCAATTGCGAGTACTTATAGCGCCACGACACGTCACGCTGGCAATCGCACGAATGGCAGGCTGCAACCTAGCGATGTATCAGAACAGTTCCCGACAGCGTCCGACAAGCCCGATATGTGCTGTGCATCCAACTCTCGTCCAATTCGCTCCCAGTGGCAGGGCTCGCGTCTGTCACATGATCGGCGTTTTCTCTCCTTCCAAAGCCATTGGGGATAGACCGCTCTCATTCCACTGCATGGATGCTCTGAGTAGCATTATATATGCTTGGTTCTCGCATAAATATGGCACGATTGTGGTGACAGAGCAGGGAAGAGAGCGGTTTAGGAATAAAGGCGGCTGAGGCTGAGTTGCAAATCTAATCTGCTGCTACAGCCTCCGAGCATCCCGCGCGCGCTACGTCACTCCCAGGCAGGCAGGCGTCCAGGTCACACGGATCACTTCAGCGGCGTTGCGGTTCGATCCTGCCGCCGGGAATCTTTCCTCTCATCTGACCTGCATCTGTCTCCTCCGTGTACATTCCGCAGTGCTACTTGTATTCATCACCGTCTAAACTACATGTATACAGCAAAACCGCTCGTAGATAACGTGAGAGACACCGTACCGATTTGTATGACCCGTAAGAAGCCGCCCGTGATCTTATAGCCATCCGTAAGAGATACAGTCTCCAGGCCAACAGCGTCCAGCCACTGGCCCAGCCAGACGTCCTGACGACCTCCGGCAACACCAATCATTCCCTCCGAGCCGGTTCGCGCCTACGTCGGAGGTCGGAAGCATCTATCACTGTCCTCCGAGCCAGCGCAGTCGCCCAGCATGCCTCACGGGCCAGGCCCCACCGGGAGCTCCTCGACAATCTCACCTTTCTCGTCCTCCAGGTCTCCGTCCTTCTCCGATGGCGTGCATGACCTCACCACCGTCCCGCTCCGCTTCTCGGCCTCCACTGCCAGCTCGAGCTCCCGCTTCGCCTTCGCCGCATACAGGATGTCATCCAGCGTTATCGCAGAGCGTTCGCACATCCCACGGAAGATCCCGTCTGCAATATTGTACAGGTTCGCCGGCGTGTCAAACTCGGCGATGCCTCCCGCGTCCATCACGCATATGCGGTCATAGCCAATAATCGTGCGCAGCCGATCTGCAGTGAAGCATTGAACGATCAACTTGGATGACGCTTAAAGAACTCAGATACTCACGAGCGATGCACAAGATGGTCCTGTCCCGGAACTCTACTGCAATCGTGTCTTGGATCTTCCGATCCGTCTCATAGTCAACCGACGCTACACCACCAGCCCATCAGCACCCACAACCCATCATAACCTGCCAAGCCTACTACTCACCCGTCGCCTCGTCTAATATCAAGATCTTGGACTCCTTCACAAGCGCTCGCGCAAGCGAGACTAACGAACGCTGCACAGAAGGATCACGGGCGTCAATATCGCCACTCACTACAAATTTGGGCACGCCACTACAAATTCTCCTGCTCCCGGCCCAGAACGCGGTCACGAAGAGCCAATGGGAGAGAAAGGATACCAGGCGCAATATGTAGAATGGCGGAAGCAAGTGGCCAGATAGAGGGAGATAGAGATTTGATCTGCGAGATGGTACGCACCTGTCCGATCGACAGATTTCCGCCCTCGTCCTCGATCGGGCTGTCGAGCGTGAAGCGATTCATCGGCGTTGCACTTCCTTCTCCCGCATCGCTCGTTCCATCCATCGAGTAGTACGGCTCGCGGTCCTCAACAAGGTAGGCGCGCTTGAGCGCATCCCAAAGCCGGGCGTCATCGTGGTACCCAAAAGGATCGAGGTTGCTCCGCAGGGTTCCGGAGACTAAGTTAGAGTCAATAAGGGAACAAACAAACTTGACTGGTGTGGGATACTTACAGAGTAACTGTGGAGACACGGGGAAAGTCAGCACAATGCGGTATAACCTCGGAGAACTACTCACCGGATCCTGTGGGATGATAGCGAGTCCCTTCCGTAAGTCGTCCAAGCCAATCTTCGAGATGTCAACGCCATCGATAACGATGGAACCCGATGTCAGCTCGACAAGGCGGTACAGCGCTGTCATAATCGAACTCTTCCCAGCGCCGGTCCTGGATCATATCTTAACATCCGAAGCTGATTCAGAGGCAAGCTGCACAACTCACCGTCCAACGATGCCGACCTTCTCTCCTGGACGGATGGACATCGACAATCCATTGAGCACCGCAGGCAGCTCCGGACGGTACTTGAGCACGATCTCATTGAACTCAACGGTCCCCCTTGCAGGCCATGACGGTGGAGGCGTACGGTCAGGCAATTGATGCGGTGACTCCTGTTCCAGCTCGTCCGCGTAGTACACCTGAGGTCAACGCCATCAGCGGATCTCAAACAGTGCAACAAATCATGCGCTACTGACGATACGCTCGACACTGTTGAAATCGTTTTCCACCTCCGCGCTCTGGCGTACCAACCAACCGAACGCCTGCTGGACGCTGATGATGTAGCTCAGAACGACACCCATCTGCGAAGGCGAGATGGTGAATCTGCTGGCCACCGATAGGATGGCAACAACGAAAGTCAGTAAGATCCCGAGTAAGTCTAGCCGGATTCCAAGCCATCGCTGTCGCACAATTATGAGTGGACATTGCATGGAGCCAGAAGAGATTCGGCTAACCTGGTTTGTAATTGTCAACCAGTATGCACTGAACAAAGTTAACATGACATTAGAAAATGTATGCAATGTAAAGTGCTGCGTGAACGTACCGATTCTCGATATCGACCCTATCGCGATTTTCTGCCAAGAAGCGCTTAGTCTCGCCGTAGGCGCGAATCGTGGCCAAACCAGACAGTGACTCGGAAAAATGGCTATATAGTGAAGAACGGAGTATCGCATCTAGAGAAACCTATCAGTGGTGACAACTATCCACCAAAGAGCGGCTACGTCACCAAGTCGCTGAGATAAGGTATCAGTCAGCATTTGGGTACAAAGAGTCGATGATACCGGAGCTCACCTTCAATTCACGCGCACTCGCCCTGTAGAAGAAAGCCGCCCAAAGGTAGCAGCAGATGATCGCACCGACCGCGATGAGGAACCATGGCAGGACCACGCCGATGAGGATGACAGCACCAATGATATTCGCAAACGTTGCCATGAACATACGCAGTGCATCTAATGAGAAACTTGAGTGCATGTCACCATGACGAGACGAGGAGATGCGTACCTCCCAGCATGTTATCGATCGTGTCAATGTCCTTCGCAAAACGATTCATGATACGGCCAAGCGGCTGGCAGTGAAGCGCATGAGTGATCACGAACGACAGAGTAAATATGCGGAGATACTCGCAGTGGTCTCGAAGAAAGACATAGGCGCATACATCACCCTTACAAGAGCATCCTAAACAGATGGAGACGGTGAGAATTCCACAAACGCAAAAAGAAGTCATCCGACAACCTACATTATGAAGCTTCTTGGAGGCAATATACGTCAACAATGCGAACAGTGCTCCCATAAAGAAGAAGAAAACAGCCTGCCCGACACCAAGGCCGGCATAGATGCCCATCTACAATGAAGGTCAGAATGGCACTTGACACGATGCAACGACGATCACGCACATAGAACCCTGAACCGTACGGCCATTTTCTGCATAAATAAGTCAGCAACAGGACGCAACACAACATGCCAGCACGTACACCTCTTCCCAGTACACCAGCCTGCAAGCAACCGTGAGCTACACGCGCATACCAAAAACATGACAGAACACACCAATACGAAGACATGACCTGCGCGCCCTGCAACAACGCAATCGAAGCAATGAGCAGCGGAAGGATGATCCCTCCCTTCCCCGCCGCCAAATACCGCCTGTACACTCTCGCACTAACCGAACCCGTGTTCCTCTCTTCTGTCTGCATCATCGTCACGCCTGGCCCGCTCTTAGTCTCATGCCCACCCATTTCCTTCTCCTCGCCCACCTCCTCCTCCACCGCCTCCTCCTCTTCTTCCTCCTCCTCTTCCTTCGCCCCAAACTCCCTAGCGAACCTCGCAAACTCGCCCTCCGCCGCCATCAGCTCCGCATATGTGCCCGCCTCGCTGATGTGTCCATCAACGATCGTGTAGATGAAGTCTACCTGCGGGAGAAAGTGCAGCGCGTGCGTGACGAGCACGCGGGTGCGCCCCTGCGCCGCGCCGAGGAACACGTTCTGGAACACTGCGCGCCCGACGTGCGCGTCGAGCGCGCTGAACGGGTCGTCGTAGATCTGGATGTCCGCACCCACGTACAGCGCACGGCAGATATTGATCCGTTGCTTCTGCCCGCCCGAGAGCGAGATCCCGCGCTCGCCGACCTCGGTCAGGTCGCCATGCGGCAAAAGCTTCAGGTCCGTGTCCAGACACGCGTCATTCACCGCCTTCCAGTAGCGCTCCTCCTCGAACGGGCGCCCGAAACAAATGTTATCGCGCACGGTCGCGTTTTGGATCCATGCGCTCTGTGGGCAATACGCAATGGACCCGTTGAAAGTGACCGTCCCCGCCGTGCGCCGCATCTCGCCAATCATGCTCTCCAGAAGGGACGTCTTCCCAGAACCTACAGGTCCAACGATGGCGACAAGCTTGCCATGCGGAATCGTCAGACTAACGTCCTTCATGCCGAAGATCTTCTCGGGCAGCTTGTCTCCGTCCGCTGGAGGCGTGACCTGTGACTCTTTCTTCCCACCGCGGCCGCCCTTCTTCTTTTTTGCGGATTCCGGCTCAGGAGGCGGGCCTTCCCATGTAAAATCTGCATTCTCCACTTTGATCGCCACCTCCAAAGACGGATCCTGCACCTGGCCATCGCCCTGGGTCTCTGCCTCGAACACACCTCGGAGGCGTTCAATGGCATTCTTCGCATCGGCAGTAGCGCTCAGAGCCAAAGCTGTAATTGATGTCAGTTAGAAAAGACCTAGATTGTGTATATATTACTTACGCAGAAACATGAGCGGAAGACGCAGTAAATTGAACAGAGTGAGCGAGGAAAAGATATTCGCCGCGTTCAGCGAATGTCCTGCCAGCGAGTACACTATGAATGATATCACGCTCGCGAGCGTGGGAAGCGACACCGCAATAGCATTATTCGCTGAGCGGATGAGGAGCAGCGAACGGATGTACGCCATCTCCTTCCCTCTCAACTCCTCGATACGCTTCAGATACGGCACCTCCCATGAGAAGTACTTGATAATTTTCATCCCGCTCAGCAGTTCCTGCAACGTCTTGCTCCGCTTGTCCGTCCATTGCATGCTCTTCATCCGGAGGCTCATCAAGCGACGCATCGCAAGCGTCTGCACTGGCGTGCACATAATGAAGAACGCGAAGCCTGCAAGCGCCGCAGGGCCGAGGTTGATGAGCAGAATGACAAGGCAGACGATCATCTGCACGGGAGCGGTAAACGCGAGTTGGAAGAACCCGCAGCAGAAGTCGATGCGCGAGACGTCTGTCGATATGTGATTGACGAGCTTGCCGTTCGTGAGCGTGGCACGGGCGCGCGTGGTGAGATGCAGCGAGCGCGAGTAAATCGCAGTGATGAGCCCCGCACGGAGAAGAACACCAGTTGAGGTCGCGCGGTAGAAGAAGTGGTTGGTGCATAGCGAAATGACAATCTCGACAAGCAGCAGGCCAATGGCGAGCCCGACGCCGCGACCGATAGGCGGAATCTCGCTATACAGGCCTTCCTGGTGTGCTCTATGAGACGGCATCAGCGAATAGAGCGGCTCATGTGCATATAGAGGAGCCTACGCGTAGGACTGAGTGCCGAAATTGATCAAAGCCTGCGGATCAAGAATTAGTGTTGGTTGATTTTGACGTGATGCGCAACACGGACCTTGACCAATAATGGAGTCAGAACGGTGGCGACATCGGCAACGAGCTTCATGAGACCGCCGCTCCAATACCACCATTTGACAGCATCATTGAGTGCATACGCCAGACTGGGGCGCTTGCGGCCATCCTTCTCTCTCCACTGTCGCTCTCTTTCAGCCTTGTGCCCGCGAACAGTCCACCACAACGCACGCAATCCAGGCCGAACTTCCCCGCTGGCGAGGCGAGCATTGTACGACTCGGCCTCCTCGCAGCGCCTGTCGTACGATGCAATGATCTTGTCGGCAATCAGCTGAGACGAGCGATGACCTTGCAGCTTGTAGAGGTCGGTCGCTTCGAGGGGCCTGACGTAGCCGAGAGAGAGGAGGGGAGTGATCCAACCAAAGGTGAGGATGTCCCACCATGGCGCAGTCGCCTCTGGGATAAGATCTGCGTCGTCGAGCGATGCCTTGGGTGGAGGTGCCTCACGGGGAACCAGGGGCATCCTCCATAATCTGTGGTGGCATGTCAGCAAGCCCACACTTCGAGAGCACTCGCTGCATACCGCTTCAATCCCTTGCGTCCAACCATGTTGATACAGGCAGTGGAGGGAATGGCGAGGAAAGGTAGAGAAAGAGGGGCAGGGCAGCCATATGGTATGTGGATCTCTAACTCCGTGCTATGATTGTGCCAACGTACGGCACGCTGATAAAGCAGTCATCACTCCCCCGCTCCTATCCGCTCACGATCGCTCCCTCCCAGCCACTCTCTGCTCATCCATTCATCATTCCGCTCAATTTCTGCTATTTTCCAGCATTTTATCAGACTCCCCGCCTCTGCGCAGGACGATAGATTGCAAGCGGGATGAGGTTATCTTCATGATTTCTTGCAAAGTGGCACCACCACGCAAGCCTGGGATGCATCAACATCCAGTCCGCATGTCTTCACATGTGCATGCGGTATTTCAACGGCCATAGGAGAAGGGGTACATTCAGCAGTGACGAATTGTACGTGGCTAGATCTTATCAGTGGTGCGATGTTGAAAACATATCAGTTTCGCTGACTGGTTGCAGGCTCAACGCAGCTGGCACTGGTAGCGATCGAGCCTATGGCGTCCGCGAGGCGTGGGTTGAAACCGTTGATCGAGTGAGCTATCATATATCAGTGTTGAATCTCCTGTCAAGTTGGCCATCGAGAGAAACAGATCCGTTGATAGCGTAGCTAGAGAATGAACACAGCAAAGCGAGGGAATATAGCGAAACCTCGTTCAAGAAAGAACACGACAGTTCCCTAGAACCGCATATAGAGACACCGTCGTCATCGTTCCGAGCTTGGCTGGGGGAAAACCAAAACTCCATTCGAAGGCAGGAGACGCCTTGTATACATGCAGCTAACAGAGAGCCATGAATGGATTCAGACCATGCAGCAACGGGTTCTCCACAATGACACCTTTAACACAGAGTGAATTACGTCGATTATATGCAGCATCGATCAGATTACGTGAACAGAGGCAGTACCGCTCTAACTTCCTCCCAACGAGACAACCTCCACTCGGACAGCAAATGAAACCAAGGCGTACAGCAACGCCTCAGATGGGATTACGAGCGTACGCGTCCTTCAGCTGTCCAAGTGCGCTCTTGAAACCGACGTTAGCATGCAAAATCTCATCAGCCAACGGAAGGTCAACCAACCTCATATGCAGGTTGCAACGGGGCAACGTCCTTCTCATTCACTCGCAACCTCTTGACCTTCTCCAGATGGTCCGACTCTTTGAGCATCAACTTGAAGTACCGTGCCTGTATGACATAGTCAACATCAACGTGTGCCCCTCGCGCCACCGCTGCATCCCCACACGACGGCACTTACCTCCTGTTCCTCCACCAACGTCCAAGCATCGCCCGCACGCCCGGCACGCGCCGTCCGCCCCACACGATGCACGTACTTCCGCATATCCACCGGTGCATCGTAGCTCACGACGTGCGAGACGTGGCTAATGTCAATTCCACGCGAGATGAGATCCGAGCAGACCAGTCTACGGAAAACAACCGAACAGTGTCAGCGCATCCACATGCCCAAGGCTCATGACACCACACGCACATGTGGATCTCCTGCGCTTTGAACTTCTCCAGGATCGTCTTACGCTCGCCCGGACTGAGATCGCTGCTATATGCGCGCGCAATGATCTGGCCCTCTTTTTGACGTGTCCTATCTTGTCCCAAAGTGGTTTCGAAGAACTCGAAGAGTTTTACAAGCCGCGCCGTAGACTCTGCCGATTTGGTGAACACGAGCGCGTTTGTGACACCGCGCATATGCACAAGATGGAAAAGCATGAGCGGCTTCTCTGACGACTCGCACACGAGCATGTGTTCCTGCACAGACAACTCTGCTCAACACGGCTCTGTACCAATGACGACGGGATTGTAGACAACGCACCGTCAACGTCGCAGGCATACTGAACTTCTCCATCACTGTATCCAGCACACCGGCCTCCTCTTCCTCTTCCTCGCCTTCGCCCTTCCTCCCCTGCACGATGAAATACTTGGGCTCACGCAACCCCAGCGCAGCGATCTTCGCCGGGTCACGCGTGAGCGTCGCGCTGAAGAGCAGTTTTTGACAGGACGACTCGCGTCGCTCGTCAACGTCCGTCCGCACGTACGGGACTCCGTCGAGGAGATGGAGGAATGCCGGAGCGAGTGCATCTGCACGGGGGAGTGGGAAAGAGGAGGGATCCGTGCTGCTCAGAGATGGGGAAGCGAGGAGAGAAAGGTCGGGCGGGTTAGGGCTTGGTGAAGGTGCTGGTAGTGGTGGAGGTTGGGTTGCGGCAAGGACCTGGGCAAGCCAGTCTTGGAAGGATTGGGCTAGCAGCCGGTCAGCTTCATCGATCACCTGTTGCATCCGATGTCTCAGAGACTCTGGATATATCCCATCAAGTACGTGCCACTCACAAGGAATCGCAGATGCTGCAAAGAGAAGTTCGGTGTTCCATTAAGATGGTCCATTAGTCGCCCAGGCGTGCAGATGAGGATGTCTATTTTGCTAGAACCACCTTGTAGGCTGTGACGTATAGTGAGCTACGGAATGATTGTTAACGGATCGGATACCGTACTGTGTAGACCTGTCTGCAATAAGTTGACCTTGTTCATGTGCAAATGAGTGTTGGCCTGTCGCGGTGCCGATCTGTGTAACAACGAACGGTATCTAGTCTAAGGGCGGATTGAGGGCTGAATGGCACGTACCTTTAGCCCTCGGCCTTTGGCAATAGCCTCGAACGTCTCCCGCACTTGTGTGACCAAGTCACGCGTGGGCAGCACGATAAGTGCTCGTAGTCGGGTGACGATTCTCGCGGACAGAACCTAATCGTTGGAGCAGTGCAAGTTAGTGACTCACAGCAGTGTCTGAGTGTAACGGGCAAACCTCGACGATAGGCAAAACGTATGCAAGCGTCTTTCCACTTCCCGTGGGTGCTGAAACACACAAGTCCCTGGGGGGATCGTACGGCAAGTACAGATGTCTCGTTTTCTCAGACGAGAGCAAGAATGGGACAACGGCCGTCTGTACTGTTCAGAGTCGGATGAGCACATTATAAGTCAAATTGTCCACATATCCATCAAAATCGATGCACCGACCGGCAAACAACTCAGTGATGCCCAGCTCCTTCAACCTCTTCCGCGTCTTCTCGCCAAGTCTCGTGCCACCATCCGCGTCAGCTGTAGAAAGGAGCTCTTGCAGGGTGGCGGGGTCGACGATCTCAGCCTCGACGAGAGCTTTGTCCAGCCCTTGTAGTGCTAAAGTCCTTTTCGATGGCGCGTTTGGACGCCTGGGTAGAGGGAATGCCGGGAGCGCGACAGGAGGCGTCGGCGACCGATGAGCTGCAGAGGAAGTGGATGCTTCTTCCGGCATGGCCTCATCATCTTTGTCAGTGTCCTTCGGAATTGTGTTCGTTTTGGAGGGTTCCGGTGATGAAGGAACAGCCTGCTCTCGATGCTTGTTGAGTTTTCTCCGTTTCCGCGGCCGTTCGTCATCCCCCTTCCGTGATTTCTCTACCACAGACGGCTCTTCCGGCTGCTCATCATCTTCTCTCTCTAGTACATGATCATCGTCGTCGCCTTCTGCATCTGAATTACGCTGGTCAGACGCGCGATGATCGTGCGCACGACCTGAGCCGGACAGTGCCTTGCGATTTTTGCGTCGCTCTTTCTTCGCTTTCAGATATCTCTTCTTTGCCTTTGTCTTTTCCTGCGCAATGACTTGAGTGAATCCTTGCTCTGTCCAGAGCCCTAGCGTTGAAGAACTGTACCTTGGATTTCGGCTGGTCCTTGGGCTGGCTCGCGGCGGCTGACAGAGACATGCTGAATGATCCTTCTGGTTCAGAGGAAGAGTAACTTTTGAGAACGGAGGAAGGAGTCGCAGGTGCACGTCCGTTGGTGCCACTTGGGACCAATTTAAGCTTTCACCAAAACCTATGTCCAGATCAAGATCTGTGCAAAGCACCAAATGGCAGTCACGTGATCTCCCTAGGGAAGGAAAGGCGGCAAGCGCGGCTCGTCAAGTCGGACATCCACTCAGTTTTGTACCGTTTGAAACATCTGAAGTGGACCAGAAGCAACAGAGAGATTATTTTGTTCAGATCTGTTGGCTTGCTTGGTCTTCCCGTGATTTCGGTCGGTGTAGCAACGAGGCTGGCCACCTGCCAGGGTTTCAAGTCTCACTGGTGACTGCACTTGCAGTTTCACAACGAACAGCCCGCGGAACTCAGATATACATACCTTGCGTCATCCGCCGTCCTACCACCTCTGGATGGACATTGAGAAGTAGTCGCCACCCCGTGATCTTAGTCGTTGTCCATCGAGGCTCTACTCAACGTCGGGTTGTTATACCTGCTGATTTGCTCAGTCTGGAGGAAGCGCAACGACAGGAACTGTTGTACTTGAAGCATCAATTGATACATTGTCTGATTTTCAAACTGTGGCTTTCTCGTTTTAACCACGAGCGATGCTTCTATTGACGCTAATATTGACGTTGTGCGTTAGGCGAATTTCGCGAATTGACTTTCTCATCTCACCACGCGATCCGAGATGTCGCAATTCCCAAAATAAACCCTGTCAACTACTTTTTCATCCCAAGAAAGAGTAGGGAAAACCTTGATTCGAGTAGCTGCAGGTGTCTCGCATTTTCCCGTCGGAAGCATTGCTATACTGCTCGGAAGGAAGAGATCCGAACGTCCCTTTAGCTCGCTCAAAGACACAGTAACACCGCCGACATTTCCAATTGACGCTAAATTTGATGCAGATCTTCTTGCTGTCACCTGTTCATTATGTGCCTACCACTGCATCTCTCTTCTGTGAATGGGAGGTCTTCGTTCACCTGATCTGACCACTCCTCGCATCTCCGCACAACGCATAATAATTTTGCCCAGTCTGGCATTTGAAGCCTGTTCTCGTTATTCTGATGGAATACACTCTGTCTCAGGCTCAGTGAGCAACTTATATTTCCTGTTACGCGGCAAAAATTAATCTGATGCCACTTTGTGTCCGTCCGCCATCTTAATCACCGTCAAACCTCTATTCACTCTATTCCAAATTGTTGAGAGGTGACATAGTGTTTTACGCCTCACCAGCGATCCTTTGCTGGTACCAATCGGTGCGTACGATACCATCACACGATTGCTTTCAGTCGGCCGGAAGGCGTGGTGAATAGCCGAGTCCCACCATGCATTCACACAAGCATTCACACAAGCTGTCGATGAGATGTCTTTGATCATGGAAGGACGAGGATGAAGGGGAGACGGCAGTAACTCAGACTGAAGCTTCTATCAAGCAATTGCTTCACTTGCACCACCATGCTGCTATGAGTCTTATCGCATCGTAATCTTCAAGTCCTTCAGCCGAAGAAGCAGCGTTCTTGCCAGGGCACCGGCTAGCATGATCGTCTAGCCCTCTTCTTCTCCGGATGCAGAATACTCTCCCCTTACTCCTTCGGACCCAACCGCCGGCTCGTGATCCTTCGTGCGACGTGGCTTTGGTAATAGAATCTAAGTACAGCCCGTCCGATCAGGCATGCACTGACCGTTCCGAAACGTACTTAATCTCGTCACTTCCCATGCTTTCTCTTTCTCCTCTTTCTCTCCCCCTCCCCCTTCCCCATTCCTGTGACGTTTTATCAAACGATTATGTGCTTTCAGGAATGGTACGTGATGCTTCATGACCGCTCGTTCCTCATTCTCAACTCGCTCAGCTTTGGCAACCAGCACAGAGGCTGCGGGGTGCGTGCGCACCGCTGCACACAGAGAGAATTAACTTACATCTGCCTAGCACTATGTGGTCATGTACTACTCTGGTGTGAGCTTCGACTGCAGGCAGCCTACCTGCGGCTTGAGCTCTGCACATATGCACAAAACGACGAAAGTCTGTCCTTGCACGAAGGTGAGCGGTATGACTGTCCATCTCTCATGCAGCTCTGATAATGCATCAAGACATATGATGACCGTCGAAGAGTCCTTAACCTCATCCAAGAACCCTGCGATGCGTGCAAGGAAGCTGCGTTCCACGCCAGAGTCCGGGGATGGCCATAGCCCTTGGTATCAGGGGACATGTTTTCTTAAAGTTTCAGGCTTTGTCGGTAGATCCTGCGCGAGATGCTTTTGTATCGATGTGCGCTGCGATCAAGAGTCTCACACAACACTGGCTGTCGTCGAAGCTAGGGGTGATGGTAACGGAGCCGTCTCGTCACAGTCTCGGCACATCAAACGTAGAGACTCTACATCCAAGGTTTGATGGGGAAGGCGATGCGTTGGATAAGGTCACCATGCAGATGGCCTGCATACGGAAAGCTGCACCCTCCTTCAATTCGGAAGCCACGCACATCGCATCGTTCGAGGCCTGTACCAACAGACTGGATGACACTCATTACGTAGTAACAATGCGAGCACTGTCACAAATATCAGCAGAAGATGCTACTCTCCTGGCAGTTGTGTGAGATAATACACGATCCTCCTATAGCCCTGAACCCCAGACCAACGTTTCCACACGAGCGATTAGAAACGTTTCCCCCCTCGCTTCACCGGTTGCTTAGTACCTCGATGAATGGAGGTACTGAGCCTGCTCTGCGCAGCCCTCCTCTTGCGTTCTGCCTCGCTGTCATCATCTTCTGATGATACAATCGGTGTGTGCCTCCTTCTTTTAGAAGGAAGAGGTGGGGAAGAACCAGCATCCTCATCTCGTGCTGTAGGATGGTTCAATATGCTGTCAGGAGACAGACGAGGTGGAAGATGCGAAGACCCGTCCGCCGCTTCGTTTGCAGACACCATGTCTCCTAGTTGGGCGTTGTGGGAATAGACCGGAAGCTCGTCGCTCCCGGACTCAGGCTCTGTCTCCGATTCTTCAGTCGGTGGTTCAGTCGGCATGGTCTCGCTGGCTGGTGCACTCCCAGGCTCAGTTCTGCCGTGAGGGGGTAAATCCTGGACGGAGATCTGAAGTCAGACACATGCATATGCTCAAAATATTGAACGTACAATCTCAATGGGAATGGCTGGCATCAGCGACGTTGAATCTTTTGTGGCTGACACAGGGCCCCGTGACACAGGCTGAACGGAAGGGAGGGATAAATCCGGACTAATGGCATCGAAACTGACAGGCGCTGTACCGGAACGGTACATCAACGCAGTCAATGCATCAGATAGAACCACACTTACGAAGCTCTGGCGAGAAGTTGAACGTAGCTGTCATGCGCCTGATACATGTCGCTACTCGGGGCTTTGACATGGCATGCTTGACGTGCGTATCGACTGTACGGCGTGCAGTTCTCCCAATTTTGTCGATCGCCTGTGAGGGGAGGCGCACCACCAAAAGTGAGTAAAATGAACGAGATCATACTGCTCATGTGCTTACTTTCTCGAGGTCTGTCTCTGAGAGTTCGCTCACCGGATCCGCTGATGAGAACGCGAGATGGATAACGCTGATCAGGGGCATTATGAGATGTTTAGACAAGACCTCGGCGGAGAACAAGGGTCCTAGCGAATAGGTTTCCCATCTCCACTTGAAATCGTTGTCCACCAGTTCGAAAGCAAGGTCCTGTACGTACTGATTGAGTAACGGAATACGGAACGATGAAGACGGACCACACGACCCACGGAGAAGTGAGAGTCGATGACTTCGAAAGAAAGGTCTGTGATACCCCCAAGAGTATGGGCAGAGGATATCAATTTCAGAACTTTGCTTCTCCACGCGTCCTCATCTTCTTCGCTCTGATATGGACTTGGACTCTGGGAATTGCAATCCCGCCAACGCCGCGCCATTTGTTTGCTTGAGAGTACTGCGAAACACAAGCGACATAAGTGGCTAAGGTGTCGCGCTCGCAGTTCCGGTCATCACCTTCGCCCCACACATGTTTCGTATCTGTTATCACTACGCAGCATGAGAGATCCACCGTCGAACAGTATACCTTCTATATAAGAGTAATCAGGTGGATCACCCTGGCAAGGTACTTCGGCTGACCAGTAAGTAAGGAACCGACTTGTCGGTATCTACCTTCACAAGCCACTCCTTGTTCAAAAGAAGCTTACTGTGCTCCTGGTGAGAATATCAGAGGAATATCAGAGTGTCGACATCCTTGTCCTACTAGCCTCTGAGAAATAATCCATGTCAACGTGGGATTTGACTTTGTTCGCGTCTTATTCCGTTGAGTATCAGTCCAGCCGCCTATTGGTCAGTGCTAGGTAATTTGAAGCAAAGCGAATGTCGAATTCGCCCTGGCCTGGGAATGAACGGCCACCGTGCCAAATGCTCAGGGTCGTTCAAGGTCACGAAGTCCTAGACGCTCTTAGACGCCACCGATTATTCTTACCCGAAGTGGCAGCTGACTAAGCCAAACACCGACTCGAGTCTCCGCCGCCTTCCACAGCTGAGCCCAAATCCTTCGCTAGAACCTGCTTCTCTCGCATTCAATCAAACCCTGTCCATGCTACAAGAAAGTGAATTACAACTGCAAGTATCTTCAGCTATCGCGATCAGCTCTCAGGCAGGGTATAGACATAGTGGAGATAACAGACGGCAAACTAGGCCGCCGGATTCCTCTGGAGCCGTATATTCTCCCGAAGTTGAATGGCCCGGCACGGAAGGAAGCAACATCGCATCGTCGCGAACTCTTTACAGTGAAGCTGACATGCTGATGCGGAATGAAGTGGACGAACCTTCGGCTTGCTCATCAGTCCTGGGACCTTCCCGCGCACGTTCATCCGAAATCACTTCTTTGCGACTTGTCGTTCAGCGGAGCTCCGTCTTGTCGAAGAAGCTGAAAGTTGCTATCACAGATGGATATTCGGAGGTGCAGATTGGCCGCGACGTAGCCCCAGTTGGAAGTGACGTGCCACGGATACGACTGAAGGAGATGGAGGTGTCCAAATTACATGATACGGTCTATTGGGATCAGCAGCGAAGTGAGTGGGCAGTTGTGGATATGGGCTCGAAGCATGGCACCTTCCTCAAATCCAACCGTGGGATTAGGTCTTCCCCCGGAGTTTCCGACTCTGGTGTTCCTTCGTCGTCACAGGGCCCGTCGGAGTCGAGCAGAGAGGATCCCAGGGGCATGCGCCTTTCTCCATCTAGAGTGGCGAGCATTCCGCGACGATTGACGCATCTTGACCTTCTGAGCATCGGAGATACGACCTTCATTGTACACATCCATGACTCCCAGATGCCTTGCATTGAATGTTCGCCGACGGGAGATGACGAGATCCCGTTGTTTGATTCTCGAAGGGCCGATCGTGAACAAGCATCTAGCACGAAGCGCAAAAGAGAGGAGACAAGTGGAGATAATGCTCTAGCCCCCCCCGCTACCGGTCCTGTACAGCAAGATGCTAAGAAGGCACTGTCGATGCTCAGGCGCAGTCTGCTATCTCGTCGCGACGGCTCATTGGCATCGGCCAAGGGAGAGGCACCTCAATACGTCGATCGCAGTGCACGTCGCAGGGCCCTGTACCCTCAGACACCTCCAGATCCAGGCCGGGCACGAGCGGCAATGTCCACTTCATCGCTCGTCCAATTGCCTGACAGGTCCGTCACCGCTTCTCCCGTTGCTCCGGTATCGGCTCCTCCTACACCACTGCCAGAGACCAATATCGGCCATCGTTTATTGCTTAAGCAGGGTTGGGAACCTGGCATGAGCCTCGGTCAAGAAAGTACCGATCTTGCTCTCAAGCAACCTCTCGAGGTTAGCGTCAATACGGGCAGGTTAGGACTTGGTGCCACTGCTTCTACTTCTGTGGTGGGCCCGAACACAAAGTGGAAAGAGAACGCTAAGCATCGACGCTGGGATAGTCTTAGATCGGATGACAGTCCAGGGAAGCATTTGTAGTGCTGCAAGCTGTGCACGAGGTAAGATCAACCATTTTCGATGCAGGTTACCTGGCATTCATATGACATCATGAAGGGTCTATTCCAATCATTGTTACCACGGCGCCGCGCGCAGCGACCAATTTACACGAAGCCGATGCAATGGTCATTCTGACTGGCACCTTGTCAGTCTGCGAGGACATGCCGTCTATGGATGATGGAGAGATTCTTCGCGCTGCTCATTGTTGAGGCTGGCTATCACACTGTCGACTACGAATCTGCCAGCTGACAGACACGGTCGTCTTGACACTGGCAGGGGGGGGGGGACGAGCAAATACAGCAAGCATATCCTGCCCTCATCGACCCACTCCCAATGGATGGAATGAATTATTCGCCCGCGGAATGGATCGTGTATGCATTTCGAGGTCGCAATATCAGATCAGATACCCGACTAGTACTTCTTGAAGCGTTCAGTCTAAATTCTTCGAAATTGCATGATCAATATCAGATGAATTGCTCGATTGCACGCCACGACACCGTCGATCTCAGGGAAAATGTCACGCCTCGGCGCGCGACTTGATGCATTGATGCTGCAGACGCGAGACGCGATCCTGTGACTTGCGCGCTCAAACGTTTGGCAGTCACGTGGAATTGCGATGTGGCCCAAGTTGAAATCGCGATCCGAACAATCTCTACTCCTGCCCGCATCCTAGGCTGACACCGTCCTCAACCTCGTCCAAAGCCGTCCTGTTGTCGCCCTCCTTGGTTCCGTTTGGTGGCGCGTACGGCTTCTTTGATTATTTCATCTTCATTGGTTCCACCCGACAGGCCACTTATCTTGGCCGCGAACTTGGTTGATTTCGTGAACGCTCGACGGTCCCACAGCACACACTTCTCAGCATCAACAACATGATACCAACCAATGGTCTTCGTGTATGTCTCGTACTATGCAGCTACATGACTAAAAGCACTCTAGACTAATCAGGAGCGCACATGCAACTCACAGCTTCCCTTGCGAAACCGCACAGGACCGCAGCGCCCAAAAGGCAATGGTGATGAGAACGCGACGAGTCAGCACATCCGTCAATCATCAAGCGGGTCGATCAAGAACGCAACATTCGTCGTTCCCGCCAATCCGCACGCAACTAAGATTGGTCCCCAACGTTCCGCCCTCGGCGAGTTGACGACCGCCGCCGTCAACCGCAAGGTATGTCCCAGGTTTCTATAGCGCTTTCCCTTCAGAATTCACTCATACCCTCTATAGGACATCGTCAGCAAACTCATTGGCAATGGCAAAGATGGGACTGTCGAGACTGGCCTGAAACGCAGTTATTCCTCCACCTTCTTGTCTAAATCTGGTCCCCAGAGAGTGCGACTGGGATCGAACAGAGAACCGCCGATCCATCACAGTCGCTCGACGTCTGTACAAATCTTGGCGCCACTCGCACGAGTTGCGCAACGCGCTCCAATCTCTGTCTCCCAAGAAGTCTTCAAGCCTGCTCGATCGGAGGAGGCTGCGTGCGAAGAGGATGGCATGGAGGTTGAAGAGCACCACGTGGCATCTGTTCATATTGTGAAGGAACACCAGACATTGGAGAACGTCGATCGGAATCAAGACGAAGAGCAGGACCAGAACGACCCAGTCGTGCAGGCGAAAAGGCCGCGCATTTGGCCGGACGTCGCCACAGATCGTGTCCGGAGGTACCATCAGGAAGTCAACGAGATCAAGGAGACCTTCCAAGACCCGGTGGATGAGTTTGACATGACCATGGTCTCTGAGTACACAGAGGACATCTTCCAGTACATGCATAAATTGGAGGTTCGTTTGGTTCCTAACGCCGTGAGGGTCTGTTTTGCTAATACATAAACCAGGAGGACGTCATGGCTAATCCCGACTACATGAACGGCCAGACCGAGATCAACGTCACAATGCGCCGGACGCTGGTAGACTGGCTCCTGCAAGTCCATTTGCGATACCACATGCTGCCCGAGACGCTCTGGATTGCGGTGAACATCGTGGACCGCTTCCTCTCCAAACGCATCGTGTCAGTAGTGAAGCTGCAGCTCGTTGGGGTCACAGCAATGTTCATCGCCTCGAAGTATGAGGAGATTCTGGCGCCTTCTGTCGACGAGTTTGTCTTCATGACGGAGAACGGCTACTCGAGAGACGAGATTCTGAAGGGCGAGCGGATCGTGCTGCAGACGCTGGATTTCAAGGTCAGCCACTACTGCTCGCCATACAGTTGGATGCGCAAGATCAGCAAGGCGGACGACTACGACGTCCACACGCGCACGCTGAGCAAGTTTCTCACTGAGGTGACGCTGCTGGACTATCGTTTCTTGAGGGTGAAGCCCAGTCTTATCGCGGCCATTGGGATGTACAGTGCAAGGCGTATGCTGGGCAATGAATGGGTGCGTGTCTATGATGTCTCACCCTGCACGAGGCTTTCTGTGCTGGACGTCGAAGATTGCTGACTTCCATTGTTCTCTTATTCCAGAGCGAGGCATTCGTGTTCTACTCTGGCTACACGGAAGAACACCTCGTGCCAGGATTCCAATGGATTGTCGAGGACGTTCTCGAGCAAGGCTTCACGAAGCAACACGTCTGTCAGAAATACGCCAATAAGAAGTTCCTCAAGGCGTCCGTCTTCGCGATTGAGTGGGCCAGGCTTCACCAAGACGACATCTTGGTGAAAGGGCAGACAGACACTGAGGAATAAAGGCTCCAAGCGTTGTTATCTGTGCAAGAGTGGGTTCGTCAACTCTGTACATATAACCTCACGTCCTCCCTCTGGTACGCCTCTAAGCCTATCCTCTGTTCGCTCGTTGCCTCCTCGTGTCTGTAGCCTTATTTTGCCTCTCCGACCTCTCTGCAGCCCTACTCTCATTTTGTCTGCAGCCTCGTCGCCATTGTTTGACTGTCACATCCTATGCAATCCTCGTCTGCCTGTCTACCCTCGTCTCGATCTGTCGCTTTCATCAAAAGCTGCTCTCTTGAGTCCTTTTTAATCAACTTTTTGGTACTCCACGCTTGACGGTGCAGACCGCGTTAATCCCGTTCCTTGATCGTCTTGTCCCCGACTGCAACGCTCTCTCCTGCCTTTGGACTCGCTGTGTCTCCACGTTCGTTCTGTATTCCATCTATTTTTCATAACCTGTATCTGCCAACATTTGTTTCATCGAAAATGTTTTGCTTTGTTCGTTGCCATACACGATCGCTGTCGTTTGGCTTGCCTAGTGTATCGCCCTCTTGCTTTGTAAACTTGAGTTATCCAGTTCGACTTTCCTTGTGTTATATTTGAGCTTCCGTTCCTTTGATGTTCATACACATATCTTTTGATCAAAGCATCGTAGATCTCGCTTGCCCATGCAGTAGTATGTAAAACAGCCTTGTACTATGCCTGCGTAGGCGCATCTCGCGTAGTTACTCTATCTCAGTACAGTATAATTTACTCGCGCGTTCAACAGCGTATAACATGCTTGTGACTTGCGCCTACGATTTTGTTCTCTCCTTCCTCGACATATGTCGAGTCTTTGTATATGGGTGCTGCCATGGTCATGGTGGGCACTCTGCGCCTGACGCCCAGTTTCAAGATGGTGTGAATTCACGTGAAAGAGCCTACCCCGGAGCTATCACATGCCGCCACACGCATTACGGTGCTAAGGCTAGGGCCGTCCCCCACATTGTTCATACAGACTCCTTTGTCCGCCAACAACCACCATGTCACAGCTATCGTTCAAGGGCCACACCGTCGTTGTAACCGGTGCAGGCGGTGGTCTGGGCAAAGCGTTAGTAGTATCCGGACAATTGCGGTCATTGTTATAATAATATCGGTGCACACGGGACAGGTATTCACTCTTCTACGCGTCGAGGGGTGCAAATGTGGTCGTGAATGACGTCAGTCAAGCGGCGGCACAGACGGTGGTGGATGAGATTAACCAAGGTGCGCGTCTGCAGCTCGAACATTAGCGGACGTGTTTAACAGCGCTCGTGCAGCGGGAGGAAAGGCAGCCGTCAACACTGCATCCGTAGCAGACGGTGCTGCCGTCATCAAGACTGCACTTGACGTGTTTGGAGGTGTGACGATACTGATCAACAACGCTGGGATCCTCCGAGACAAGGGGTACGCACGACAACCTCAGGATTGCTGTTCCATAAACTGAAGTTCGGCCGTGCTAGGTTCAAGAACATGACAGATCAGGAATGGGACCAGGTTCAATTGGTTCACCTGAAGGGCTCGTTCTCCTGTAGTAGGGCTGCGTGGCCAATATTCTGCAAGCAAGGTTTCGGTCGCATCGTCAACACAGCGAGTGCTGCTGGGCTGTATGGTGCGCATGAGATGCAGGCTTTATCCAACTTTGTCATGCTGACATATTCATGGGTTCCAGGTAATTTCGGGCAGGCGAATTATAGTGCCGCTAAGATGGGCCTGATTGCATTCACGAAGACACTCGCTCAGGAAGGTGCGAAGTACGGCATCAAGGCTACTGTCATTGCGCCAGTACGTCCGTCGCATTCGCTTTTGTGCGAGCGTTGCTGACGCTCCAGCATACAGATGGCTGCTTCAAAGATGACGGAAACTATCATGCCTCCCGAGATGCTCGCCAACTTGAAGGTATTCAACCGATGCTCGCTGTAGTCAGCTTCCTAATATAAGTTTGCCCGTAGCCTGAGTTCGTAGCACCATTTGTCGCAGCTGTCACGCATCCAGATGGCCCCGAAGCATCTGGCAGGATCTTCGAGGTCGGTGCTGGCTATATCGCCGAGGTGCGATGGGAACGCAGCAAGGGTGTCGTCTTCAAAACGGATGTGTCGTTCACTCCTTCCGCAGTGAGCATGCTCGGATTGAACATTGCACTGCACCTGCTGAAGGACTTGCATGCAGGTTCAAGAAAAGTGGTCGGACGTCACAGATTTCGACGAAGGAGTTGAACAGTATGTCGGTTTCTGTTGATGCAAACATTCGTATGCTTATCTTATCTGTGTCAAGCCCGCAAGGCCTGCCAGACTTTGACCCTCAGGTATGCCTGACAATCTTGTCAGTCACTTTGATCTGATATAATGTGACCAGGCCATCCTCGCAGCAGGCTCGAATCTGTCATCGAACGCGCAAGCATCCCCCGAAGTGCGCTTCGAAGGAAAGACTGTCATCATCACAGGTGCGGGCGCGGGCCTGGGGCGTGCGTATGCGCATATGTTCGCCAAACTTGGCGCGAACGTCATCGTGAACGATCTCAGCGAGAAGGCCGCAAATGCTGTAGTGGCTGACATCACGAAAGGTAGATACTTGTACCCTATCTTTTGTCACATCGAACACTCATTGTCTCTGTGTACAGCGGGTGGGAAGGCTGTCGTTGCGATCTGCTCTGCGGAGGATGGCGAGGGCATCGTCAAGGTCGCAATGGATACGTTCGGTGGAGTGCATGCACTTGTCGCGAACGCAGGCGTCGTCCGGCCAAATGCGTTAGGGAACATGACCGACAAGCAGTGGGATGAAGTCATGGCTGTTCATCTTCGGTAAGTGTTCGGGTCACGGGCTAGTTCAAGCGACCTGATCTGACGTTTGACTCATTGGCGTTTAGCGCTGCATACAAGGTGAGGTTTCTTACAGGGGTAAAAATGCCTCAAATTCCCGACCTGATGATGGTGGTCGATCTCCGTAGTGTGCCAAAGCAGTCTGGCCCATCTTCCAGAAGCAGAAGTTCGGCCGTATCATCACGACCAGCTCACAAGCGGGCGTCTGTGCGTACATCGATTGCTTTCATCAGCATTGTACTATTGTGCTCACTGCGTTGTAGATGGAATGCCTGGCTTGGCAAATGTCAGTTTCAAGTCTACGAACTCTGTTGATGTCAAGGCTGACAGCTCTGCCCGACGATAGTATGCCACGGCAAAGGCAGCTATCGTTAGTTTAACTAGGACTCTCGCGATTGAAGGCAGGAAGTACAATATTCTAGCCAATTCGATCGTACCATCCGCTGGCGCGATGGTCGGTCTTGGTCGGTGCGTTGATTGGCTGTCCTACGACGATGACCAGATGCTCACATACACGCGTCATATCTCTTTCCGCTGATCGGGGCATCAGCGCTTACAGCAACGTAGATGCCATCAAGGTTGGACCACACTTCCTGATTTGCATCAATGCGATCGCACTCACCCATACTTTGTTGGCAGGAGGAGTACGTCGCGCCCGTTGTCGGCTTCCTGGCGAGTGAGGCCAACGTCGACACATCAGGTGGACTCTTCCAGATCGCCGCGGGCTGGGTCGCGCAGCTGCGCTGGCAGCGGACGGGTGGACATGGGTTCCCAGTGAACAAGCCGCTCACGCCTGAGGCGATCACGTCGAAATGGAAGGATATTACCGATTTCTGTGGGTGATGAGATTAATTGGAAAGTATCATCTCCATGCTTATGCTGTGGTGCACTGGTAGCGGACGGTCGCGCCACAAACCCCTCGTCTACGCAGGAAGCGTTCATGCAGGTTCGTGAAGCAGATTGCCTGTGAGTTCAATTGAATCTGGATGACGTTTTATTCGCAGATTGCGGAGAACTTCGGCAACGAATCAGAGGATAGCAACGGAGGTAGCTCGAGCCCCTATGCTGACCCAGAAGACTCCGAGCTCGTCGCAGAGGCGAAGAAGACGGTTGAAGAGCCGACCGAGTACACCTACAATGAGCGCGATGTCATTTTGTATAACCTCGGAATCGGTGCAACGGAGAAGGAGCTGCAGTGGACGTTCGAGGGCGACGATGACTTTGCCGCACTACAGACGTTTGGTGTCATTCCTCAATTTGCGGCCAGTGCGGGAATTTCTCTGGATTGGCTGCCGAACTACAACCCGGTACGGATCATTGTTGCTCTGTATTGTTCCCATTTTGAATGTGCGGGACATTCATGTAGGCTAAGCTCCTGCATGGCGAGCAATACCTCGCAATCAAGGGGCCCATCCCGACCAGCGGTGATTTCATCAACGAGGCGAGGTCAGTTTAAAGCGGAACGTATCCACGAAGCGTAGTTCTGCTGACGTTCCATCATCGCGTTCCAGGCTGGTAGAGGTGCTCGACAAAGGCAAGGCCGCCGCCGTGACGTCGATCGTGGAGACCAAGGACAAGACGACTGGCAAAGTCGTATTCGAGAACCAATCGACAGTGTTTATCCGCGGAGCAGGAGGCCTTGGGGGTAAGCGGGTCGGGAAAGGTGTGTCTGTCTCATAGAAGACCAGACTTCTATTGGCGCGCATCATTGACCCCATTATCTCTCATAGACCGTGGCGCAGCGTCCGCAGCAAACACGCCGCCCCAACGCAAGCCGGACGCTGTCCTCGAGGAGAAGACGCTCCCCATCCAGGCCGCATTGTACCGGTCAGTGTCGGCATTCCTGGTCTGGTAGAGCGACTAGCTGACGTTATTGTTCTGTGTGCCAAGCTTGAGTGGAGACTATAACCCGCTCCATGTAGGTGGCATGGTTACATCGTGTTCGTATGTGTGGCATTGTCAATTCATTTAACTTTACTTAGATCCAGCCGGAGTTTGCGGCCGTCGGTGGATTTGACAGGCCGATCTTACATGGTGAGCATGCGTGATTTGTGCCGGTTTCAACACCGCTCTCCGCACGGTCCTGATGCGAGTTTGCGCTTTAGGTCTTTGCTCGTTTGGCATTTCGGGGAAGCATGTCCTGAAGACGTTCGGCGAATTTAAGGATATCAAAGTGCGGTAAGTTTGTTGCGCATTCCGGTATTCTGGCCAGAGCAGCTAGACAGTAACATTCACGTAGGTTTGCCGGTGTCGTATATCCTGGGGAGACGCTTGTTACGGAGATGTGGAAGGAGGGCGGCAAGGTCATCTTTAGTACGTGCTTCCCCAAATTCGCCATACGGAGTCTTCTCTAATGACTGCATAGCCACGAAGGTGAAGGAGCGGAATGCTGTCGTCCTCGCTGCGGCCGCAGCGACCTTAGTGAACCCAGGTGGAGCGAAGGCGAAGTTGTAAGTAATAACCGGGACGGGACAATATATCAGTATCAGACCTCGTTTATTCGCATCACTACTTCAAACCTATGGAGCGTATCGCATTGCGCATGACTGGCGCAAAGAGCCACTCTTGACTTCCTTACTAGCACGATCGGAGAAATACCGTTGACCCTCACGATGGCTGGGCCATTCTCACTGCATGCAAGGGCCATCATGCAGAAGCGTGATGCGCTCTGAAGAGGCTCGAGGAGACGGCGTGTACACGAAGTGGTCATGCAGCTACTAGTCAAATTTCATGCAAGCGACCGCGTTACTGCTTGGCTGATGGTTAAGATCGGCCACGCACAGAATGTTCGGCCAGCATGGTGCTGGATGTCGGTAATTCGAATTTCTCCGGTGATGAAGGCTGCTATGCGTGCCCTGATGAAACAGGATGGCCCGGCGTCAAGCAGCGAGCCCTCGCCTTATTCGACTGTGAAGTTGTGGAATGCGTCACGGTGTAACCGTCACTCTGCATGCTTTCTTACATGCTTTGTCCCCTGTGAATGAAAACAAAGGGGCGCGACATCAATACCATCGTTGACGTTGCAGAGCCGACTACGTACCAGCAAACACGTATTCATATCCGCCATGGCCCGACGCTATGTGTCAATGGCCGCTGAGGCATGTCTCAGGAATAATACGGTCTACCGGCACAGCCTTGCCCTGCCTCGATGCCCCGGGCAGGCTGGCGACCCGCTTTCTTCTGATGCGCATTCCTGCGGAAGGACGTGCGTAGAAGTGCTAAGATCAAATGCACTGGCTGGTGCGGCCTACCTGTGATGGTAGTGAAATTCGCGTGCGCTGCGCACCGCAGCGCGGCGTAGGCACAGCGTGAGGTGTCTTTTCGCGCGGTCACACAGCACTAGTAACCTGGCCAACTTCAGAGAATTGATGGGGCATCATGCATCAGCTGCTCTTCACAGGTCGCCCCCTGTGGCGCGTCAAACGGATTGATCATCTACCACGATGTATTCTTTCGATGAGCTACGCTAGCGTGCGGTACGGATGGGAGAGAATTACTAACGTGTAAGAGGAAAGGTATCGATAGCGGCCAGCATCACGGATCTCAGATACGCGTCGTTTGTCTGCCAAGGCTCAAAAGGAGTTTATGATAATGATACAGAAATGGGGTGAGGAGAGTGCAGTGTGGTATAATACGCACGCCCGGGGTAAGAACTACGCGTTAATGTACATATTGTGCGTGGAGGCTAGGCTTGGATGACACCATAACGAGGGGCGAAGGAACATCTAGAGGAATGATATGGGCGGCGGTAGGAAGTGAAGAGGGATCAGAAACCTTGATGAGTGGATACCAAACGCGATTGTGGCAGAGGGCGGTCAGCATGAGAGAGATGGATATGGAGAGAGATTAAGTTATTCTTCTTAGTTGCGAAATCGTTTCCAGAGACGTCGAGCTTATATTGTGCCTCGGAACCAAAGGCTTATGAGCAGACGAGAGCGGCGCTGTGAATTTCATCCGAGATCTGAATACCTGTGGCACACAAATGATCGATCAGTCTATGCAAGAGGAAGAGCGAAGCGAATGATACGTACCTGGGTAGTACCAGAAGGTTACTGCGATAATAACATAGAGGCACATCAAGATCATTCCTTCTAGCCAATTGCTCTTCCCATCTTGTACGGTGTAGTTCACGACGAGCACTGCACGCAGAAGCCACATCAATTACGATCCCGGTGGAGACGGGTGGTCCAGGAAACGTACCAGCTAGGAAGAGCGTTATGCTCTCGAACGGGTCGAACAGCATCGTGAGGGGCTTGCCCATAATCCACGACAGCACCACCGTGAATGGAATCACGAACAGCGCAATTTGCTGCACACATCACGTCAGTTCTCGGATTCAACAAAATGAAACACGCCGGGGGACTCACGATACTCGACCCGGCTGCAACACCCAAGCTGAGCGTGAGCTTATCCTTGACCGATACCGTCACAGCCGTGACGTGCTCCGCCGCGTTTCCAACAATAGGGAGCAGGATGAGTCCGACAAACTCCTTGCCAATCACGCCTGAATCTGTCAGGCCATCGATCGAGTCCACGAGCCATTCCGCCGTCACTGCAACGAGCTGCGAGAAACCGTGAGTAACGTTCCAAGGAATAGCCTGGGACCACTGAGATACTCACCACGGTGACGATCACCAGCAACGCAACCGTCACAGGAATGCTCAATTGCGGCGTCTCCTCCTCCTCCTCCTTCTCCGCATCGCTCTCGCGCTGCGCTTCCACATCTCTATTCAGGTTTTCCCTCTCGCTGCCCGAAGCAGAACTCGGGCTCGAACACCTCGCGGCGTCCCCCACATTCTCAGCATTGCCGGTTCGATCTTTCATCTCGTACTGCATGCCGTCCTCGCTCTTCACCCCCTCCGCCGTCGGCGTCAACGGCTCCGCGCTGTTATTGGCGCTGCGCGGGAACTTGAATCGCGCGGGTAACCAGCGCCGGCGAGGTTTGTCCGATTGCGGGCGAGTGGCATACCTGGTAGACACGAACACATCGGAGCCGTTGTCCTCGTAGAGCGACTTGTGCGAGAAGAGCTGGAAGACGAGATACGAGCCGTATACTGTCTGCTAGTCAGCAGATGTCGGCAGCGATAACGCGAGACGCTTACTGAACAGCAAAATAACCGCAGCCTAGAATGGGGACAGGGTGGATCGTTAGCCTCGTGTGTACTCGGATTTCGAAGGGCATGGACAGGCGCACTCACCCCGCGGCTAAATGCGAGAATGTCGGGACCCTCTGTGTCATCGGCAATTACAGAACCCGCTACCGAGTGGAATGCAGCGGGCAGCAGGACCGCGATGACTGACACCGTTAGCAATGATGAGTTGAGCTGTGTGGCGCCTGTGGCGTGCATCAAATAAATGTATTATGGTCCGCGGAGGATAAACGGATGCGATGGCGAGAGGGACGGCTTGTCAGTGTAAGAAGCAGCGCACAGCCATGGTTAGACGCACTCATGCCGAAGCCCTGTTCTGAGAACTTGACACCGCCCGCGAAGAAACACATTCCCAGGACGAGCACTGTGCGCAATTAGCTGAATTTGTTTTTATTGCAATTGCGATGTGTACTCACGCAAATTGCTGAGGATAGAGCCGACCACTGCAAAAACCACATCATCAGCACAGATCAAGCCACAGGCGAGCGCACGTCGATCGGCGCTTCCGATCGAGCGTCATGATGTCGACGTACATGATGATTGGACGACAGAAAGTTCACAGTGCGCTAGCGCAATGATCTATATCACAAGATGGATATCCAGTTATCGTGACAGCCACGAGGCCACTTACCGCCACGATAAGTTCCACGCTGGGCCGAGTCGCCGTCAGCTGCCACGCACTTGCCAGTCAGAAAAGGTGCAGACTCACGCGTTTCCCTGTCATCACATCCAGATATTAGCATCCGAGCGTTGATATCAGTCGATTGTGGCATACCAGAGTGGCGTTCAGGAGCCCGGCGAGCGTCTGGCCTACGCGTATAGACAGCTCGTCCGTAGCGAATGCAAGCAGCTTCGCCAGGGGAATGATGGCGAGGAACGAGACTGCAAGTTACTGTTAGCGAGCGTTTCTGGCGCCACGATCTTGCAGCACGCACAGACGAAGATGAGCGTCTCGCTTTTATTCGAGTCATCCAATGCGAAATTGCACGCCCACTACGAGATCCGCATAAGTACCACTGGTGGCAGAGCGCACGGGATATCCTGAGCTCACCGACACTGGTATAAAGACGAGCAGGACGTTCAACCCTGCAACGTTGCGTTAGCAAAGACAGCCCACACCAGGACCTTGCTTTGCAGCACGTACAAGAAGCCGTTACGATGGTCTTGATGCCCTGCAGCGTTCCTGGTGCTCTGCCGATGGGCTTCTCCGGCGTCAGTTGGAGGCTCATCTGTCTGCTGACTCTCTTCTTGAAATCGTGATAGTTCGCTACGGATATACGCGACGCGAGGCGCGAGATGGGATACGTAGATGCCCGTTTGGACGTGCGATCACCAGCGATCGTGGACACGCGCTGCGAGTTGCGATAGCCCGAGGTGCGGTCGTTGTTGGCGGTGGTGTCAAAGGTCGCGCGGCGCGTGACGTGCGGCGAGTTGGGGAACGCGGTCGTGTGTGCGCTCGGAGAGGTGGTGATGTCGTACGCGTTCGATGACGTGGCGGGCGCGTCGGTCTCCGAGGAGCCTGCTATGAAAGTCTGCGCCGCGGCGGAGTGCAGCTCGTGGTCCAGTTCTGGTGAAGTACTGGGTGATAGTCCGGCAGCTAGAACACAAAGCCCAAAAGATGGAAATGCGTATGCGGGTATGTGATGTGCAAATAGGGGTATGAGGGGAGTGTCAGACACCCCGGCCGTATGAGGATTGATGAGGAGTGCTACTCACGCATGATGTCCGATTGTTCTTTTATAGTGATCGGGTGGGAGGTTTGATAGCCACGGGGTGCGGATAGCCACGAGGGTGTGTGGCCGCAGGATGGCGAATTAGCAGTCAAGGCAGTTCCGAATCAATGGAACTATGCACAATGCTTGCGATCCTGAGATTCGAGGCACAGCACACGATCGGCTATTCAGGCGTGGTAACGGCCGAGGTACTCAAGGTAGCACTGCTCAGAACCTGAGAGGCGGTGTGTGGCGGGCGGTGCCAATATAACTACGGAACGTACGAGAAAGGGGACCTGCTCCTATATAGCGAGACCTCAAAGGGAATCCTTAAAAAAAGGAATGAACAATTAGGCTTATTCGGTCACAACAAACAGCGCCTCGCGGTGTAGCTCACCGTGAGGGATATAAGCAACTGTCTGCTCAACGCGCCAATCGAGACAGCAAGCTCCGATCGCTGTGCCAGATATCTCAGGGAAGTGGCCTTGAAACTAGCAGCGGGCCACAGGGCGTAGCGAGAAAAGGAGGAGAAAGGAGCGACAGGATGGCCCGCAGGCAGGAGAGTTTAGTATGAATATGATATCGCAGCCCGGTAGCCGTTGGGCCCTCCTGTGAAGGACACGTTTGCTTGGCTGAGGAGCCGGTTGCCGTAGCACAGCCCATGAATTCTGCCAAGCGGACTGCTGGTTCGTCGATTCCGGGATTGTGGGTTCCTGATCTTATCTCTATGCTCCGCTATGCATTGCACAGCTCTCAGTGCTGCTCCTGTATATGCATAACTCATAGTTCACTCTGTTCGCAAACAGTACACCGCTGTTCAATACACCGAACGTTCGCGTCAGTAAGGGAAGCACAGTATACGGCAGAACGTTCCGCAAGCAATTCATATGCACAGCCCACTTGCTTCTCCGCTTAAAGTTACCTTGCGACAGCAAGGGCACAAATGTAACGCAGATTTTGGTGCATTGTTTGGCTGTATTTGTATCTTGCCTTTTTCGTTCGCTCACGTCATCCTTCGCACTTTGAGGCTGTCTGTCGCAAGGTCTGCTGCCGGCGACAGCCGGCGCTTCTCGAGTTCAGGGAAGCTTAGTTCATTACACGTGCCGCTTTACGGAAGTTAAACGAACCGATCAGTAATGGCGGAGGAAAGTCGGAAACTGTATGCTAAAGATTGCTTTTTGTGAGCGACACGAGGAAGTTATTTCGCCTCGTGCACGGACATGGAGGCATCAGATCTCGATTTAAAGGCCTGATCGCCGTAAAAGTGGCCTGCACGCTTGCATGCGTCATTCTAGAACCACGGACGTGCGATGTTTTTGCTGTGGGCGCACCATGGCCAGCCGCGCGAGGATTTCTTGACATCCAATACGTTCCCCGCCCATCGCAATTTACCTCCCAGCGGTATCTGATAGCTGCATATCAGTGATGGGAATGACAGCGGTATTCGCCTTGGACCTATTCAAGATCATGTTCAGTACTGGTACTGATGCAGTGATGCGCTTGGCGTTTTGATTATGTGATTGTATTATGCACCGCTCGCCCTGAGGTGAGATGATTTGGTGGGAAACGAACTCACGGTGTGTTCGGCTGTTGATGTTGCTGTGGCTGCTTGTCATGGGCCATACCGCCTTTGACATTTGTCGCAGGCGGTCCATGAATGAGAGCGGTGGCCCTAGCATTAATTGCTGTCAAGGAAGGATGAGATCCCGACGTTAGCGAGCTGCGTTGCAAGCTGAGACGAGCCGTGTGGCACAGGTTTAAGTGAAAAACATTTTGCGGCACGCGACCGCAGTAGACGTGCGTTGACAGGGCCGACGTACCGAGAATGCGACTCACCTGGCGGCACTGTAACGATAAAGCTCGGCCACGCACATAGCACTCCTCCTCCCGAAGATCTGGCGAGATTCCACGCAAAAGAAGCTAACGAAGTACCCTTCTTGTGTGATCAGCACACACTCAAAAACGCTAACGATCTGCGCAGAAGGCCTGACATTGCACGCGCAGCATTAAAAAAAGTGTGAGCTGTGCTGGTACCATCCACGTTCGCGTTGATTATGGCACACTTTGCAGGGCCAAGTAATTCCGGAACAGGCTCAAAGGAGTCCCGAAGGTAGCTGTCCACCGTGCATCCACCGCTTGCCAGTATTACCGAATGCTGTACAGTTGAAGAGCACTAGCCGTCCCCGCAGCACTTCCACAGTTCGTCATACGTGTCGGCAAGTGCGCCGACCCGTGCCGATAGGCAGTGTGAATATGAGTAAGTTAAGGTACGCCGAGGTTCAAGGAAAGAAGAGTCTATGGTCCTGAACGGCACAGCATTACTCGTCTGATCTAATATCGGATTGATAATTTGTGAACGGACTTCAATACTAGGAAGACTCGAGAGGACGAACCACGCGTATCTTCGATTGACCGCTAGTGGGAACCATTGTAATACGCGGAACTGCGAGTACAGCTGTCAGTGTAGCTTTATGAGACACAAATTACAATTCGCCAGGGCGTCCTTGGCACCGGGGACCACGATGGTGATTGTGCAGAGCCGTGGGTATGGAAACACTGCGCGCAGATGCATCAATCGACGAGGAGCAGTTGCTGTGCTGATTAGTTTCCCAATGGATCCAAAGGAATCGATCAGGATGCAAAGCGGTCCTCCGACTTTGTAACGATCCATATCAATGCCAATATCTCGCTCAGGAGTTAGGGATGCATGATCGGAGTCTCGAGCGGGCTTCGAGTTGTGCAGGAGCTGCAAGAAATAGGTTTGTTTATCCTGGGAACTGCAAGTCATGACTTGCCTAAAGCGACACCGGGTAAGTAAGGCACAAGCGGAAGCGGGCTCGAAGGTAAAGAGGTTCCGAACAGAAAGCGACGCATATGTTCGATTGATCGCTTGCGCGAGCCGCTGGAACACAAAGAATCGCGAGTATAGCTGCCAATGCACAGCCGCACGGGATAGGGTTACGCCGTGAGAATGGACGGTCCTTGGCGTGGAGAGCCATAGCGCCGATTGTGCGGAGCAGTGAGTACGGTAGCAGTGTGCAGGTTATACCAATATTGACGAGAGTGCAATTTGCTGTGCGGATTATTTGCTAAGGGACGCGGCAGAGCGATGGCGATGCAAGTAGTCCTTCGACTTCGGGAGAAGATCCTTATCGTACGTCAGTACCCTCGGTAAGGAAGCACGATGATTCTCCAAAAATATGTCTTCAAATATGGATCTCGGAATACCAACAGCCCTGGAATGGAATCGTAGATCGGACTTCATGGGATGACTGCACACAGCCTGCAAGAGACTGTCGGACATGACGAAGCCCTGAGAAATGGTTCGATCGTAGAACTGTGGAGAAAGGTCATGCTGACGGTTGTGCTACAGAATCTGGGTGCCATTGCTCGAACAGCGTCATCGCGAACAAGGATTGCAATCTCGTGCTCTTCATGGAGCCAGTATGTTCCAATCGGTTCGACTTGGCTCGCCGAATTTCCAGGATCAGCGGTCCTGAATTTCACATCACGAGAGCGTCAGCGGCAAAGTGCAGGTGATTCTAGCGTACTTGGACGTTTGGGCTTTTGAATGACGATCACTGTGCAGGGCGGTGCTACCTAGACATAAGATAGGGCTCCAAGAACGCCTAGTTTGAATGATTGCATCCGGAACCCCGTCCTTCGGAAGATGAGGAGCCGAATACCGGGTGGCAGGCAGATTCTACAGCCATGAGGATCCTAGGGAGTCAAAATCAACGTAAACGTTATAGACCAACAAAGTAAGCCGAAGTTCACGCAATTGTATAAATCCTGGTACACGAGAAGCTCCTGTGAGAGCGACAGACACTCAATAAGGCAGACACGAACTCATGTCCGTTACAATGCTCACCTCATGCCGTCGCTGGTTGGGCAACCCTTTGAAAGGAGCTTCTCACGATGCGCACAATAGTTCCAGAAATCTAGATGGAAGCCCAAGCATAAGTCGTGCCGGTGGCAAATCGAAAGCGTGCCATTGAAGAGACATTGACGTGGCCCATGCATGCGGGAAACACGCAGCATTGGGGCAGTGCGTATAGCAAGTTTTGTGGATAAAGCTCTGTGAACTACTAGATCCGTGCCATTGATATTACGACGAGCGCTACTTACTGTTGGCCTTTGACTGAAAACGCGCATACTCGGGGAGCCCCGAAAGAGAAGAATGAGCCGCAGTTATTCCAGAGCAACAGTGTTACAGTATACGAGGGTCCAAGTCGAGTGAACCCGTCGTGCATCTGGGGGCATCTGATCCCCAGTGATCAAAAGTGCGGCGTCCTTTTGTCTGAAATGTGCTGTTCGTTCACCGAGAGAAAGCTGGATACCTCTTGCACTGCGTCTAGGATTCTGCTAGGGGCCGTTGGCATGCTTCGTCAGCATATCCAGCTTGGAAGCACAGCATTTGGAATTAAATAAATTCTGCGCAGTGAATGCTGAGTCATCGATAAGCTAGACCAGAACTTAAATTGATAGAAGCATCCCTGGTCCTATCTGGAAATCCCAGCTGACGAGCAACTGACCCGAGTTGGCTGAGTAGATAACGACGGGCACTGTGATACCGCCACTCAACTACGCCTCATCAGATGGCCTGTTAGAGTCACGTCTTTCTCACCAGAAGCCAATGGTCAAGAGTGCAGCGAGCAAGGACAACACCAGCATAACGTGTGATTGAGTAGTTGCAAGCTGCATCCTGGCTACCAGAAAGGCCACACAGATGATCGATCGACAACTATCCGGATTGTCGTTCAAACGATCACCATTGAGTGATAAGAAGCGTCGAGATACCACAGGAAGATCCGTGAATGTGCTAGCAGATCTAGCCTACAACAGCAAGACATCTTCGGCCACTGTGGTCACACGCAATGCGCCACTCAGTGCTCAGAGGCCCGCTTATCTGAGTGATGCTATGCCATGTGCATTGCCGCCGCGTGAGAACAAGGTACCAATGTCATGCAGTGATCCGTTGTCAGACACTCGATTGATATCAGGAATCAGGATATCTGGATATCCTCAGACTTGTGGGACAGAGAGAGTTTGGTTTGAACTCGAAGGTTGCGTCGAAGATGTGGGTCATAGCGGATTGATCGATCACATGAATGATAACTCCGAACCTCCACATATCAGATATCGACTGACAAATGCCTTTAGTACTTATCGTCGAATCTGCCACTATCGGATCTGCTGCATAGCCTCATCCTGGAACAAGAGGCACTGTGCAACGAATGTCATGGATGTTTGCATAACTTCGGACATAGTCGAGTAAATATTGCTTCGGAGACTATTCTACATCTGGCTTCCTTGTTGTACAGCACGTATTGACAATTACAAAAACTGATTGTACACGCCAGCATTGTCTGACCGATAAAGACTTCACGAGATTGACCTAGAAAGCACAAGCTCACAACCACAACAAAGGGAAGCCCAATTTTTCTCCCCACAATAGGACACAAATCAGGAAAACAAGGCTCACGTAAGAGGGACCACCCGCGTTAGGGTGATAACCCAGCAACGTATTGCAGTGCCTTGCCGTTCAGCCTTGATATGCAAACGACACAGCGCCATACAGTCCGGCTTCTCTTCCGAGAAGGCCGTGTCCTTGCAGTACCTGCATGAGTAAAGACGACACATGTGAGCATACACCGCACAGCTTGAGTAGAGTAACGCCACACCCACCTCCATCTTCCGTGCATGCCATCCAATTCCACTGCTAACGTTACCATTTGCGTCCGCAAGACGCTCCAAAGCAACCCTCCACGGATGCTCTCTAGGTAAGTTCCTCCTCAGACCACAACCCTTGCCACCGGAAGCAGGGAGCTCGGCCATCCAACCGCTTCCCGTGTCAACGTACCAGCCCCGTCCTCCCTTGCTCTTGATGACCCGCCAGGAGTCCGCACCCGCTCCTAGGCTCGCAAGCAACGGCGTCGCAAGCTCAACCACGCGGAGGCGCGTCGGCGGCTGCGCGGTCTTTTTAATCGCGGTCAGGCTGAACGAGAACGGCGGAGTGCAGAGAGGACGGATGATATGCGCATGCAAGTTCATAGGTGCTTGACGCGCCGTGACTACCTGCGCGCCATACCCAAGCTCGGGGGACGACGTGACCAGAGTGAGCACCTCGACGTTCGGTGCCTTCTCCTTGAGGAACTTGGCGATGACGTCGAGCTCGAGGTTGCGTATGTACGAGAGCCCCAGAGAGCGCAGGTGCGGCTGGGATGCACACATGTTGAGCAAGTGCTCTTTCGTCACGGGGGCGCTGGACAGATCGAGATACACGAGCTCGCCACTCGTGAAGCATGGCGCGCGAGAGAAGATAGCGTCCAAATCATCAGTGGAGAGGGGCGAGGGGAAAGTCCAGTCGCCGTAAAGAGTAAGCTCGCGGATGTTCTTGGCGGCAGGAGCGTTGATCAAAAAGTCCCGTATGCTCTCGCCGGTCAGCCAATTGCAGCGTTCGAGCGCCAAAGATTGCAGGCGGATGGTGGGTGACGTCCCCAATGCAGCGAGGACCTCGGGCGTGATGCGCGTGCAGGAAAGGTCCAAATGCGTGAGGCAGGGAAACGCCAGCACGAACGAGTTCAAAATGTGCGGTTGCACCGATTTGACGCCACGCAGTCCGAGCCGTTGCAGTCCCGGAAATATCAGCGGTTCCTGCATTGCATTTCGGCTGCGAGGCTTACCGCGCTCCGCGTTGGTGTCATCCTCGGCATCCGAGTCGGAGGTGGAGCGATCAATGAGATGATCTTCGACGAACTGAGTGAGCGCGTTGACGAAAACAGCGCTTACACATCCAGTGAGGTCTATAGCGTCGAGTTCCTTGCACTCGCGCCGTCGTTCGCGCTCCTCGTCTTCAGCATCGTTCGGGTCAAAGACAACAAGGTCCCGACCACGCGACGGGCGCCCCCGGCCTCGTGACGCGGATCCTCTTAAGAGCAGTTCCTTGAGCACCGGGAACGTGAGCGCGCCGTCCATATATTCCGTAGCGCCGAATGCCACAAGGTTGGGCATTTCCTGCGTGTCAGGTTGCGCGTCAGGACGATTTTCCATGTGGTCGACTTCACATGTGACGGATCACGTACCTTCAAGACGGACTCCAATCTGTCACCGGTCACAAATCGGTTGTTGACACCCTCCTCGACAGAGCGCCTCATTCCGATGGTTCGAAAATGATTGAAGTCGAGGTGTCGCACGTATTGACCGGCATGTGGAACGTTCGGTAGCGGTACTGTATGAGCACGACATCGTAGCCAAATTTAGCCGTCGGAATTCTAGGCGATGCAGTGTTTTCACGCACCATACATTCCTGGATTGTCGTGCTCCATGACGTTTCGGATCGCGTCACTTATGGAACGCATCATTTTCCATCGGGCGGGACTCTTACTTTTGGGCCTCAGACGTCTCGGGCTCGGGTCGCGACTGGCGAGAGGGGTGAGAAGCTCAGGAGGGATGGAGCCGTCAGGGCCACCCAGTCTTTCGAGTACTTTCTCGTGAAGCTGAAGTGCGGTGGCCTTGTCGGGAACCGCTCCAAGCAGATCCCGAGTGGCCAACACAGCGTTCTCAGCATTGTGAATAGTCTGACCGACCATAAAGGCCGTCTGCTCTTCTTCGACATCTTCGTCATCACCCCCGGCAATTTCTTCGACTAAAGACAGCCAGCTTCGCGGAAGTCGTATTTCTACTTTACGCCAGAGCCATGGTTTGGCGGCCTCGTACCACGCGCGGTTCACGAGACAAAGATTGGCCAACGTCCGCCGCGAGACACCTTCGGCCCAATGTGCTGGAGGATATGAGGATGGTAAGGAGGTCGGTGCACTGCCCTCGGAATGCAGCTGAGGGTCGAGCGACGTAACCGGGGGTGAAGATCCAGCGTCATATACGTGGGCACAGATGGTAGAGAGCAACTCCGGAGGGTACATGTCTCCTAAGCGGGAACCTGGGGTCGTTCCGGACATGGCCAACGTCTGCAAGGTTAAAGTGCGAGGTGGATGGTATGGGAGGTTTCGAGCGGACAGCAACGGTGGGCAGGGAAGTGGTCAGCATGATCCGTACGAGCTTTATACCAACGGTGAGTCAACTCGTGACGGTGACCAGAGAATGTAAGCGCGTGTTGTTATTGACTTGCACATCGGCGCCGGCGTGATCGTGCGCGCGTGGCTTGTGGCGGCGACCTCTCGGATCTGCCTCTCATGATCTTCGCTTACTCTTCTTACTCGTCGGCTAACTTTAACTGACTTCTGGCGGACTCTTCCTGTATTATCCTGCTAAAAGCGTTTTTTCTCTTGTGGCGTTATAGCAACATCTGCAAATGTGGTTGACACATGTATGCATCGACCCCAGAAATGCAGGCTCTGAGCTCCATTCAGATGAAGACGGGGAAGACTTCGTTGCACGCTGTGCACATGCACCCTCGAAATGTAACTTCAAGATGGAAGTATATATATATATAACACAAGCACGAACGTTCGCAGATGCGAGTTTTGCGTGCGAGAGCATCCCAATAGTACGCGCAGCTCATACTTGTGCTCTTGCATCATCCTGAGCCACGATGCTGCAGGTACGTAACCCATGACGCAGACCCGGCTTGTGCTCGACCACATCAACCCGGGACCAGTCACATCAGAACCCCAGAGTGCTGAAATATATTCCACCGCTGTGCATCTGACCATCCGCAATATGTTGTGGTTCTCGACCCGGTGGTCTCGTTCCGTCGCTGCCGTAACAGGTCGTAGAAAGCGATGCTCGAAACCAGGGAAGCGCGTGAGGCGGACCTTCTCCGATTGGTTTTCGCGAGTCAAAAGTTTCATGTTTGAATGAGCCCCCAGACTGAGCGGCCGAACGTGACATTTGACCACGATGCTACGACATACACCTGACCGGGCTAGCTAGGCGACGTTCACCACCTGACGACTCGTTGCTACTTCATATAGGCGGAACGCGAACGAGACCTACAGCCGCGTGTATGCGAAGAAGGCCGATGTCTGGAAATTGATGCTGCCGATGCGGTGTAGTACATCTGTTACATGTCAGGCGCCTTCCTTCAGGAACGTGCGACCTGGTCCTGACCTTTCTCTCATAGGCCCTCCGCATCGCCATCGCACAATGCGACGAAATCATCGCGAGCGCGCGCTTAATGTCCAGGTTGTGAGACGAAAACAGATCCTAGGGCGGCCATGCAGTCGTTTCCATTCAGACCATACAGCGGACTTCAAACTTGAACGTTCGTAGGCCCTCTCGACCCGGAGGCGGAGCCTTCAGATGCCTTCTCACTGAGTTCTTTTTGCAAATCATCGACCCAACGTTTGAACTTGATATGCTGAATGATTTCTCAGTCGCAGCGAAGGCACTTCTATCTTTGTTTCGTGCGTCGCACAAGTCCTCCATCATACCTGGGACGAAGGGCATGCAAAAGGTGAGCTGGATATTCTAGTGAACGTGCCTTCAATGGATTAGACAGCTATTTGAACGTTAGAAGAACCTCGAACGTTGATGATTTCAAACGTGGGTTGTGCTGCTCCGTAAGGTTTACGTCTTTGCACTTCTAGTCGTATCTGATGACTTGCTCAGAACAAAAGCAGGACAGATGATGGAAATGATAACCTTTACGAGTATATACTCCATTGAGTGTCCGGAGCGAAGCCTTCCTTTGTGACGCAAGACACGCCATCATATTGCAACAAACTGAATGAACAAACTAAATGAATCATTTATTGGCAAAGGCTAGGCATCGCTGAGGAACGGCGACGTGATTACTGCCGACTGTCCATGTTCTGACCGCAGAGTCTTCGCGGCCGGATCACTTGCTTCCTGATCATCATCCTAATGTCCAAGGAGGAGAACGGCCGTTTGTAACTGCGACGATCTCTACCTTCAGTCAAACGGTTGCCGTTGTGCCGGGCTCGGCCCTCGCTGCGCCTGCGGACGATGTTGTCCGCATGGTCAGACAACTGATGAGGTACACCCATGCGTTTTGTACTTCGGAAATACTAGGAAACGCAGTTGATTGGGCGCATTCTGCCTTGATGAGAAGCCCTACACGAAGTTCGTCGTGCTAGAGAATTGCTACTTCGACCTGCACGATGGCGTGCTTTACCAGCTGCTTCCCATCGATGAGCTTTCTTCACAAGCAACTGAGCACACGTACCCTAACTCCGTGGAGGAAGCCCGAAAATGGCATTGCGGTCGTCATGTCTGCCGTGGCGTAAGAATAGTCACTCGGTTTCCCCGCTCGTCGTCCCGCACACGGCAGCGAACATATTGCGACTGGCGGAGACACGTTCCTCGAACCCACGCATGTCGTGTAATGTTTTCTGCAGTCAGCCTAACAGAGTGTCACAACATCGTATTTGCATCTTTGCGGGATTTATAGCTCTCCCTAGCGTCGATGTGCTGTTCTAGAACTGCTCGCTGTGATTATGGGGTACCTTCCTCTCAATAGATGCCTTGATGAGAAGAGCGAGGAGCGGAGGCTTGATCTTCATGGCCCAGCAATCCATTTTAGTTCCCGGGCCTTACGGAACCGCAGACGCATCGCGAAGGCCAACTAGTGTCCGTGGCGTTGCCTTCACGTTGAGAATGCACGGATCAAAACTAATGAGCCCGTGCAACTTGGGCCTGAGCGTCAGCCCATTGTAGCATTGTCCCCGCCAAATGTTACAGATTGCAAGGCCAGTAAAGCATGCCGTCGTGAGCGTACAACTTGCAATCCCAAGAAACAAGCCATTGAACTGTCCCAGGTCGGCGGTGACGAAGGCCCCAATCACATCAATACTTGACGTAGTAGTCATACTGTGAGAACATCCAAACAAGGGAGATGGCTTTCGATGCGTGATATGACACCATATTGAGAGAGGTGCGAAGATATGGCGGACTGAACGTCAACGATTGTGCGAGGTGGAGTGGAACCGATGACTCACTGGAAACCAACACCGGGCTTAGAACGGGACTGTTGATCTTCGCGCTCCGGAAGATCAGGATTTCGGAAGCAAAGTGTGCGAACGCGAAGAGGTAACTGAACATTGCTAGATCGTATACCCTGGAGAAAGCGAAATTAAGGGAATGGAAGCAGCGAAACGGGAAGATGACTTTGCAAACGCGGAACAATGCTGACCTTTTGTCACTGATGTAGTAAGCGGCATAGAATCGTATCGCGGCAGATGTCAGTGTCCAAATGGCGAATGTCCTGGCCTGTAGAGCGGTGACTGCCGACAAAGACTCAGCCCAGGGCCCCAGGCACAAATGATATACGTAACGAAGCCCGCACCGTTGTGTGACCCTGAGCTATAGAGCTGGCGTGTAAGCCTCAGCGTAGCATAGTTTTGGACGCTGTTGAACACTGCCATGGCCGCCACGAAAAGCTGCCACTTGGGAAGCCATCCGTCCGTTTGTGGGAGCAGTGCCATAAGAGCTGTATATCGGTCAGTGCGCCTTACACCCGCAAAGACGCGATCTCGGAGCACCCACATCCAACAAAGGCCATGGTAACTGACGAAGGCGAAGTTAAAACCGGACGTATCAGAAAAAAAATGAACGGGTTGCGCGACTGGACGGTCCTCGGTCGCGTCTTTTCGCCACGCGTTATGGACCGTGCCTGTTATGGTCGCGTGGGAACAATTCATTCTGCGTGTCCCTGGGACCTGCCCGACGATTATGAACGGCCAGGTTCTCGCTGTCTGCGGTCTGCGACCATCTCCGGCTCGTCTTCGTTGCATGCAACGTCCGCGGCCCGAATGTCGACGGCGGTCGGTGTCGCCCCCAGCAGCCCCCAGGATCCAACTCGCACTGCTCGTTCAGACTCGGTGGCCAGCAATTCGAGTGCAGGGGGCACGTCGCTACGACGTCGATCGCGTACGAAGACACGGACGCTCAACCTTGCAAAACGGGGGAAAAGTTTAGGGCCGTCGGGTAGTGGTGCCGAACGCGTCGGGGACGATTCAGTCAGCGCCCCCGCCGCCCAAGATGCAATACCTCCATTACCGCGAGCGCTCTGTGACGAGCGCGAGGTGTTATGGAAACCCGAGCTGCCGCGCACTGGTGTCGAAATGGAACAAGCCCTCCTGCCACGTCGGCCAAGGACTACCGGCTCAGAGCGACCACGACCGATTGTGGTCATTCAGGAGGCATCGGACGCTGGACATGGTAATTCTGCCATGACTGCTGGTGGGATTGAACTTGAGTGGGACACGCAGGCACGTTCTGAGGGCAGTTCTAGTCGAGGGGTATGTATTCTAGAGCTTGTGATACTTTTCTATCTGTGTTCATCATGAGGTTTGCAGATGAAAACGCGATCTCGCACATTAAGTCTGCCTCGCCATGCATTTCGGACAATTGCGACATCGTCAGATTCTTCCTCTCAACCTAGCCCAATTACACCGGCTCTAGCGCAAAGCGAGGTACCTCAGGTTCAGATACAGCGTAGCGATCCTCAGACCGTGAGGGACTCGATATGGTCACAAAACTCGTCGACGTCTTCCTCAGCATACCCTGCATCCACAGTCACTGGCAGCCATACTACTACCGAATCCTCCCTTCCGTACACTCTCGACAGCCACCAGGATGACCAACATGCCTTCTCACTGGAGATCGTCTCTCCAGAGAAAACGGAGTTCGATGCAGACGATGTCTCATATCGTCTTCGCTTACTCATGAATAACAGCTACTTTCTGCCACCTGCTCACGCAAAGCCCACTCCGTCATACCTAGCATCTCCCGGTTCACCAGGCTCAAAAAAGGTGTCGCCCAAGTCCTCCAATCTCAATATTCTAGATTTCTTCCGAATTGGGAAGCCGAAGTTGAAGACTACGCCGGCTTTATCCCCTCTGACAGCCGGGAATCCTGGAGGACCAGTTCTACGAACGACTTCGGACTCCACAACTGCCTCTGGTTACTTGCCGCGTCCTGAAGTGCGCTCGGCACCCCAGACTCCCATCCGTGCCCCACCTCCAAATATGGTCCGGGTAGTGGTAGTGCGAGAGACGATGGAAGATCTTGCGACAGCTGCAAAGGAGGCTGAGCGAGACCTCAAAACAAAGGCGGCTGTCCGTAAAAAGAGGAGTCAACTCATGTCGACCCGGAGAAATCAACAGGTAGATGTCATCGACCCTACTGACGCCGTAGACTTACCACCGCCGTCATCGAGCTATCCATTTGCGGTTCAAGCTTCCAATCTGCAAGGACTGGGTGTGAGGGACTCCATTGGCGCTGCGTTGCTCGCGGAGCGGCTACCTCCTGGCAGTCCGGGCATATGGTCCCTAAGTTCTGATGACACCTGGCGCAAAGCTCTCCTTCATGAGGCTGTTACTCACTCGTTTAGCAGCTCTGCTACGAGCTCGCGTGCGACGACGTCGACCAATGGGTCGTCCTCTCCATCTCCAACGCCTCCATCGGCGAGCACACCTACCTCACCGGAATCCCGCCCGTCTGACGATTCTCATACTACTGCCGAACACAGGGTTGGTCAGAGGATACTGGAGGACATCCGGGTTAGCAACAACGCAGACGAGCAGCAAAGTCCAACTATTCTTACTCAGTCATTTTACCCACCTATGACTAGTAATAGTCTTGCCATGTTCTTGACTACGCCCATTTCGGATGCTACACCGTTGCATACGCCACTCAGTCGAGCAGCTTCTCCTACTCACGGCCATGCGCTGTCTCCCGCTCCAAGGAGGCAAATGAGCAATCCGCAGTTCTCATCATCGCGGCAGGGCCCTTCGGACTCCGCGGCGCAAGGGGTCAACGTTGAGGGGTCGTCAGGACTGTCTCCGCCATCAGCACAGGCTCTGCGGAAATCGCTGTCCTTTGCGGGCCTCACTGATGCGCATGACGTTAGTTCAGGTGCTGGCAGGGCCATCTTCTCGCTCAGCCCGCCTCCTGCGGCGCCAGCACAGTTGTCCCCGTCCTCAGAGGAGCACAACCTGCGCACTTCACCGTCCATCTCTTCCTATCAAAGCATGGTAAGCGGCTCTCGTCAGTCTGATGAGCTGTCATATGCAACCGCAGAAGATTCCGATGGTGAGCAGCATGAGAAGCTCAGGCCGTCTGTGTCGCTGTCGGTCATGACTGACAATCGACCGTCCATGTCCCTGTCTGAGTACTCACAACCCTCTCCCACGGTGTCTGCATTCCATGATGCGATATTTGGCAGTTATCGGCCTGTGTCAGTGTTGTCCCGAAGGAGCTACCTTCCTGCTGTTTCTGGATCATCAGCGCTGCCCTCATTACCTACAGCTGTTTCTGATCCTGGACATTATGTAGTCTCACCGACTTCACGTATTCCGTCTTTGACGGACCCGATTGCGTCACCTCCGCCCCAATCACCTTTACCCGGGCCTGTTGGCCGCCCATCACTGTCCTCTCGTGCCTCCACCGATCCCGGTCGCCCTTTTATCGCAGAGTCAACCTTCTGCGTAGGAGTTGATTCTTCCTTGAATCCTTCTACAAATTCCCTCGACTTTCACACACCTATGGCGCCTCTATCGGAACGGCGAGGTCGCTCCTCCGGACTGTCGCTCCTTATTCCGACCGAAGCTCCCACTCCTTCCATACACTCGGCGCCGGCGCCGGCATCGCCAACCGCGTTCTTCGATCACATTGAGGATGCAATGTCCGAGTTTGGCGCGTTCGACGAGAGCGAGGACGAAGAAGCGTCTCCTGAACCTGCCCACATGTTTTTTGGCGCTCGCGGACGAGCTGACCCTAACTGGACTATCAGCCCAGGAGTGTCCCTAACGCGTTTGGGCAACTACTCATCTCCCCATATAGCATCTTCTTCCATTGGCATCAGCGGTGCTGATAGGAAGAAACCGATTGTGAACGTGCCAAAGCGGCCGCGTCGCTCGAGCTACTTCTCGAAGAAGAAAGCGTTGCTCAAGGACGACCCTACGCTGCCCTTCAAGGAGACGGCTGCAGGACATAGTCATAGCTCCGGCAGTGCCATGCATGGTTCCGTGGCTCGTCGTATTTCGAGAAGGAGGCCTGCGACGGCTGGTGCCGCAGAGGACAGGTCAAAATGCTTCCAGCGCGAGTCCATCCAGATGTTTGATGGCATGCTCGTTAGGCACCTGGAGGCCGAGCGAGACACCATCAGGCGCATTACCTCTAACATGTCGAGTTCCAGAAGTTGATCTACTTGCTATCTAGGTTATCCTTCATCGTCGTCCCTTTTGCTTTCTGGTTTGTTGACATCACGATCGCGTCTATTCACAACCGCATCTTGTATCAAATCCGGCTCAGCGACCACGCCATTACCGGCCTATGCGTGTTGAGCGTCCTGCTTGCGGCTGGGCTTGCTTAGGCTTGACACTTCTCGTATATGCTACATACCCTTCCACATATACCACCGACTACTCACACTCCTTTGCCATGTATACCACATGCAACTCGCTAGTTACCCTATACTGATGGTATTCATTCATCGCTTGCACTTGGTTTGTCCAGGTTCTTTTGGAGTAAGATTCCGTTCTTGTAAATATGCGCATATAGATACAGTAGCGAGACAATCTGGAATGAAACGGAGACTAAACAACAAGGGAGAGTGGGATCATAATGACAGGGCTCAGAAGCGCTTAATACTTGCAGCCCTACGGCACATAAATTAATTTCCCTGTGTTCTTCTCCAAGATGAAAAAGACAGAAAACCAACAACCAACAATGCAGTGCCGGCACCAACCAGCCCAGGTAGATACAGATACCATGTCCGATCGTCATCGTCTGCGTCTGACCGGTAGTTCTCCATGAACGAGCTAGACAAGTCGCCGGACTCCTTCTTTCGCCTCCGACGAGACTGCTCAGGCGGCCAGCCCAGCTCTATAGAAGAAACTTTCGAAGCGGAAGAATGCTTCGCCCTTCTGCGCTGTGATACCGGGATTGAGCCGCGGTTTGAACCTACGCTCTTACGATCGCCATTTTCCGCTCCGGAACCCGGGTCCGAGTCGTTCTCAGGTGGGAGCAGGGGCACATCTAGGACAGGCACCAGGGCGCGTGCGCGCTCGAAGTACTGCCTCGCGCACTCCCTGTCATGTCTCCAGGCTTCTGTACTACCTATGCTGTGGCCGGGGCTGCCATGTCCATGGCCGCTAGTTCCGCTAACGACTAAGGGTGCGCGAAGAGATGACAGGCCCATGTATGTCGAGGACAGCAATTGCGTGGCAGCTCCCTCGAGGTGCAACACGCCTGCGGAAAGGTACAATTGGGCGAGTCCTTGTGTGCCGCCTATGCGATTGACGTAATACGCTAATGTGCCAGGAATTGGGTCGGGAGCAAGAGGTGTGGGTGTGCTCGGCTCTGTCGGCGGTTCAGAACCGTCTTCAGAGATAGGCGCAGGCAAAGGCTCGGGTATTGGAATGGCGGAGTGCATTGGGAGATAATGCGTCGCCAGGCGGATGGTAGCCAAGGGCACGTGCGCCTGATGCCATGCCCTCCTGTGAATTATGAGTGATTTCAAAGAGCCAAGACGACTGAGAAGGCTTACACGAAGTATTCGAACGCGTCCTGGAACGCCTCCCTGATGTGATACAGGTCTAGTGCCATCAGGACAAGGCTCGTTGGATCCATGTTATAGATGTTCTCGATTGTCAATGCGGACGAAGATGCCCACGGGTAGACACTCAGCGGAGACGGTGAGAGGCTCTCAGGCACAGGCCCGACAACCAAAGAGGGCCACATGACGGATTCTGCCTTCTCAAGATGCAAAGTGAGCAAGCGCCCCGAGGCAGCACGTAACGAGTCGACAGAGGAGTACGATGAGGCGACGCTAAATGGAGGCAGGATGAGTGGCGGGGATGACGGGAGCGACTCGATGATATGTGACCGCTGCGGGTGGCTCATGAACGTGTAGCTCGCTTGCTCATCTACGGAGGACGAGATTGGCGATGAAAGCGCAGGGGATGAAAGGCTCGGCTCTTCAACGTCGGATGGGAAGCCACCGTCAAGTGAGGCAGCAAAGCTACTAGAAATCTCGGGATCAGATAGGACAGCATACGAAGACTGCGTGGATGCAGTTGATGTTGTTGATGTTGTGCGGTCGCGTATCGGGAGTCCTGAGCGAGAGCGAGATGCACGAGGCTCGAGTTGCCACATGGAATTCGCCGTGTCCACATTGCCATACAGACGACCCTGGCGTAGCAATTCAGTCACTGTGTCGAGGCACCTGTGCTCTGGGAAGCGCTAGAAGGGCCTGGACTCACCTTAACAATCGGTGGCTGTCCACGCACTCCCGCCACCAGGTGATTCCGCTCAATCATGACCTAAGGCACGTTTTGTTACGGCCGTAGTTTCGGGCCGAATGGATGAATCTCACCAACACGTCGTCCTCCAGTGTCTCGTACGGCACTAATAGCAATACAGTCGCCTACGCATGTTCAGTCAAGGCGACAAGCTGCGTAGGGACCACTGACCTGATCGTGAGACTGCCGTACAGACGATGTTCCTTCAGATATGCAGGGGATTGAGTGGGTTCTGGCACTCACCTGATGCCATGAGTATGCCTGGTAGTGGTCATGCAACCTGTCCATCTTGTCGTCCGCAAGACAGCGATGACAGTGGTCAAAGACAAAGGCTTGAATAGCGCAGCCACCCGCCTAAAGCGCGCGTCCCTCACGCGTCCATATACGTACACCATCACGTGCAGAGCACGTGGGCGTAATGAAGCGCACTAGTCGCGTCGGCCATCGGGCATTGGCTCTCTGATCTTACCAGCGTCCTCGAGCTTTGCGACTAGACGATGGCGCCGCCGACGAACTGGTCACTCCCTTTTCTTGAGCCTTCATTCTCTCCTTCTCTCGACCGACAATACTCCTTGATTATTCTCAACCAGCCATTTTCCGTGCCTTTGCTTAGCCGACTTTGGAAAGCATCCACTTGGCGGTGCTGTGCAGATGGCGGCGCGAACCGCCTGCATGATGTTCTTAAAAACCAAGCGTCTGTGTCAGAGCGCCTAGGCTGGGATGCACGAAGCTTGTGAGTGTCGAGCAAGCAGTATCGTCCATGTATCATGCGATTCAGGTGCTCCGGGCAGATATCTCCCTGACTTGATCAAGGGTGATCTCGACTCCTTGCGAGATGATGTGCGGGAGTACTACGCATCTCATGTAAGGGCCTTTGCTAACGCTTGCCCCTAACGGCCGCTTTGGCGCAATGGTGGCTTCATGATCAATGGATAGGGCCTACCTTCCATACACTGGGGCTAATACCAAGATCCTTCATCTGGATGACCGCCGTTGGTCGGACGGCGGGCACGTCAGAAATCGTTGCGTTCTCTGGGTGACGAGATGCTCTGAGCATCGTAATCTGTCTATTTGACTCTGATAAGCTGTAGGATGACTTGTCTTTGCATGAAATGTCACCTCCACAATAATTGCACGATGTCCGGCAAAGTTGCGTCTACCACTTGGGTTCTGACATAAGCTATTGCAGAATGTCCCGATCGTGCAAGACGACGACCAGGATTCAACCGACCTGATGAAATGTATTTATGCTTGCGCAGAGAAGCATAAAGGAAGCGTTCATGAGGTATCGTCTCAATACTTTGTAACTTAGGCCGGACCATTGTAGCTGATTCGCTCATTGGCGCACAGAAATCCGACCTGATCGTTCTAGGCGGCCTTTCAGGAAGGCTAGACCAGACAATCCACACCCTCTCGCTTCTATACAAGCTACGGAATAGTCCGATGCGTATTTTCGCGGTAACCGATGATAACGTGGCCTGGGTGTTGAACGGCGAGGGTGCGGATACATCTGTGGGTCCTCACTCTCCCTTGTAGATTGTCGCGTCTCACTGGCTATGATGTGAAGGGAGAGCACCGTATAGCAATCAATCACCAGCTCGTCGGTCCAACCTGTGGTTTGCTACCCGTCGGAGTCGACTCGACGGTTCTTTCCACCACAGGCCTCCGCTGGAATCTCAGTATGTTTTCCGCCGTTTGTGCGCCGTAATGTACCGACAATTGTGGGCGGAGCAGCGGACCGCGTATCGTCATTCGACGGCCTCGTGTCGACATCAAATCACCTTGTTCCAGAGGAGAGCACCGTCTGGATCAAGACGACTCGGCCGATCTGGTGGACTGTCGAGCTTCGGCAGTCAGGGCTGCAATAGCCTCATTGGGATTTCTTAATGTATTTGTATTTTATAGATGCTGTGACATGACTGTCTTCGCGGTCAAAGAGGGATCGCACTTGGAAATCGGGGTGAAGGATTCAATCATGGGGTGGTCACATTTAAATGAATTACGCAGTAGCTGTCATCAGCTAGCGATGCAATGTAGCAGGCTTCTAGCAGAGGGTCATCTAAGCTATTGATATTATTGTGTTTACGATCTAGTTGCACATGGGTGCGGAGATGGATAGGCCAGCTGGTGCTGAGGCAAGATTATCATTCAGTTCGTCCGTACACTTCCCTGACTGTCAAACAACCTGCATTCGCGCTTGCGCTCACATCGCATCATCGGAGATAAAGGCAGTTCCTACCAATGCAGGCTAGCTCGCCGCGGTGATCGGCGTCTTTCACGGGTACAAACCACCACGACCAGCGTTGAGGCCTGAGGCCTGAGGGGTTGTGCTATTGCGAATATGCCTGTCACATCCTCCGGATCTGCATCTGTTGCCAGTGGCCCGAGTGCTCTACTTGGCAGGCGCCTCAGCGACGGCCACGGGGCTCGTAACAGAGCCGCTGGTCCCAATCCACGCCCACCTCATCCAAAGTCCAAAGGGCCAGCCCAGATTTCCGCTATCTGTGCTTCACCGAACGCCACCTGGCTTGGTGAGATACTCGCAAAGAGTAGTTGGATGGCAAATTAGGAGATGGTGGATGAGATAACCCTAACTCCTTAGGGGAGGACTCGGAGGAGGTTGCTGTTATCTGCCCGGTGTGCGGTGAATAACTTTGAGAGTTTGAGGGGCAAACGTGCGCACAAGGGGCTCTCACTAAAGCGTTCGGAGGGGAGGTAGCTGTCATCTGCCCGCTATCCGACTCTGGATAGCTTTAAGGACGAACGTGCATACTACAAAGCCGAAGCCAAGGTCTGAGTCAGTTTATGCTGTGGCTTCCAGTGTTGGCCAAGATTAATGCATATAATGTATTCAGGAGTGGCCCTGATTATATCGACCCAAGAAACTCAAGAGACTTGGCCGCAGGAACTCGCTGACACCTATGACGGCCTCGATCACGTTCGTGTGAGCGACCGTGAGAGACGACTCTGCTTCTCCCATCCTATTTTCCGCCAATCACTCCCACCCGGACATGCTCAACGTGATGATTGTGTTTCAACTGCGAAACGCTCATGAGAATGGAACGACCGCACAGTGTGAGCTGCGGCGGGCGATGCAGTCCATGTCGGCAACCGCTCAACGTTCAACCATCAGCTTCCATAGTATCGAGACGGCGGGCGAGTTAGCGAATCACCATGTTCAATTATAGCCTGCAGCATTGCCTCGCGCCTAGGAGGCAATCACGCTCCTCACTTTCTCGTCGCTATAAGTAGCACATGCATGGCATCAACAAACGTGCCCTCCTTGGCGGCTGCCTTGGCTTCTTCACTCCTCATAACGCCGAATGTAGGACACGGTCTCCTCGCCTCCACACTTGTCTCGTCTGCATCTCATACGCTCTGAAATACCGCGATGCGAGAGTGGTTGACACTTGCGGAATTCTTCGTCTGGATCATCGGGGTGGCGGTTCTGGTGGTGTGGAACTTGCCCTCAAGCGCGTCGTCCCGGCAGAATGCTCGACAGGGTAGCTGGAATACCGATCTCGAGCAGCTCGAAGCTGCACCAATCCTCGCAGCTGTGGTGCCGGCGAGACAGCGACGCAGCGCGTTCAAGGCATACCGACTTACGGGGACCACCTTCCTCATAGTTCAGGTAAACGACATCTACTCGGAGCACCCGTACATCTACGCCAAACTTGTCCCGGAGGCGAACACCATTCTCGTGCTGGACACAGGCTGCGGCGGCGCTTCGAACGACCGAAAAGTTGAGGTTACGAGTTTGCGCGAGTTCATGGAGACGGTAGGGGTGGAGGACAACGGCGGCAAGCCGCTGAACGAGGGCGGAAAAATGCAATATGTCGTCGCGTTGAGCCACTGCCATTACGATCACATCCGTAGGTCACATAACGACGGTCTCAAAATAACGCAGTACTCACAACAGTCACCCGATCCAATTTTAGTGGGCGTTGAACAGTTCACCCATGACTCTCCAATTCTCCAATCATCCCACTCGCCATCTTTTATTTCGCGCGAAAGCCTCCCCGTACACTCCCTCTGCGCGGACCTGAATATCCGCACACCATCCTTTCAGTCCGCTCTAATTCCCCACAACCGGCCACTCCTGTCAGCCTCCGGAGTTCCCCTCGGCATTGTCCTTCTACACACGCCGGGCCACACGCCCGATGAACTAGCGCTCTGGGATGCGGATGAGCAAATGCTCTATGTCGGTGACACATTATATGAATGGGAGCCCATCATCTTCCCGAACGAGGGAGACATCCGAGCGTGGCTAGATACCGTGGACGCGCTCATCACAGTGGTTATTGCTTCGCATACACCAGAAGCGGTGTTGATCAATTGCGGTCATAGGTCAGCGATGAGACCTGCTCTAGAGGTGTTGCGTACGGCGAAGGCATTTATGATGGACGTCCTCTTGGGGAAAGAGCCGATACGGAAGCGAGCGAAAAGAAGGGGTTTAGACTACGTGGAGTACGTTCAGGCATCAAGACGGTATAGCCTGCGATGTCCATTGCGTCTCGTCGAGGAGGCGAGAGATTCCATTGAGACGATGTAGTCCATGTACGAGCTGTGAGACTGTAATAGTATGAGATGCTGGCGATATATGCGGTAAAATCTTATGGACCAGATGAACCTCACGGTCGTGCATTCTTCAGGACTTCCTGTTCGAGTTGCGCCAGAAAGGCGTCTGCAGCGTTCATCGGTGTTTCCTTCACTTCCGCCTTCTGTTTCCCCTTGCTACTCGATTTGGCTTCTAGAGCAGCGAAGGGGCTCATCGGTGCAGGTGACGGTATCGCTGGAACTGGTCCGGGACTTGCACCCTCCGCAGGCGCAGACGTTCGGGTGCCGGCAAGCTTCCTTCTCTTTGCATCCACCATCTTTCTTCTTTCCTCCAGTTCTCTCTTCCTCTTCTCCATCGCCCGACTCTTGATCGGCCCAGAACCTTCCTCTCCGGGCGCCCGCATGCCGTCCATCTCCCCAGGCCGAACGTCCGCCGCGCCAATCTCTTCACGCGTCTTCTCCGTCTCCTCGCGCGCCCGACGCAGTTCTTCCATCTGCCTTTTGCGAGTCTCCTCGTCGCCAGAGAACTGGTAGAACCCGGCGCCCTTGGCGCGCACTTCCTGGGCGGCATCGTAGTGCACGTTGAGCGGGTTATTCTCCTCCGCGTACTCGGCTTCGATGGCGGCGACGCGCTCTGCAGAGGGTTCGTAGACAGGAAAGTAGTTCACCGGATTATCTGTGATGGAGAGTAAGCGATCATGTATCCGTATGGCTCATGACGGAAGACCATGCTCACAGATTACGTCAGAACTGAATAATGGAGTAGGTTAGCTGGCATACACATCGAAAGATTAGGCAGTGAACGTACTCAATATCCTCCCCTTGCTTCGTAGTTTCCATTTGAGGAAGAAGATGCCGTGGAACCTCCGAGCGACGACCACTCCGTATTCGACCAAACTCGTCTTCGTACTCGATGATCGGATCATCCTACAATAAATGATTCAGATGAGGGAGCGCAATGTCTATTGAGCAATTTTGGCACTCACCTCTTCCTCAGCTGGACGCCTCGGCACTGTTAATGACTCGTCTACATCATCGCTGTCCGATTCGTACGCATCCATTGCCTTTGAGTCAAACTGCAGTTACGTACAGTCAGCAGGAACCGAGATAGGAACAGATGCATGCATACATCGACCAATAACGATTCATATTGCTTCTCTGAAATTCCTCCGCTCCTTCCCTTCCTCAGTTTCTCGTATATTTGCGCTTTTCGCTCCAAGGCGGCAAGTGCGGAGTCGATCGTTGGTTTGCTGATCTCCTCCAGCTCGATATCGCGCGCCGCACGAGCTTTTACGCCTTGATTCTGTCGAGCCCATATTGTCGGTTTCTATACGAGGCACGAACACGTCAGATACAATCACTCAGAACCAAAGCTAGATATTACCTTGTCTGCCCGCTTTACGCCACCAACGAGTGTTGTAGGCTTGCCCGCTGCCTTGTTCTTCGCAAACTCTTCTTCTTTTTTCAAAAGTTCAGCCTTCAGATCAAAGAAGGAGCTAGCGCTAACACCGGCCGCCTTAGCCTTATTCTTAGGCGCCATGATAGTCGGAGGGTTGGAGGCAACCGCACGTGGCGATGTAATGGGGTTGAGGCCTTTGGACAACAAGCGCAAACAACAGCCCTTCTGAGTGGCTGCCCGAGGCGTGCCCGAGCTCGGGATGACCATGCCAGCTAAATTTGATCCGTCGAGGATGATCTGGCTTGAACCGATTGCTGATCAGACTAAGGATGATCATGCATTTTCTACACGATCGAACTAGTATACAAGCACGGGGTCTCGATCGAGTCCGAACGAAATCTCATCTAACGATCGTTCGGGGGTATTTCGACAGATTCGCGAGATGGAATGTCAACTGGATTACATTGTCGTCACCGCTCGGGCTAGCCGAGTTGCTCGTTCATTAGAATTGCTTCACGTATCTGCGGAGGAGCGCAAGCGATGAGCACAGGGAATTCCGGGTGGAGAGAATATACTTACGTTGCATCCAGTTGCTTTATTTGCGGAAGTGCGAGCATTACCTTTCGGCGATAGTTTGCCCCTTCTGATTTCTGCACTGGGTTGCCTTCCAAATACACTGTTTCGAGGGACGATATGTGCTGGAGTTGTGGCTCCACGTGGTCGAGAGTACTGATTTGATTATCGTTGAACTACATCAAGATGTCGATGAAACTAAATGTCTTGCTGTGTGATTGAGACTCACCCATAGCTCTTCTAGAGTGCTGAGATGAGATACATTCTCGAGGACTTTCACGAAGTTGTTGCCGATGTCCAGTGTTCGGAGTTTGTGCTACGTTGCGAGTGGTGGGTGAATGAGAATAACAAAGACACAGGCGGGCAGGACTAACATTGTGTTCAAGCCCCTCTAGTCGCTCGATACCATTATGGCTGAGATACAACTCTTCCAAGCTCTCGAGGTTTTCCAAACCCTCGAGCTTCGTTATACGATTTGATTGTATAGACAAGACCTTGAGTCGTTTTAGGCTGCCCAAGTTCTACAGAGTTGATTGTGAGATATTTTCTGTCAATAAACGATATTGCAGCATACCTCAAGCTTTGCGATCTTGTTCTTTCCCAGCCATAGCTCTTCGAGGTTCACAAGTGCATCCAAGTTCTCAATTCTCTGACGAATTGCAATCGGTGATGAGACAAATACCAGACGTGTTCAAGAACACGTACACGCAATCGATTACCCCCAAGCTCAAGACTCCTCAACGTCGATCCTAGACTGTGCAGTCCTGTGATATGCGAGATCCTGTTCTGCACAAAGTACACCGTCCTGAGGGACGTCAATTGTTCAAGCGCTTCTGGTACGTGCTTCAGGAGATTGAACGACAGATCCAACACACTAGTCCGCGAGGCATGAACACAGACCAGCTGACACAATGACAAGAGGACAGCTACTCACGAGAGCTTGCTAAGCTTGTCCAGCGCTCCGTCTATGTGCTTGACTTTGTTGTCGTACAGGTCCAGCTCTTCCAGTACTTCCAGCGTCTGCAGGACTTCCGGGTCCAGGAAGGAGATGTAGTTCTGTCGCAGACAGAGCTTCCGAAGGTATGGACCGAACCGAGGCAAGCCGAGGTTGGAGATGGAGTTCAAACGGGAATGCACAAGCTCGATTTCCTGACAGTTGCATGTAGCGATCAGCGGAAGCGAATAAGCGTCGACTTACCTCCGTCTCATCTGGCAGATCCTCAAGAATCTCCGCATCCTCCACTGACGGTTCCTCCTCCTCAGGATCCTCCTCCCCGCTAGTATCCCCATCGGGCGCAGGAGTGTTCGATACAGTCGCCATTCGCGCAGACTTTTTTCTAAAAGCACGTCAAGGATTGGTCGCACTCGTCAGCAGGATCAAACGCACTGCGGCGGTTTCACATTGGCAGCGTCAAGGGGAGGTTCTGCAGCGGCAGGTTTGGACGTCGCTGTGGCATTTGAGCAAGGTTCTGCCATGAGCGTGTGTGGCGTAGATCAGATTCAAAGTAGAAGTCAGAAGTTGCAAAGGCGATGTTTACCGGTAAGTGGCTGGGAAACACTCCGTTAATAGGCGCCGGGTCATCTCGGCACACGATCTCGACTTATGGTGGCGCTCATGCTTATGGGAGGTTACCTCTTTTCTCTGGAGGCCCCCAGTTAACGAACGTATCTTCATATCAATCCTACAGCACATCTTTTCGGTGCCCGCTGTCCCACTGAGCCTCTGATGGGCGCATAGTCATTGACGCCACCGGAGCTTGTACTCATGCCGTAAAACCTGCTAATCGCGCAATATTGCGATCTAGCCAATAACTTCGACGACCCAATGGGATTACTGGCGAAAACGAGTGTCTATAACAATGGCTTATGATACAGTACATAGCGAACACTCTGCAGGCGATGTTACGAAACCCCATACGCTGGGCGAGTGACGTGCATCGCACAGTGGTTCAGAATAGTGTAGAACGCGAACAGGGAGAGAATACGATAAATATATATCTTCGAAAGGAAGACATATGCTTATGGGATAGTGGATAGTGGAATAAGAAGCGAGCCGTTAAAGTAGAATAGACGAATGACCCTTCTCCGAAGGACGAAGAACGAATTACATAGTCTTTAGCTGCGATAGAAAGTCGAGACGATAAGACCTTGAACGGCGACGATCACCGTCAATGAAGGCGAGACGCCAGACCGACCCACTTTTACTCCTGGCCATAGCTCGACCTATTCGACGCGTGATGTGCATCTGCGGACCCTGGGCTGGGCTGTGAGTCATTTCTGTCATGATCTCGGGTGCGCCTCTCACGTTCAAAGGACGAAGTCGACAAGCCCGCACTCGCCGGCGACTCCGCAACAGGTGATACCGGCGAGTCTGCATGCGCTGTAGAGTATACAGCACCCTGCTCCATGTGCGGCGTGCCAGTAGGATGGCCGTGCACATGCGTCCCGGCAGGGTGTGCCGACGGCGGCGGCGGCGGCGGTCCCGCGTAGAAAGGCATTCCCTGCGGCTGTCCGCCGTAGTGCTGCCGTCCATCGGCATGCGCATTTTGGTGGTGATGAGAATGGTGAGCGTACGGGATGTACGGCACCGCCCCATTCGGTGGCGAGGGCGAGGGCGACATGCCGTTGTGGAAGCCATGATGCCCTTGTGGAGGTGGAGCGTGGGGCGCGTACATCTCGCTCGCCGCTGGCGACCCGTTCGATGACGAGGTAGCGAACGATCCATCATCGTAGTACCCACCGTGACGGGCGTTAGAATATCCCGCGGGGACGGGTGAACCCGAGGGGGAGTGATCTTTCTGTATGGCGCTGAACACCCTGTCCTTGCGCCGGCGTGTCTGTTGCGCGGCAGGCGCACCTTCCTTCTTGGCACGGGACCGCGCATAGCGGAGACCGCACCTGCGACGCGAGATAATGTCAGTATTGGTACCGACAGGCGGTAGACGGGATTGCTACATACGCATTGCATAGATCCTTTTTACCACTGGGCCCCTTCCTCCATTCGGGGCTATGCGTCACCTTGCAGCTCGAGCACCGTGAGATGCCCACAGGTGGGTTGCCCGCGCTCCGGCCTCCGCTCCCATACTGGTCCCGGGTGTTGTTCGAGCCACGTCTGTGTACCACCCTCGAGGGAGGCACGTAGTCACTTCCAGGCGAAGGCGGCGTGTCTTCATTTACAGCAGCAGGTGGAGGGTAGGGCGAGCCTGAAGGTGGGGCAGACCCAGGGAACTGCGCCGTTGCAGAATTTGTGTCCAAATAGGAGGGCGGTTGTGACGGCCACTGGTGTTGTTGAGGAGTTGCTGAATAGGAAGAGGATCGAACGCTGCTGACCGATGGGACTGAGGCCAAAGAACCGTTGTGAGAGTTCCAATTGTAGTGAGCCGAGTTCGGGCTGCCGGGCGGGTGAGACCAATTACTTGGGGGATAGTGCGAAGGCACATGATGAGGCGGAACAGCGAAGCCGTTGTAGTGAGACGATGGCGCAGGTACGGGCGGCAGGCTGTACGAATGATGCCCCTGGTCGTAGTACGGCTGAGCGCCCTGAGATGGGTAGTGGTGGCCTGACGCCGTTGCTGCGTTATTCGGATTCAACGGTCGAGTACTAGCGTGGACTTTATGGCAAGCGAATATTATGGACCCTGAGCTCGGCGTCGATCAGGGGAACTGAAGAGAAGCAGGCGCATATAGAGTACTCACCGTGAGGGATGAATATACTTTCGACTTCTTTGCTGTTGTCCACTCCGAAGTGCATGATCTGCTGCGCTTTGTACCGTCTTGTACAACTAGTCTTTGCGTCCACACTTGAGACGGCGTCGCTTATTTTAACGTCCTGGGCAAGTCTTGCAAAGTCCTTGGAGGTAGGTCCACCGTGATCCTGCTGCTCAGGAGGCCAGCTCATCCAGAGGGAACGTTCCGGCTGATTAAGCAGTATTTGGAAGACCCGCGACATTGAGAGTGGCTGCGGCACGGCAGAGAGGAGCCGTTGATACAAAAGCTGTACTTGGTCCATGCTCATAAGCGGTGTACCACACCAATTAGACCACCCCGTTTTGTCGTGTTCATCGTTGTCGCGGTCCGTCATGTCGACGGCCGCATGGATAAAGCATAGCACTAACCCATCCGACGCCCAGTTGATGACGATGTCAACCGCCATGTAATTATCGTCGACAGATACTTTGTCGATGACTCGACAGTCCTCCATGGACCCTTTATACCCGAGCTGCTCGCGGATACGCGAGAGCCTGGAGTAACGCACTCTATATAAGATTACGTCAACGAGGTGAATGAGCGCGCCTGCTGACACGAAGCGACCGCATGCGAGAGGCATGTGCATACGTACCGGGTGACGCTGCCGTGCAGGGTACGACTCTCCAACACGCTTCCAAGGTCGAGCTTGGCAGACGCCTGTTCGTCTGGATGAACGAATTCGAGGAGGGACTTGCCCAGGAGCTCATCCGCCTGTTCGTGAAGGTGATCTGTGAGGACGGGGTCGAGGTACAGGAAATGGAGGTCGGGGGTGAGAAGGCTCCAGTCTGTAGTGCCAAAGTCAGCATGGGCCAGGGGATGGCGCGGAACAATCATAGGAGCGATCGAGGGCGATCGTCCGAGCTGGGCGGAAAGATACATACAACAGCGAGTCTGGGGCATATTTGAGGGCGGTGCGCTGGCACGATCAACCGTCTGCGCGGAGGACGGGGGCGCGTTGGACGCGACCGACGACGGCGACGCGAGGGGAGGAAGGATGGGCACGTCGTCAAAGGTGGTGGCGTGGTGCATGGCGATTCGGGAGTCGGGAGCGTGGATCGGGGGCAACTGAGTCAACTCTGAATGAGGATGCGGTTCAAAGGCTCGTTGAGACGACGCAACAAAGTTCATGGCACGAGGTAGGATAGGAATAGGCAGAAAGTAGTATAGAACGGGCGGGGAGGTTAAGCGAGGAGCTAGGGTAGAGAGCGCGCACGCGGAGATGGTGAGCGGACGAAAGGAACGAAGGACGAAGGCGCTGAGGGCAACGTCGAGGAGGAGACACACAGGGGCACCGGCCACTGTGGCACTCTTTGCGAGGCAGTCAACACGAATCAACTCCAGGTCATCGGACCGCACCACATCGCTTATAAGGTCGATCACAGCAAACTCTATCTCCTCGTCCCCGTCGCTCTCTCCGCCGTCGTCCACCTCCCCCGCACCGTCGCTGCCAGCGTACGCAGCTGGTGCGGACCCGGTCACGTTTTTCCATTTAATTTCGGGCCTTGTCCGCGGCCTCCGCGTGCAGCCACGCCTCCGCTTCGCACTGCCATGCTCGCACCTGGTGGCCTGAGCCACATGCCTTCGGAGCTCTATATTCTAAAATGCACGGCTGCGTTGCCCACGTCTCCAGCCAGCGCTGGTGCTCCTTGCCGCTGTGACCGAAGATCAACCTCCGATCGTGAGATCCGCTTCTTGCGATCGCCTCGACGCTCAAGTCCGCCGCGATCGCAAAAGCGATGCACCGGCGCACGGGCCAGCCAGACCAGAGTGCTTCACATTTACTCTCATCAGGCGACTGTAGCCGCAGCGCGCCGTGAAGGGCGGTCGTCCTCGCGGCAGGCCCACGCAGTGCTCTATTCTCCGACGGAAGACACGGACATTACATCCCCGCACAGATCACCACATCTCTATGTGAGCAGTCTTATCCAGAAAACAGATATGCCCTCGGAAGTGCTCTACTCTCCGATAGCAAGCATGCTGTGAGACGGCTCCTTAAGCGAAGACAAGAATCATGGCTTGCTCGGCATCGACTTGTCCTGTCGATTCCATTTCGCGCGGCTCTTCCTTATTCTGTCACTGCTCCCGTCGACCTTCGATGTCATTACCGCGCCGACATGAAACAAGATATTTAGAGGCCATTTCTGCCGCTTGTGCTCGCCTTCATGAGGCTCGCTGTCCATTTTGAGCACAATGGCTCTCGACACGCAGGTGGCCCGACAGCGGCCTTATGCACTCCAGGTGATCATAGATCTTCGCGTCACAAGTAGCTCGCAGTCTATTCTCCATGGAGCGGAAGTTCAATCCGTGTCGCAGGAAGGAGGGAAGCGCGGGACTTCCATTAGGCTCGGCTCCAGCACCATTTGACTGTATATAGAGTTCCTGTATTTTCCTGAAAATATGCCCAGCAAATCTGGTTTGGTCCTTTGCCTTTGAGAGTAGGTTCACCTCTGTGGTTTACCTCCGTGTTTCATACCCTCAGTCAAGAACAGTTTTTAAAGTGTTATTTCATAGTACACCTAATATTGGCAATAGGCCAACATCCGATCCCATTCGATGCAGATCGGCAATATTGGGGCGATACAATTGAGCGAACCAAGCCGATCCAAGTCACCAAGGTTGATCATATGTACTTCTAGTCCCCATGCGTCTCGAGCAAATATTTTGAAACCTTCAAGCTGACTTAATTGAAGATATTGCTAGTGCGCTGTGTGTGGCGGTCGGCGGCCCGTCTAGAGAAACATAACCGGCACGTTCCCTTTGTTCTGTTCGCAAACTTCACAGAAAGACAGATTAATAAAAAGTTGTAGGAAATATTGGACATAGTAAATCCTGCATCAGAGTGCACAACAATGAATACATTTTTATGTGAAGTTTTAAGGCTGTGAGGATGGGAAGAGATTCGGTAAAAGGCCACATCACGGTCACGTGCTAGCCTGAAAAGGACGCGCCACAATTAGACGAGACGAGGTTCGCTCCCACCGCCATGCCAGTATCGACACGCGTGCAGGCCGAAAAGAACGTCTGGGTTGCTGCAGGAGATGGCGATCTTGAGCGTGTCAGGGTGCGTACCCGACATTGCCTTACCGAGGGAGATACTGAAGGCGGCCCCCCAGGAATTGATTGAGAATCAATGTAAAGTAATGGTGTTAAATATCCGACGCAGATGCGCTTACCGTCACTCGGTCGATAGCTCTATCACCAAACACACCTGATCCCTATACCTATACTCCAATGTAAGTCTTTTCCCGAACGTGACAGTCACCTCTCTTGAAATTGCTGCTCCTCATTCAGGCATGCTGCCGCATCCTATGGCCATCTCCACGTTCTCGAATATTTGATATCCAAAGGTCCGCGCCAGTCCCCGTATCGCTGATTGGTTGATGAATGCCTTCCAGATAGGTGGGGACGTCAACATCACAGATAACGATGGCGATACGCCTCTGTACGTTGTTGAAGATGTCGAGACTGCTCGATATCTCGTCGAACATGGTGCGATCGTTGATCGACGGAACTCTGAGGGACTGTCGGTGAGCATTCCAATCGCATAACCGAGAAAGTTGAGAAATTCATACGACTGCCAGCCTGCCGAGTACCTGGCGGAGGACTACGAGGAGGTTGCGGCTTACTTGGAGAGCGTGTCCCCTGCAAGAAGAGACAATGCTGTAGAAACTCCGCCTGTCTCCGCTACCGCCTCGCAACAGCCCTCACAGTATGCACAAAACATCGCATCAGAACAATTGACGTCTTCTCTTATGGAGTCTGTGCAAGACATCATGCAGCGTGCTTCGGCCGAAGGACGAGATCCCGAGGAAGAGCTGAGGCAGGCTGTTGGACGTACGGTGCTGGAGGGGATGGTCACTGGATATGGGATGAGTATTGAGGCAGAGGACAGCAGACGTGAGGATTCAAATGGAACAGAGACGAAGAGATCACGCATGGATGATGATGGGCCGGGGTAAGCTCTCAGTATGGGTGCTCTTGTCTTGGTTTTGTGTCGTTGTATCAATGATTATTTAATTGTTTAATGTGCCGCGGGTGCTGTGTGTCAACGGCATCGAAATGTATATCGGTAAACATGACTGTCTTTACGACTTTTCATTACAGTTAGGCCTGGATTGACAATGACACTCTTCCAGTCAATGGACAGTGTTCTGACCGACGTCCATTCCAATCCGATAGTCTTCTAAGACGGACTCCACCAGGCAATACGCGTCGCTGTGACCAGATTTGACGGCTTCCTCATGCAGCTTCCATTTCGCACTGCAATCGCTCTCGACGGATAGTCTGCACCTCTCTGTCTCACTCTAATGTGCACCATCACGAAACACATCTCGCTGGAAGACCTTGCGGTCATCTCCGAGCGGTCCAATGTATCCGGCGAGACGCCGGTCTTGAAGGCAGTCGCAGAGGCGCAAGCAAAAGACTACAGCGCAATTTGCTGCCCGCTCACCACAGAAAAGTGGAAGACACGATGGCAGGAGATGTGCCTCTTGCCCGCGGACGGCATAGAGGACAAAAATGCCCTCGAGCGGCGTGCGGAAGAGTGGAGGTCGAAGCGGGTATACCTGCACGATGAAGTTACCCTCACTCGCCTCGGTGAGCATGCCATTTCCACGCCAGACCATCCAGTTGTATTCATTAGCGTGCAACTAGATGAGGCAGAGAGGGTCATTGTAATGGTGTCGGATTGGCTAGAGCTCGATGCCACGGATGATTGGGTCCGGCATGATGCTGAGATGGTGCGTAGTCCATATTCTTTCTCGCACATATTCACATCAAACTCTTTCCTCTCTCCCGCAGGCCTTACAACAAGAGCTTGCCTATGCCTCCTATCTGAACGTGCATACTGCCATTCTCCCACCGCCACGGAACAGGTCGAATATCGCATCGTACGCACGGACTGTGAACGCTTGCCTCACCATGGTACCCTACATGGTGCTCTCCGTGCGTATACCGATATATGAGCCGTCCATGCTGCACCTCTCGCCTATGTCCCCGGGTGCGAAGCCAGCCGCATCGGTATCCTCTCCCTCCGTGCTCTTCTTCGACGAGCCCTCGGTAGCCACTTGGGAGATGTGGGATGCGATTCGGACTGTATGCGAATATAACCCCAGGCTGACGTTGAGTGCGCACACCTCTCCGTAGTGTCGCCGCGTTTAATACTCACATATTGCACAGCACTTGACATGACGCCCCCTATGCCATCTGTCCTCAGCGTACTCAGTCAGTGGTCGGCGGAGCCCGTACGCCACCTTTTTCTACCTGCATCTACGTTCATAGCAAACGCAAAGGGCTACCCAGTGCTCCCAAAAGTAACGCAATCCTTCATCCGGGACATCATGAAGGTGTGTCCTGCTTTCAAGCGAGGTAGTTTCCATGACACATGAACGCTGTGTCAGCTGCATCCCAATGTGATCCTTTCCGGTACATCAGCTGGACGGCATAAAACTGGTGGGGAGGCGGTCTATTCGCAGTATGTACGGCATTTGGAGAAGACAAGCCCGTCAGTGAAGGCAGCAAGAACTGCGGGGACCGTTGAGCATTTTGCTCAAGGTTATCAGGACTATCTGCAAGCACCTTTGCAGGTCTGTGCCATCCAGTGTCTCCAAGCCGTCACATGTCAATGACTATGTTCGTTCAGCCATTGATGGACAACCTGCAGAGCGTCACGTATCAGACATTTGAGCAAGACCCGGTGAAGTATCACCAGTACGAGGAGGTGAGATTACCTCCCAGATTTCACTTCGTGTCATGTCGTTGAGGGATGGACTAGGCGGTCTTTCTAGCGCTGATGGACCGGCCGAAAGGCGAAAAGACGTGAGCAAAATCCGCATGACTCCAACATCGGGAAATATTGATAATCTTTACAGTATCATCTGCGTCGCAGGCGCAGGTCGTGGACCTCTCGTCGCAAGATGTCTGAATGCCATGCAGCGAGCCAACCGGAGTGCATCTATATATGCGGTTGAGAAGAACCCGAATGCATACGTCACGTATGTCCTTCGCGTATGTTATCTATATCATACTGACCGTCCGAGTCAGCTTGCAGCAGCGACAGCAGAATGAGTGGGGAGACAAGGTGAAGCTATTATTCGGAGACATGCGCACACTGCAGGTCCCGGAAAAAGTAGATATATTGGTCAGCGAGTTGTTGGGCTCGTTTGGGGATAATGAGCTTAGCCCTGAATGCTTGGATGGCGCCATGCGCTTCTTGAAAGGTAAGACACCAATCACTCGAGGTGGTGACTGTATCGCAGATTGACTCGTCCTCCTCCGCAGAGGAAGGAATCTCAATACCGGCGTCATACACCGCGCATATAGCCCCTTTGTCATCGTCAAAACTACTCAATGAAACCCGCGTTACTAAGGAGGAGAAGGCCGCGGAAACGCCTTATGTTGTGATGTTCCAAGCCATCAACATCCTCAGCGGCGACGGCGGAGGGCTAAGTGGAAACTGCGGGCCAAAAGTGCAGGAGTGCTGGGAGTTTGAGCATCCTAGGAGAGACGCGGTCTTAAATGAGCAAGGTATAATCGTAACGTATCGCAAGCAAACTTAGCTCATTGTGTTCGTGCAGGTTTGCCTCCGACAAACAGTCATAATGCCAGGTCAATACAACTTGCGTTCCACATACCACATGCTGGTGCTCTGCATGGCCTGGCTGGCTACTTTGAGGCTGTTCTGTATCGTAACGTCGGCTTAAGCATCCATCCAGATCGGATGGACCGCATATCAAAAGACATGCTCAGTTGGTTCCCTCTGTTTTTCCCATTCAAGGTACATCGCCTACAACGCATCTATACAGACAATATGACCTAATCTTGTTCCTATTGCAAAGGAACCGTTGTACCTTCCGAGCAACTCTGAACTGCATGTCTCGCTCTGGCGCCTGACCGACCAACGCAAGGTCTGGTACGAGTGGTACGCAGAGGCGTTTCTCCCGGTTCCAGGCGCGACGTCCGTGCGTCCGACATTCACAGAGGAGGACCGAAGGTTGTCAAACCTGTCCATCAGTTCGACACCATCACTGTCTTCCAGTCCGCTCATTGATGCGGTGGACGTGTCGCGCCTTGAAGAAGGTTCGGAGATCCTTGGCGAGGGTGGAGCGGGAGAGAAGGCGCAAATTGGGCTGATCAAGATTGGACAGACGAGCTTGCATAATCCTCGAGGTCGAAGTAGTTGGATTGGTCTCTAAGCTTGCAAGTTATATTATTCTCGCGCATCACCATGTCCTGCTGGTCCAATTGTGCTCACTCGTTGTTAGAGGGGATAGTACTTTGAGCCCGCGGTCAGAGCACATACAGCGCGGCCACCGAGTGCCACAGGCGCGTGCCGTCAGATTCGGGTACCGATTCGTTAGCCGCGACAGCGGCGGCTGGCGGACTACATAAGGAAGTTGAGTTCGTTCACTCGACTTCGCCCATCTATCCTCCTCTTGCGACGACCTCTCTGTACCTCAACTATTCTATACTTCCATATTCCACGTCTCACTCCTTACATCACGCACAGTCCTTACTGTCAAGATGAAGTACTCTGCCGCCATCATCAGCCTCGCCGCCCTCGTCCCCGTCTGCGTAAGCGCCAACCTCATGATCAATACTGTGTGAGTTGCGTGGGCGTTAGCCGTGGTTGTTCATACGAGGCTGACCTACTCTTGACAAGAAACGATATCGTGGAATGCGGTATGTCGCAATAGCATCGCAAGACGAGATCGGGCGTTGACATGGACCCCACAGAACCGACCTCGTTCAGCTGGAACGGTGGAACGCCGCCTTACTTCCTCTCGTTGGTGCCCGGGACCAACACGGGTGCGGCTGCCGTAAGCTGGTTCACAGAACGACTGAGGATATGCATTGACGACGAGCTTATATAGCTGAAGAACTTCGGCCAACAGGACGGGACAAGCCACACCTGGGTTGTCGATTTATCTGCTGGAACGCAATTGTGAGTTGGTTCATGGAAATCGCGCTCGGGCTCCTCGTTCACTGTGCACCCAGCACGTCCGTCCTGAAGGACAACACTGGTACGACCGTATACTCCGACGTGCAGACTGTTGAGCCAGGCACCAACAACAGGTCAGTGAGCTCTAATATGAACGGGCCGTGACTTACCCCGGTGGTGATCGGCGCAGCTGTGTGAGTACCTCCGTGAACGAAGGCGGCTCAAATAGTAGCTCGGGATCGTCGGCAATGTCATCCGGCGAAGCATCTGCTAACTCGTCGACTACTTCGTCCGGTACATCGTCGGGAAGGTTCGTAGCTTTCACCTGTGATCGAAGTCTCTGACTGACCTGCATGGGCTCCAGAACTTCTACGTCAATGACTAGCTCGTCCGCCGGAAGCAGCGCAAGCGCGAGCGTCACTCACACCGCAGGCAGTAGCTCGTCTTCGTCCTCATCCTCGAGCAGCAGCGGCGCCGGCCATTCGACCTCCATTGGCTCATTTGCTGCGGTCGTGTTGTTGGGTCTGGTGGGGGTTGCCCTCTTCTGAGCCGGATGCGATGTCTGTACTGTGGACATTCATCCATCGCGCACAGCCTAGGTCTATACTGTATCGAGTAGCAATTGTATTGACGCCATGCATGATGTGCACGCAGAGTGAAAGAGGGTGAGATGCGCCATAGCGGAAGCATCCAACGGGAGCAAAAAAATCAGGGACGTAAATCGGCGTGTCATTCTAGAACGGTCACGTGGGCATCGCGTAGCTAGCCGGAACTTCAGAATCACAATTGATCGTCACAGCACGAGGACAGACTCACTCGACTTTGGAAAGCGCGCGCCTTCTCCTTCTCTTTCTCTTTCCCAATCCATATACCAGCGAGCGACACACTCTTCATCTAACCCGCCAACGCTCGCGGCGACATTTTCTCTTGTAAAACAACATCTTAGGCTATCAACACATCTGCTGGCATGTCTGTTGCGCTCGAGGGCCTAGAGCATGCCGATCCTGTCGTCCAGGACATGAATCATGCTCTGCAAGCGGCGGACGCATCGGTCACCATACAAGACAAAGACAGCACACTCCGAAATCATCATACCAGCAGGGAGATTGATGACGTGGTCGATTTGCATGAGGGGGACGCGGCAGCACACGAGCAAGTGTCAGAGGAGATAGACAGAGATTCCTCGCTCGCAAATAAAATACCCGCGTTGGACTCATTTAATGGCGACGCAGCCAATGGGACTGGTGAGCCGCACCCGCCAGTATCTGAGGTACGCAATAATGTCTTATCTATCATCTGGCTGAGCGCGCTAAGCGTACGTAGACCCTTCAGGATGATATACTTAACGACATTGAGGAGCGTCCGGCCGTAGCATTGGCCGAGTCAGCTCACTCGCATGCGATTGATGAGCACGCTCCGGCCACGGTCAGTATCTGATTGCGTATATGGCGCGTATTTTTGTGTCTGATAGATCATCCGATGCAGAGTGACGTGCTTGAGCAGCGAGGCGAGCTTGGATCGTCGGTGGTGACGTCAGCCGAATCGGAGCAGACCGATGCTGCTGCTGCTGCGGAGAAAGCGTCCTCCGATGAGGCGAATGAGACAACTGCTGAGATACCGCAGACCGCAGCGCAAATATTCTCTGCAGCCGAAGAGCAGCACAATTCAAGCGAAGAGCCTGAAACTCAACAGGAGGAGGCACATGAGGAAAACGCGTCGGCTGCTGTTGATGAGACTGTGGCCGTGGCACCTACCGAGCTTGTTGCTACCGAAGGAGAAGCGCCCACCGAGGAGACTGCACCTACTAAGGAGACTGCTCTCGCTGAAGAAAGCGAGATCCCTGGCGAACCAAATGCGACTGAGGAAATTACCACCGGGGAAGGCGCTACGCCTGTTGTAGAGGCCGCAGCCACTGAAGAGGTTGACACGGTGACGGAGGACATTGCCGAAGAGGCGGGCACAGGTGATGAGTCTTCCACCGCCAAGGAAGCGTCTGCTGAAGAGATTGTCGCAGTAGAAGAGGCAATCGCTGCTGGGGAGCTCTCTACCGCGGAAGAGGCAGCTCATGCTGAAAAACCGGCCGCAGAGGAAGAAGCAGCACCGACAGAGGAAATTGTAGTCGCTGAGCAGACAAGCTTGAGCGAGGAGCGTGCTGCTGCTGAAAGGAGAAACTCAGCACAGGTTGAGGAGACCGCTCGTGAAGCGACTCCTGCGCCCGAAGAATCGACGACTTTCGAGGAGCGTGCGCCTGCGGCAGAAGCTGCTGTCGTATCCGAGGAAGTAGCTGCGCCTGTGGAGATCAGCACTGAGGAGCCTGCTCATCCAGAGGAGTCAGTTGCAAGTGAAGAACTGGCGCCACAGGAAACCTCATCCGTCGGGGAGACTGTTACCGTTGAGCAAGAGGCTGCAACTGCCGCAATCAGTGAGGAAAAGCAGGAAGAGGAGGCGGCCACGGCTACGGAAACCCCGGTAGAAGAGCTAACGGCCGTGGAAGAAGCCATTGTGGTAGAAGAGCAGGCTACAGTAGAGGAGCTCAAGCCTGAGGAGATCGCTTCTATCGAGGAAATACCGGTTGTGGATGTGGTAGCTACAGATCCTCGGGAGGACGCTGTCACCCTCGAAGAGGCGACTCAATCTGAGGGAGAAGATGTTGGCGAACGGGTCCCTGCTGCGGAGCAATTCGCGACCGAGGAGCCGGTCGCGGTTCAGGTGACTGAGATGAACCCTGTAAACGGAGCGGAGGCCGTAGCAGTCGAAGAGGATACTCCTGTCGCAGTGACCGCTGATGTCGCCGAGGTTCTCACGGAAGCAGGTCGTGCAGCTTCCGGGTCGACTGAGGCCGCAAGCTCTTTGATCGCGGAGGGGTCTGTTGCAGAGGCGATTCTTGCCGAAGCGACTGCTACATATGAGCCGGACACCGCTGTTGCAGGAGGGGAAGAGCCATTGAGTGCTGCAGTGAGTACTAATGTATGTTATTTATTCTGATTCACCTGACTGTTTTCCTGACTACAGGTGGAGGCTGCGATTGTAACGACCGAAGCGGTTCCTGAAGCACCTTCAGAGTTACCAGCTGTAGATGGCGAAGCTCAGCCTGCCATTGTGACTTCGGAAGAGGTGACAGATATAGAGTATTCTGGATCAGCACCTATTGAGACTGCCGTCGCCAATACTGAGGTTGAGACATCCATACCAGCCGCAAAGGCTCAGGAACAGCCCACTGAGACGTTGGTGGAAGTTGTTCAAGCTGGTGAAGTCGAACAAGCTGGAAACAACGTGGCTCAGGTGCGCTCTCAAACTCTAACATTCCCTTCTGTCCGTGGTTTGATATATGATTGTCATCCTACTCACGCTAGCCCGGAAATGAAGCCGCTCAGCTAGATGAGAAGCACGTGCCAGCAGCTTACGTTGACGCCGACCAAGTGGCAAGCCGTGAGGAAGCTCCAGTCGTTGCGGAAGAATCTGCAACTGCAGCGAAGGAGGACGCACAAGAAGGATCTACTGGAGTCGCGCACCATGTTCTTCAGGCTGGCCTTGCAACCGTCGCTGGCGCCGGGGTTCAGGAGCTCGCTGCTCAGGTTCCGATCTTGGAACATCTCGATCACGATGACGCTGAGGACGCTGCGGTGGTCGAGTCTCATCAGGTGTGTCCTTCCTCGAATGCTTCTGGCACCCATCGTAGTAAACGAATACAGGAGCAAGAAGTGCCTGCAACGAGTATCATTAGCGCTGCGGAGAAGGCCGTGCCCGAGGCAGGTATATCTGTTGTCGAAGAAGACGCTACCCCAGCTGTGACGATCGACGTCAGCGAGGATATAGCTGGCAAGGTCGTTGAACAGGACAACCTTCCTGCTGCGGAAGGGTCGCTCCCTGCAGCAGCAACAGAGACGGAGCGCCCTAAGTCACCGTGGACGCCGTCCTACAGCGTCACCAGGCAAGGATCCGGAGTTGACGCCGACGCTGATGAGGACAAAGAGGAGATTGCGGAGTTAGAGCAACTTCCGCCGCCTGCGAACGAGGCTCAGGCTGAGTCCTCCACGGTCGAGGAAACGGCGATCGCGGTGCCTGTGATCCGAGCCGAGATCGTCGACGTCCTAACCGAGGAACCGTCTGCAATGAAGGTCTCTATAGTGGAGGTACGTTCTGCTGCATCGCCCGTATTGTCCAGTTATTCAATAATTCTTATCCCGACAGGACGCTACCGAGACTACCGAGGAAGAGGCAGCGAAGCCCACTTGGGTTCGTTCCTATTCCGTCAGCTCCCAAGGTACTAGCCCTGTCCATTCGCCGAAGCTTGGACCGACGGAGGCCGCGGAAGAACCTCCAAAAGCTACGTGGGTCCGTTCGTACTCGGTCAGCTCGCAGGGTGGCAGTCCCTTGCATTCACCGAAACCACTTGACGAAGCTGCGGCGGATGCTAATAGCGATGAACAAGTCGTTGAAGCAGAGGCGGTTCAGATAACGATCTCCCCAGCTCCAGAAACCGAGGTTGTCGGCAACATCGCTTTTGCTCAAGAGTCGGTGCCATCGGTTGTCTCGGCGACCGAGGACACTGTATCAGACGTAAGGATGCCAAGCTATCTCTGCTAAGGGTCATATCTGATTTGCAATCTAGGTGAATATCGATGGCACTGCGGCGGATGTGATCACGGATGAGGCTGGAGAGGAGGGAAAGTCGGCTTCCTGGGTCCCATCTTACTCCGTGAACTCTCTAGGCACTAGTCCCTTGCAAATAGCACGTGCGACTGAAGATGCTGATGTAGAAGGACTTGCACCCTTGCCAGCCATGGTTGCGAGCGAGAGCACGTCAGTTCAAACAGACTTTCCTGTGGTCGAGACCACTATTATCGAGGTAGTCGAAGAAGCCTCGCCAGACATCCTCGCATCTAATGCACAAGCCGCTCCACAGGTATGTTTCTAGTTTTCTGGTGATTCTTTCTATCTCACACCTATCTTCCACAGCTTTCTGTTGATGTATCTACTGTCACCACCAAAGACGCCGAGAGACCAAAATCACCGTGGACGCCTTCATACTCTGTGACCCGACAGGGCACTAGTCCTTTGAACGGTCCAATTGCCATGGAAGAAAAGGAACTGGATCAATTGGAACAGCTGCCGGCTCCTGTCACACAAGCTGAGGAGCAAGCAGAAACGGCAGTGCGAGAGATTGTTACTGAGGTTATCGTCCAGAAACAGTTGTCAACGGTGGGTGGTAGCTTCTTCTGTCGCTCACACGTCGTGACGAACGTCTCACGTCTCATAGAACAATGACGGTCTCGTTGTTGGCGAGCCTCCTGCCCGTCCGTGGACACCATCATATTCTGTCACGACGCAAGGGCCTGGAACACCGAAGGCAGTTGGAGTCATTGAGGCTTCGGAGACCCAAGCATCCAAGTGCGTAATTGCTACGGCTAGGTTGTTACATCGTCTCATTAACGTGACTAGACCTGAATTGACGCCGCTGACAACGGCGAATGGCGAACAGCAAGACCAAGCCACTCAAGGCGAACCCAAGTCTCCCTCAACCCGTGCGAGGAATGGGTCCAACACGTCCTCTCGCTTCTTCCCGGGAGGATGGTTCTCCAGTTCCTCGAAGTCGCCTCATCACGCTGGTCGGCTATCACATGAGAACGCGGAGGGCGAGTTTTCCAAGAGTTCCACCAGTGCTTTGGCTTCTCCTGCGCTCGAAACGACAGCCAACGCTGCTAATGGCGATGTTGGTGAAAGAAGGAAGTCGAGATGGTGCATAGTGATGTGATCTCTGCAAGACGTTTGCGAGTGCAACCATCGTAATGGATCTATCTCATATTTACTCTGGAATAATTGAGATTGCAATACTTCACATCTATGCTGTATAGTTTTTGAGCTTCGTATCCTGTTTGCTACATTTACTTCTATACCCATCAAATGTGGTCCAGCACTCTGGAATAACCATTTTACTGACATGACTTTGACCGAACTGATTCACCATGATTTAATTGAGCATGGTGCACACATTGAGCAACAAGAGAGCTAGCTTCGTATAACAGCATGACTGCAGTGCAGCTGTGAAGCGCTGTGTATGCAGATCAGGACTCGGAATGTTCACACGTCATCATTAAAGTAACCATCACATGCTAACAATGAATATCCTGTGCTCCAAGTGATGTCCCAGGTCACCTATAGCTATCATAGGTAGTAACGATCACCTGAACATGACCACGATTATCAGCCGTTCCATATCTCACAACACACTCCACCATCACTCACCGATCTGACCCATCCCAGGCTCCACTACCCAGGCTCGACGGCCCCCACTGCTACTGTGACCTTCGCCTTCCACCTCATCTTCCAGCCAGAGTTCTCGCAGTCCATCGTCCACCGCGGCACAAACAATCTGCACGTCAGGGAATGCACGTTGAAGCGCGGATATGCCTCCAGAACGCGCAACCAGGATCGTGATGAAGATGATATGATCTTGGCGCACACCATGATCGAGAAGAACTCTGATGGCCATGAACGCTGCGGCTCCTGTGCCGATCTATAAAATGGAAGCATGTTACGGAGGTAAATAGACTGAACGAGATTACACTTACCTGCGCGTCGAGCAAAAAGACCCAGCTTTGCTCTGCAAGATGTCTGTGGCGAATACAAATAGGCAGCTGAAGGTGCAACAATAGCGGCTCGCCAGTGCTGGCATCGGATTGAATCAACAGCGATCCAATGGCTATGTTGTTGATCACTCTGCGAAGCCCGTGCTCCAACGGGCCGCCGCTACAGCCATCTGTGAGAAAACATCACCACCACAATCCCGTTTGGAAGACGTACGATCGCAAGATTGACACTCCGCAAACGTACTGAGAAAATTGAGTACCGATGTGATGGCGGTGATGAGCTGACGTACCTCCGCATTTAACTGTTTACCATGCGACTCAACCTCAACAGGAGTGACAACGGTCTTCGGACGGTATGGTAACAACTCCGTGGCTTTTTCTACCAACAGAGTAGCTAATCTATCGAGGAAGAAGATGAAGTCCCCTCGCCGGGTAGTGCGATCTCTGAGCACGGTCAATATGCCCTGCTGGTCTATTAGTAGATTTCTATCGTAAAATTCAGAGATGTATACCTGGAGTTGAGGCGTCTGAGGCAGGAGTGTGATCCTAAGGCATTCCTTCGTGGGATTAGGGGTATGATTGTGAGGAAGAAGATCACGCGGCCCTGCATCCGCGAAGCGTTGCCGGAGCCGCGTGGTGCGTTCACTGAGCTGGCGGCGGACGTGAGTGGAGATGAGGTCGATAGCTACAGCATTGTCAGAACCAGGAACGATCTGGACTGTTTATTAGCATGACTCAAGAATAGGCATGATTATCTACCCACAATGTGAGCATAGCGGGATGTTGGCAGTACGAAGTTGTCATATGAAGGCTTCACATATCGCAGATATCTAAACAAGTATTGTAAGACCACTGACACCTCTATATTGCCGAAACCCTTACTGCTCAAGAATGCCGTCGACAGATCTGCCTCGCTCTTTCACGTCGCGTCGAATGCGGCGGGCGAGCATGAGATCCGAGTCACATTGGACGAAAATCTGATACCGAGGTCGAATAGATCGGACACCTGGGTACGAGGCAACACACCTTCAAATCATACAGATCCCTGAGGGACTGGTCATGTAGTACCATAATCCCCTCCGCTTTCATGTGCGTTCGATGAGCATACTCGTAGGAGGCGACAGCGACATTGCGCTCTCACCTATAATGATAGCAGCACCGTACAGATACCTGGTTTCATCCAGTCGCTGATGCTCCGTAAACGAGTAGACCGGCATAATGGTCTGTCTGCAGGCCTTCAAATCTGCTAGACACTGCTGCGAAAAGCGACATCACGGGACCATAATATGATGAACCTTCAAAGTTCAAGTACACCTCGGATCCAAGCACGCGCAAGATCAGTAAGAACACATACAGAGGAAAACAGGGGCATATCAATAGCATCTGTAAAGATCTAGATCAATACACATGTAGCGAATGACAAGCAGATATTGGTACCAGGATGATCTAAGTCGAATCGATTAGCAAACGCGAGGTCAATCTCTTCTCTTGTGTGACGCTTGTAAAAGCTGTCCTGAATGGAGATGAGATACCGGGATCGCATATGTGCTATCTCAGCCGACTCACTTGGGAGAGAATGATCACCGTTGGGATGGATCCCAGCGATTTGACAATCTGACGCGCTACATGTGTCTGAATGCGCGTTAAACACGTCGAATAGATCCCTCAAGTTGAATTGAGGACAAACCTTCCCGCTGGCAGATCCTCCTGAGAATTGAGCATAAGTATTAAGCTATTTACGCGTATGGGTTCTCGTACCAGCTATTCCGATTACAAACGCATCGCTTATGGGAGCACCGTCTTCTCCGTACCTGAATGTAATCTCAATGAACCTGTGATCGCACCAAACACAACGGCAGCTACATACCACGGTGGACGACCGTGTGATTTGAGAACTGTATTCTTTTTGGCTTGCAAGAGAATATCGCGCGCTGTGAGCGCCGTAACCGTCCGCGATAGAGGAGGCCTTTGAAGATGGGTTCTTGCACCCGCATTGTCAGTGGTGGCATGCATGGTGATGGACATTGTTAGATTGTGAGCCCAGCGAGCCTTGGCCACGATGGCGCGACACGAGGCCGTGATGTGACGAGTATCATCTGTATTGTGACAGGGCGTGCCTGCAGGCTGCGCTGCCACCAGCCTAGTACCATCAAAATGTTGCAGTGCCCACTACCACCATCACTACCATTCCCGAGCGATGTCGTCGCAATAACATACGGCGCGTTGTATCTCCGGCACACCTTGAGGGCATCTCAAACGATCCAGGGTCTCTCGGCGCACTCGGTACTCCTTCGCGATGTCTTACTTCACAATGCAGCATGGCGTCCATATTAGAGCCCAAACGCATATTGGGCGCTGTCTCGTTATGGTTAGCGCACTCGAGTACTGACGATTAAATGAAAAGGTATGATGCTCGTGCCCGACGGGCGTCGTTTGAAATGGAATCCTGCGGCTCAATGAAAGCTCTCCCTCCACATGAGGCGCGAATGGTGCTCGGGTTTCTCGCATATGGTGAACGCTAACGTCTTATAACCACTTGCTACTCCGATTGTCGGATTTCAGAAATGACCCTATCGCTCTTCCGTAGCGACAGCACCCCGTTAGGCTGTGCGGACCTTTCCAGGTTTGCCTCATCAATTGATCATGATGCCGCTTACTCGTTGTTGGCCTTTCCATCATGTGGCCGGTACATGATATATAGCAGGCGTCGCAGCTCTGCTTTTTACCAACCCCTTCGACATGCTCTTGGTTCCCCTTCTCCTGCCTTTCCTCGGCACCGCTCATGCACTTAGCGTTCCCTTTGAGCGCCGCGCCAAAATCCATTCTACCACCGTCTCTATCAATTCACATTATGGCGGGAATTTAGGTTGGACGAATGTCGAGGATGCCCTATATACTGCCACTGTATATGTTCAGGGGCAGCCGTTCCAGGTGTGGATCAACCATGGCCATTGGGTTTCATTCTCATCTTCATTTCACATTTTGATTCATAGGTGCAAATCGATTCCGGCAGCGCCGATCTCTGGCTGAATACGGAAGGCGTCACGCTTGACGGTCTCGTAGACACCGGCATCAATGCTACAGTCGCGTATGTGTACGTGATTTAACCAGCATAACTTGATCCCAAACTTACAAGCCCTCGTTCTCAGTGACACAAGTGCTGCATCCGGCCCCATTGTTCTTGGCAATGTTTCGCTCGGTGAATTCACAGTAAACGGCCAAGCCTTCAGTGAGTCAGCTTATCGCACGACCTTCAATTCTTTTAAGCTCAATATTTGCTAGTAAATGCTCCTGGCAGCAACGCCAGTTATGACGGTATTGACGTCGGTCTATTAGGCGTCGGCCCGTACGTACCCGGTACTGTTTCGAACCCGTGATCGCTCAACAGCAGAATTATTGTAGGCCCAGTCTATCGAGCGTTTTCAATCATCTTGTGAACTCCTCGTATGACGGTTTTCCATTTCTCGTGAATGTGAGAATCTCGGCTCGATTACGCTCGTTTTGACGCTTCGAGTAATGTCTGACTTTACCCTTTAGGTTTTTAACCTCAACCCTGATGAGCCAAATTTCATCACGTTCCTCCTTTCTCGCTCGGATTTCGGTTACACAGAAGGTGGTATTATGACTATTGGTGCGGAACCATCTGTCTTCAGTGTTTACTGGGTCTGAAATACGACTTAAAGCTGAGCTTGTATCGAACTACACTGAGATCACCAATGCTCCTAAACTTCCTGTAGTCTCTGAGTTCGGTTGGGAAACATACATGGATGGGGTTTACATCAACGGCGAATACTACACCGGCCATTCCAACGGGTAAGCAAACCACTGTTCACCCCTCTCAAGCGGTGTTTAATTCAGCTTCCGATAGGGCGGTTGGGGTGATCGCTGAGCCCAGCAAGAATCAGACCTTGATCGTTCTTGACACCGGAACAGCCCTCGGTTTGTGTACTTGCGATTATCTAGATTAGAGCTAGTGGGGCTGACGTGTCACCATTCCAGCGAACGCACCTGAGTACTACGTCGATGCGATGTACAAAGACTTACCTGGCTCAGTGTGGAACGAGACTCTCGGGAGGTACGTTTTGCCCTGCACGACCAAGGTCAACATCAGCATGGTTTTCGGGTATGTTATTTCGCGACTGATTGAAGCAAGCATCAATCTTTATCGGAAAGCGACGCTAGGTCGAGCGTGTATCCCATGAACCCTATTGATGCGACGAATATTCAAGTTAACGACGATGGCACTTTCTTTTGCGCTGGAGCATTCTCCGCTACACCTGATGGCGCCGGAGTTGGTGAGTCTCAAGTTTGACGTATAGGAAGAACAAACTGACGTATAGACGGGGGTCTGCTAGACTGGATCTTGGGCGATGCGTTCCTGCGCAACGTATACAGCCTCATGAACTTCGGCAAGAACTTCACTGGCAGTGGCGACGAATCGCCATACATGCAGATCCTGAGTGTGAGTCGCCAGCAGCTCAGATTCGTCACAGCTTATCTAGACTCATGTCATACGCTGAACAGATAACGGATGCGGATGAAGCTTGGGCAAACTTTGATCATGCGAACTTGCTCCGAATTGCAGGATCTGAATACAGCCAGTTCGCCAACGTCTCCTCTTCCGGTGAAGTTGCGTCGGCAACGACCACCTACTCCTTAGTGACGCCTACGTCGACATCAGGTCTGTGCGCCACTCTCGCCATGTAGCGCTGTATTGATGTCCGTGTGTACAGCTTCAATCACATCATCGGCAGCGGCTAAGGACAAGTTGGCTGACGAACTTGCTGCGTCTTCGGCCTCACCATCTGCTGGTTCCTCCTCAGACAACAGCGATTTGTTGCGCAATTCGTACATCATCATGGGCCTGGTTGCTGCAGTGCTCGTGCTTCTGATTGCAGTGCTAGTCAGCGTTGTCAGGTCATCGAGGAACAAGCAGTACAGGCAGGTTCCCACCATGATCCCGACAGCACATTTCGGCAACGACAAAGCATACGAGCCAGAGAGCGAGGCATTTACCAACCCGTATGACGATTCTGCTCGCCCCACCCATTGAGCGTCCTACGTGTCGTTGAAAAGGAGGCGCCTGCAACTTTACTTTGGGGACCATAACATATTTTATAGATAGCACTTGCTACACCCATCATCTATTTAAACTACGGTCGTCGTTGTATTGTACACGCTGATGGTACGCGATCGCACATGAGTGGCTCGCAATGCGGACTGGTTTGTAAAAATGTATATACCTCGTATATATGATGCCATGACCTACTAGTGTCTGATTGTGTGTGGAACGTAGCGAGGCCAATAACTCAAGAGGAACTCCAATGAATGTTGATTCTGGATGATCGGCCATTTCATCACGGAACCACATGATCATTCAAACTGTCTCAGTGGCCCCACAATGCAATTGCAACCCTAATGCAATTCACGTCTTTCCCGTCTGAATAACGCGTTCAAAAATCTGAAAAATTCACGCAATGTACATGCAAGTATCACAGCCAAGGCTGTCTATTCAGATTTTTGACATTGCATGTTGCTAGCATATGGGACGAGTACTTACAGTGAAGAGCCTCATTTTGAAGCTTTCCCGAGGCTCGCTTGCTCGTACAGCTGAACGTGGTCTCATGAGGCTCTCAGGTAGATTTCGTATATATGTGAACTCTATGTTGACAGAAGCCGACATATATTGCACGAGCCCTGTGTTCTCTGGGAGAAGTGTAAGGAGTGAGTGGCTGCCAGAACGAGAATCATACCCAAATAAGGAAGGTTTAGAAGGTCCATTCGAGCTGAGAATGGCGGAGCTGCGTCGGAGAACATCCATTTTCAGTGGTGCCGGATCGGACTGTCAAAATGAAGACGTTCACACGGTGGCTGATGATTCTTGATAATTGCATTGGTGTTGCGACCGGAAGTCATCCTCGGATTCATCCACTTCACATCCTGTTCACTCACAAATATTTCTCAGTATTCTCAAGACCCCAGTATTTGTAAGAATAAAATCTCCGAGGGGGTCTGCTCACTGACAGCAGAATAGGACGTGACACTCTGAAAAAATTGCATTAGTGGACCACTGATAGTAAGTATCACGGCAGACATGACACAATTTATCAAGGTGGGAAATTGTGTGTGAATGTCGACTGATTTCTTACACATGTGACAAATATTTGCAACTATGGCATTTCATGCTGAAAATGTATCACTTCCGGCTATCCGGCGTAATCCGGCGGATTCCGCCGGACCACGCAGGTCCAACCTTCATCACTTTGGCTGTGAATGTGAACTATTTGCGATTTAAATGCTACATTGGCAAACCTTTGCCGCAAATGTAAGACATCAGTCGACATTCCCACACTATTTTCCACATTGATAAATCTGCTGTGTATCCTATCCTATGCGTTACCTGTGCGTTAGTTGACTTTGATCGACATACAGTCGTGGACAGCCAAACACGACAATTTTAAGAAATATTTCTAGAATGTCCGATATGTATCAGAATCGATCTGGATTGATGAGGGGGTGTCTGTAAATAAATTTGAGGTAAATCCTGTGAACTGTTTGCCTGCAAAAGGTGATTTTGTGACCCAGAACCCCTCAAAAATTTGGCGGACCCCTCAAAACAGGCCTAAAAATCACGTAAAATACGCCAATCGACTCCTTTTGAGCTCCTTTATATCATTTTATGGAAAGTTCACCAAAACCAACGATGAAAATTGGGCAAACAATTACGCAAGTTGGCCGTTGTGACTGGGGCTCGTGACCAACAAGTCATATATTATGGTGCGTGGTCACAACAAGGCTCGCACAGTCAAAAACATGTCTGGGCTATACAATCAAACAACAGCTCTAGCTCCTTCTAACCCTTCTCTACTGAAGACTCAGATGATAATATGTTCCAATCGAGGCAGTTTTGAACTAATAGTACCTGATCCGCGTGTCTGTAGCCGAAAAACATTCAGATTTTCGACCAAAAATTTGGCGGATGCCAAAAATGCACGGGAAAAATACAAAGAAAGTGATTTTGGACGTTTCTGAGTCTGAATCTGCAGTCAAAATCGAAAAGTAACGAGCCGTTCGGGCGGAATAAATGTATTTTTATTTTTGTCGACTTTGGTTGTCCGCGACTGTATGCACTGCAACTGGAACATCTTCCGTGCGGCGCGGATGACTGTTCTTCACCTTACAACAGTGAGTACCATGCCAGACTCATCCCATGACGGGAAGATGGGAATTGATGATCTTTCGGTATTCTGTTGATGTCGCCCAACCAATAGCCAGCACCGGACGACCAAACGTTCGACTTGAGCTTGAGCGCCTGAGACTCTCCGGAGCGCTTGAACGTCGTCGCCGCAAGAGAAGGCAAGCAACATTCCCATGAGATCTCACCATCGTGCATTTCCAAATCCCCCAAATGACCGTAACAAGACCCATGTTATCGCATTGGAATAACAAGCCCTATGCTAGAACGTAGGGCCGGCTTACGCATAAGCTGCGCATTCGTCCTGCGCTTCATGAGATAGGTTGGCTCAATTCCACGGACCCATGCGACTCCAATTGTATCTCCTGTGACTAGAACGAGCGAGCCGCCCGGTGTCAACACGACCGAACTTCTATATAACAGTGAGGCTTGTTGCCGGATGAATCTATCTCGGTCCCTCCACTCGTCATGTTCGGACCCTATGTAGCTTCGCTTGTTCACTTGGTATTGCGACTCTCGAGCATCTTTCACCCGGATTCCTTTTCGGAATCACGCCAGTCTGCATGTGCGTCCTTCGCGCTTCAGGACGTACCCGACGTGAAAGTCTCTGACGTCAAGTACTATCCCGCGCATGCGAAGATCAACATATCGAACACGAACTCGCATCTCGATGTGGACGACCTTCCCGCGTTTTGCCGTCTCGAGGTCGAAATTACCACAAACGCGACTGCCCAGTCCAAGTGCAAGACGGAAATCTGGCTGCCGGATGACTGGAACGGGCGATATCTGGCGGTCGGCAATGGCGGCTTGGCCGGCGGTGGTAAGTCTCTTGTGCGCGCATCATGTCACAGAAGTCTGATAATTACGGCCCAGTGATGGTATCTGAGCTGGGTTATGTAGCAATCGCTCAAGGCTGTCAGTGTACCGCTGGGCTGTCAGCGATAGATTGCTCACTGGAAAGGCTGGTCCTTCAGATGCTGGCGCCTCCACGGACACGGGCCACACCGGCATTGCACGCAGCGGTACCTGGGCATATCACGACGATGTATGGTTCTGAATGACTGCAACCTCCTTTCATTAATGCGTCTTGCAGAACGCAATTATTGATTGGGGCTGGCGTGCGCTACATCTCAGCGTGGTGAAGGGGAAGGATATCATCAAGCAGTATTATGGCCAGGCACAGAGCAAATCTTACTTCATGGGATGCTCTACAGGCGCGTGCATTCCGTGTGATGGGCCTTAACTAACATCTCATCCATTGGTCCTTAATATCTGCAGGAGGTCGCCAAGGGTGTGTATTGAGCCGGTCGTGCTGAAGAATATCTGAAGAACTTTTACCACAGACTCAAGGAAGTGCAGACCTTCCCAGAGGACTTCGACGGAGTTGTACGAACGCCTCTTTCCATATTCTTTCCGGTTGCTCTCAGCATGCCTTGATATATAGATAGTAGGATCTCCTGCAAACTGGCATACCCACCTGCAAGCCTGGGCTGTGCATATGCATCTCGATGTCCAACCAGCCAGCTCGCCCACGTTCATCAATGCTTCTTTATGGACCGATGTCATCCATCCCGAGGTGCTCAAACAGTGCGATGCCATAGACGGGGTACATTGAGGCTCTCAAGCACTGAACATGGGCTAACACATTGATAGCTTGCAGACGGAATCACCAACGACCCTAGGTTTTGCAAGTAAGTCACGTTATCTTCGATGTTTTGTTCAGGAGAGGTTCACGCATGTCTTGCAAGTTTCCGGCCAGAGACATTGACCTGTCGCCCAGGCCAGAATACCTCGACCTGCCTGACTCTTCCACAGATAGAGGCCCTCCGCCGCGTCTACGCTGATTACTATGAAGCGAACCAGACGTACATATTTGGCAGGTACTATCCCGGAGGAGAGGACAGGTACCCTAGTGCATACATGAATGCGGACGCATTCGCCCTCAGTAGAGATTGGTTCAGGTATTTTGTGCTGAAGTGCGTCCCGTTTTATTTATTTGCCTCTTCAGGACGTGTGCCAACATCTGGTCACGGTGCAGCAATACGGAGTGGAACATCGACCAGTACAATCCTTCTCTTATCTCTTTAGCTGACGAAATTGACCCTGGTCAAGCGAATGTAAGCGTTGCTTCGCTGAATCTGTTTCTGTACAACCCATCAAATAGGTCATCAGGCAATCAACCCTAATTTAACTGCTTTCGCCGGACCGGAGCACAACGGCAAGCTGTTGCACTACATGGGCTGGGCAGACCAGCTCATCAGCCCGGGAAACTCCATATATTACTACGAGAACGTCCTAGCATATACTCGAGCGAACACGGATATGGATGTTGACGACTTCTACCGCCTGTTTACCGTTCCCGGGATGGACCACTGGTGAGCATGATGGGTGATCGCGATGCATATCTTACAACTGAATTATTTGGAACAGTGCCGTAAGTCTAGCGTCGACTCTGCACATTACGTAGTATGTCATTAAATCGTCTTTCAAGGGAGGCAATGGCGCAAATGCCTTCGGAGCCGTTTATCAGGCATCAGACAGGATGCCGCCTATCTCCAATATACCGCAGTATAACATCCTAGCAGCGATGGTGAATTGGGTGGAAGAAGGAAGCGCTCCCTCCTCGCTGGAAGCAGTGCACTACGAGGGCAACAACGTGGCGAACGGGGTGACTTTGAGGCGACCACTGTGTCAAGTGAGCGACCGATCATTCATCTGTTTTCCATCCGCTTATATAGCCTGCTTCGATCTTCAGTATCCCAAGAGTCTGCGGTATATTGATGATGGCAAAAAGCCTGGATTCGCCTGTGTTTGATGGATGATCGATTGATGATTCGTGTGAAGTATTACTGTGTATCTTTGGCCTTTCAAGAGGATTTAAATGATACCCCGTGACTGCTCGTGTTATTTACGCGGTCAGTCTGTAATTAGACCTTTCATGGGCCATCGGGCCACACATTTGAACAAGATGCCGTTTTCCGTTTGATTGATTCATTTGACTCGGCATCTGAAATATGATGGCCTATGCACACTTTTCAGTCATCATGCATCAGAGAGGATGAGCACAGACTACTATAACGATACCTGCATCAAAGGCACAGTGCATAGTTATCACCTGGGATGCAGGCTTCCAGGAATAATTGTTATGATCATATGTGGATGTGGCGGTGGCACAACCATTGGCACTTGTGTGTATTACGACTAGTCCTTTGAGTAATAACTGCTCGAACCCCCGAAAGGTCTCACAGAGTATACCGAACTCGCTAATGGCATTTATACCTCCTGACCTTCCTCCCCTCAAAGAAGGAGATATTTCGCAGTCTGCCTATGACGACTCGACGGGAGAGCCATAATCCAGATCTTATCAGATCACGTGCTGGAGTCGGTGAATGGCTCAGAAAGTAGCGCCAAACTGATGCTAATCGCCGCGACGTACTAGAGCCGTATCAACACTAAGGATTTCCATAAAGTCCACTGATCACAGAGTGTCAGAATGCTAGCTCGTCCGTTGCTGGCCTTTTTACGCGAAGCTACACTCCCGTTGTGTTATCCTCACGCTCTTCCGATCGCGTTCAGACGGCTTCATACAGGCCCTTCATCCCTGCCGACGCCTCCTCCTTTGGATACTCTCACGAACGCAAGTAACAGCAATGAGGCACTCGCATGGATATTCGCGTTCAAGATGCAACAGATTCCAAAAAGTCTGGTGGAGCTCAGCTTTTCTCGCAGTTCAGGACCGGGCGGACAGGTCCGTATTCAGTAACACCATTGTCCGGATCACAAATGAACCGCGTGCCTTACAGAACGTGAACAAAGTGAACACCAAGGCCACCCTACGGTGTCCCTTGAATTCAGAATGGATTCCTCTATGGGCCAGAGAGCACATTCGAAAAACGGTTCGCAGCCCAACTTTGATTGACTACTCCCATCGGTTGACCAGACGATTCTGTTGTCCTGCTCATAGCCACATTATGTTTCAACTACACAGTCCATCCAGATCACCTCCACCGTCTATCGGTCTCAGTCCCAGAATGTCCAGGACTGCCTTTCCAAGGTGTCTAACGCGCTGCTCCTGATGAAGTCCGTGCTAATCGAGACGGAAATGCAGCTTCATGCCCTGATTGTGTCCGCATCATCCGCGTCGCTTATAAAGGAAACCTCTGAGGAGCAAAAAGAGCGGGTAAGGAGACTTGAACGTGCGGAAAAGGCCAAACGGAAGACCGCCAAGGTCAAACGGAGCGAGATCAAGAGGAGTCGATCCAGCCGCGACTGGGACTAGCGATTCTACAAGATTATAGGAGCCTCCTCGACGTTTGCCTTGTCATGTTATGTCGGATGAGCGATTCGCGGTATGCTTGTGCCGCACGACGAGTCTGCTCGACCTCCACTAACGGCAGTCTCGCGCCGGCTGCTCGTCCTTGATCGTGCGGGATCGAGGCGAAACTCGATCATGTGACGCAAGGCGGAATGCGCGGCGGCTGGTCCCTCTACCGCGCCACCTCTCAGGCACAGTCCGTATTTGTTCCTCCATTCCTCCTTCATTCGTCACATTCTCTCTATTATATCCTTGCCGCTCTTTCCTCACGACCTACTCTCACCGCAATTCACGACCTTCCACGACCGTTATTCACGTCCCGACATGCGGCGGTCAACTTGGTCATCCTCGTTGTTCGAAAATTGGGTCGATGACGTTAAAGCAGCTTTTTTGGAGTTCGTCGGTACCACGTTCTTCCTCCTCCTTGCATTTGGGGGAATCCAAGCATCCAATGCAGAGACAGAAACCAGCTCTTCGACCGCGACGTCCAACGTTCTGCATGATATGTATATCGCTCTCTCTATGGGCTTCAGCCTCCTGGTTTCCGTGTGGATCTTCTACCGAGCCAGCGGCGGCGTCTTTAACCCGAACATCAGCTTGGCCCTCCTGTTGACAGGCATAATCGGGCCCCTACGATTTGTCTTGTATTGCATAGCCCAGCTCGTCGGCGGTATAACAGCAGCTGCCTTGGTCCTAGCGCTGACACCCGGACCGCTCGTTTCAAAGTGAGTACTCAGCTGTCAACAGCTACCGTGTCTGATGCGAGTCGTATATAGCACGTTTCTGCAGGCTTCAATCAACGAAGCGCAAGGTGTTTTCATTGAGATGTTCATCACCACCGCCCTGGTGATTGCCGTTCTCATGCTGGCAGCGGAGAAACATTTCGTCACTCCATTTGCACCGGTGAGGAGGTGGTCTCACTTATATATCAATATCTCATCGATATCCATAATACTGACAGGTTGGTATCGGCCTCACACTCTTCGCTTGCCATCTGTGAGTGCTGTGCCTGTCTGTATGGTTGCCTAGCTGATAGAATGCCACAGCTGGGCAGTGTACTATACCGGGGCAGGAATGAATGTCGCCCGTGCATTTGGTCCGGCCGTTGTAACGGGCTTTCCATATAGCAGCCAGTGGGTGGTGAGTTGGCCAAGCTCGTATTAGCTGGATTAAATGTTCTCTCGCTGACACTGCAAATGCAGTACTGGGTAGGGGACGGCTTAGGCTCCCTCCTCGGAGCTGGATTTTACATCGTTCTTAAACAGTGGGTATCGTTCATCATTCCCGAGATCCTCCTCGACGAATTGACCCGGTGACAAGGAACCATTATTGGCGACTCAACCCGAGGCAAGATACCACAGATCACGAAGAGTCGCCTCGCGTCCCTCTACAGGATGGAATCGGCTCTGCCGCTCGCCGCTCAGGATCACGATCCACATGTCGTTCAGGGGCTAGGCGACTCAGCGATGACCCGAATGCTGTAGCGAAACGGGAGAAGCAGGTTGCCAACGACAACGTCGCCGAAACAAATGACGAGCCCGTGGGCACTGAAGACGTGATGCCGAAAGGGCGGCAACGCGTCGACGACAGCCCTGTCTAAATACCTGCGCGGTTCGGTCTGGATGGAGACGTTCGTTGACACGAGTAGAAATGTCTTACCTCGGTTTGCGTAGTTGACGATGGACCGACCGTGGATCTTAGGCCGGCGATATAGTCTGACGTTTGGACGCGCATAGCCCGTCTTACATCACTATCATCTTGTAACATTACCGATGTTTGGACCTTCAGTCTGTAGTAATCTGTAGCATCTATCCTCATCCATCTCTGGTCTAGCATGACAACCAGATATAGGAAGTAACAGACTGGTGAGCTGTTCGGTGGAGCGATCCTGCATATCATCGACCTCGGGGCGCAATGGGGCGCGTGGAAGACGAGTACCAGATCTAATCACAAGGGCTGTTATAATGCCAAGGGGTTACCGCCACTGGTAACTTTATTACTGAAAAAAGGTTACAATTTAGTGTCATTTGATAACATAAATGGAAAAGATTCTTACATAAGCTCAGTGGTAGCGAAATTCCATTCTGTTATTTAGAATCATAAATTATAAAGAAAGGATTTATTAAATACATAATCCCGCATCGACCGAGCCTGGGGATGCAGCTCACTCCTAACACAATGGTCACTGTAACTGTCTCGTCTGCTGGTCGTGTCTCTCGAGCTCGAGGACTCCCTGTAACGCTCTCTTTTGAGGATAAACAGCCAGAGGAAGTTACAATCCGAGACGTCAAAGCGGCGGTCAAAGCCAAATTCCCCAAAGTGTGTTGGGTGGAATTTCCTTGCACATAGCTATTCATGTAATCTGCAGTTTTATGAATCGCGTCAGAAGCTATCTCTCAAGGGCGAGAGGCAAGCGCTTGAAGATGGCACGACACTGAAAGATGCAGGACTGTTTGATACAGGGGAGCTAATAGTAAAGGACCTTGGACCTCAGATCGGCTGGAAAACGGTCTTTCTAATCGAATACGTGCGTGCCAATTCAAGCGTCTGCTATTGAACAGTGGTCATGACTTGCGTGCAGGTGGGGCCATTGATCATTCATCCCTTGATATATTACAATGCCCCCGCTTTCTATGGAAGGAACGTTTTGCATAGCACTGTGCAAAAGTGCGGTCTGCTTCCCCCTCATCCACCCTCGTTCCTGACACAGCATGTAGGATGGTCTATTGCATGGTGATGTTGCATTTCCTTAAGCGAGAGCTAGAGACCATATTCGTGCATCGATTCTCGCACGGGACGATGCCGTTCCGTAACGTCTTCAAAAAGTGAGCAGTGAACCTAACTTGTGCTCCGCCTATCTCACATACGAGCACTTGTGTCAAGCTCTGCTCATTACTGGCTATTGAGTGGCTTGGCTTTGGCTTATGCTGTGTACAGCCCGACGTACGCCGAAACGTCTTCGTATGTCCACACGACAGCTCGTAACTACCCCGAGTACCGAATGGGCTGTCTCGCGCTCTGGGCGGTACGTGCTTCCTATTGCATGCGTCCTCGTGGAAGGGTGCTCATATTTTTGTAGTACGCGGAATTGTCGAACTTGATCACCCACCTGAACTTACGTTCCCTCCGGCCCGCTGGAACAACGAAACGTGCCATCCCTTACGGTTATGGTTTTGCCTTGGTCTCGTGCCCGAATTACTTTTTCGAGTCTGTATCGTGGCTAGCAGTTGCTCTCTTGACGAACAGCTATGTTGGTCAGTATCCATTCACGCATTCTTTATATGACCTTGAACCTAACCATCTGCTTCCTGCAGCGTGGATTTTCCTCGCTTTCTCATCCTCTATCATGGCAAATTGGGCAATCAAGAAGCATAAAGCATACAGGAGGGAGTTCGGCAAAGATTATCCACGCGGCAGGAAGGCCATTTTCCCTTTCATTCTGTGACATGTGCCGGTGGGACTTTCACGTATCGACAGTATCCACCAATTCAATGAAGCTCGAAAACTGCCCTAGGGCGTTTAGGATATCTCACGAATGATATGTCCGTCTGAATTTCACCTTTGCATTCCACACATATGGCGCCGCGATGCTTTTGATTCCACGTAGCTTACGGAATACTGTACGCTAACCACATCTCTTCTTTGATTTTCCCACCTTCGTCGAGTCCGTGTTTCACCCAATCCCCTACGAGCATTGCAACTAAGGTTTTGACTGACCAGCCTGCAAGGATGATGGCCGTAGTGAACAGTGGATGGCAGTCCAGGACCACTGACAAGAAAATGGTTAGCCTGGCACCGTACTGGGACCTAAGTGTGAACAATCCGAGATAGGATACGTTACCTCGGAGTCCGAACCCTGCGGCCATGCCCCCCAAAACGTTTCGCACCACCCACTCGCGATCAAGCCGTTCCTCATCTAGCAGGCTGAGAAGCCTCACGATGATCGGGTGAGTAAAGGTGCTTTCGGCAACATGATTATGATTCGGCGACGCAGGATGCCAGACGGAGAGCAGGAATAGCAAAAACAGCTTAGTTAGGGACGAGTAGAGCAGAGTCAGGGGAACATGCGAATATCTGCCGCAATAGATCTAATCAGCCGCCTACAGGAGACCTTCTGCGAATGGGGTACCAGACCTGAACTCCAGCCGAATCCCAGAAGCGTGCGTATTCGCTGGGGGTTTCAAAGAGCGGAACCAGTCCAGACAATCCATAACAACGTAACACGCGGCCACAATGCCTGCGTGAAATGTAATGGTCTCTGATGGGGCGAGAAGGCACAAGTCAGGTTCCATACATAGAAATCGATGCGTCAGGGAGATGCGGACCTACGAAGCATCCAGCGAAGATGCGGAAGAAGGTCTCGGCAGCCTGGCGGTTCCAACTGACGAGATTCGGGTCTAGACTACTGGGAACGCTGACACCTGGAAGACAGGCACTTAGCGAACCTTCATCGTCGTCAGTCATATTTCTGAGATGTACTCAAGTGGGTCCACCTGATGACTAGAAGTACATATCAGTCGATGATCTGCAGAGGATGCGATATCCAGCGAAACCCACGCACACGCGTCCATGGCGATCAGAGCGAGACCAAGCCTTGCAATCAACCACCATCTGGCCTATTCTTGCAATTTTTGTGAATCACTCCCGTTGGATGGAAACATCGATTCTCATCGGACATACCTTTTCCGTGCCTTGCTCGGATGTTCCACCGCCTTCTCGAACAGGTGGAAACTGCCCTGGATGAGCTAAAGCACCTCCCTCTATCCCGGCACTTGTCGTAGGGCCTCCGCCAGGGCCGACACGTCTCGCCCCGAGACCTCTATTGTATAGCAGGTGACGGTAGACATCTCTCTTGAGTAGTATGAGATCCAGCAGCAATGTCAGGGTATCATGCTCGACATATGGGTCTGCGAAAGCATGGCAGGCAGGCTGTGAGAGTCGTGACATCCGTGAATGTTGATTCAACCATTGCAATACAGTATGACTGACACACTGTTCCAATCGCAAGTTGTATGCCGATTGATACACCGTGTAGAGGTAAGGTACGGGATGCGTGCAGCTTGTGCAGATGGGCATGGATTAGCGTTGATGAAATGTGGCCGGGCTACTAACTGACGCTCGCAATCTGACTAACCTAACACGATTAGTTTCTCAGAAATAGCAACATACAAGGTAGGTACGCAGACCTGCAGGTGCTTCGTAGTCTCTGCAAAAGTAGGTGCGCAGGACTCTGATCCTGTGTGTATGTTACAACGTGGAGCGTGATCAACCTGGGAAGGTTGCGCGGCGAGGTAGGCGCTGCCAATCGACATTCGACAACAACCACTCTACTTGTTTCTCTGCGATAATTCTGTTCCTGCTCAGCGTTGTCTAAAATATGGTTCTTGCCTCAGCTCAGTCTGCTTCACGCGCGTTGAACGCGACTTTGCCTCTCATATCGTCTGGGCAAGCATATGAAGCTCATCAGAAAGCGCGTACATTCGCATCCAGATATGTCAAGTCCAACCACTACGATACTGCCATCGATGTTCTCTTTCAGTCTGCACGGGAGTTGCTGAAGGCAGGGAAGCAAGGTAGTGGGACTGATCTGGCATGTTTCATGTTGGATGTCTACGACAGCAAGGGAGAGTCTGTCAACGAGGAGAGTCGGGGTGAGCATGCTTGTTGCCTCAATTGGCAGAGTGACGAATCGTCGAATGGTACTCGTGGACGATGGCATGGACAGGTAGAATCACACAACTCATCGCATTAACGGGACCTGGTGGGTCGTGGCGGAAGACCACCACGGACAGGGCGATTGCGTATGTCTGTGATCGCCCGCATGGATACACTACGCTGGATAGCTTACGAGGCACTCAGGTGGTCAGCGAAACATGGAGGCTGCCCTGCTGGTGACCCTGATCTGCACCACTACATCGGCGAGCTACTGTATCGAGGTCTGTGCCACATTCTCCGTGGCGTCTTGAGTTCTGCTATTTTACATATGCGCAGAGGGCGCCTTTGACTCCGCCGAACCCCATTTCCTGGCGTCAGGAAAGCGTGATAGCGCTCGTCTGCTCGCACAGATGTTTGCGGAATGGGCGGCGACGAGAGGCTATGACGGCGCCTTCGCCCTGCGAGGAGTCATACCGTGAGTGTTCCATCGGAGTGATATTCAAGCTTCTGCATGATGTAATGGCAACATATACAGCTACTTGCAGAATGGAAACATACTTGCAGCGCGAACCTTCATCACACAATATGTGACTGAGCTCACTTCAAACAAACCAGCGTTGGTTTCGCCGCTTCAATCCACCCCTATCCCAGTGGGAAATACGAAGGATGGCCAAGTTGATGAACTTATCTTTACCACGGAGCCTGTCATGAACTTCGCACAACTTGCAGTGCGAACGTGTCAGCGTGCGCAAGGTGCGCAGAATAAAGCAATACGAGAAGCTTGGGTGAGGCTGTGCGGAACGTACCAAAGTAGAAGCAGCTTGATCGCTTCCAAGGAAGTCAGAAAGGCAAGTCAACTAATTGTTTCTGAATGACTGTGCCGTGGAGATAATCCGTGCCATTCGAGCTGTGTTCGCATCTTTCAATCGGCTCTCCATCTATTTTATTACCTGTTGTAGTGTTAATGTCTGACCTATCTTTCCGCACTGTCACACAGGCCCTGATAGAACTTGCGGAGCTGTACTTCGCGATTCCCCCTCCGAGGGCCCAACAAGCAAATCCCTTGGGCGATATGCTATCGGCCATGTTTGGTGGTGGCGCCCCAACGAACTCGGCGTCTGCAAGAAGAGTTTTGTCGCCGCCACCTACGACAAACTCTCCTGGATTAGATTAGCGTGGTACGCATGGTCCTCACGTAGACCTCGATGACTATCCTGAAGGCGTGTTTGACACGCTGATCAGCGAGCGATAGTGCCGTGCAAGCGGATTTGCCGAATAGTCATAATGTGATGACTGTACATGATAGCAATGTGTTTCTCCGCCGTTTGAAATTTCATCCATGCATCAAATAATTCGACGCTGCAATAGGCGTAGTCGAACAGTGAAAAATGGCGCTGCGGCAAGGCGAAAAGCGCGCTATGTGCGTGGATCTCGCGCATATTTCCTGGACACCGTGTTCGCCGTATCAGATCACTTTGCCGCGTTCCATGGAGCAAAAATGAGGTTCGCCGTGCCTGATGAAGCCGCACCGGCCGCTTGCAAGCGGCAGCGGAAGCATCGTGTCGACCACTGCGGACGCTGTGTTCAGACATATCTCAGTAAACAGCGTTCACTGGTCCCAATTCTCTAGTTGCTGCGAGAAACGCATAATACGGCTCACAAGATTTTTAATATGCTACGTATACAAGGAAGTCCTATAAGAGAGCGATCATGTCGTTCATTGACTATGAGATTCGAGATGCAACATCGGCTGCAGTGGGTCACGGCTTGTATATTCCTGACAAATGAGTGCAACACCTATACTTTATGCAGACGCCTGCATGCACATCATATGCGTAGTCCAAATCCCCGTGCGCCTCACCATAAAAACTGATATTGAATGCTCCAACATGCTGTTGTACGTTGGCTACGAGCTAGCGACTCGTCGTTGACTGGTGGATGGTGATTGTGGCATGCTGGGCGGATTTGCCCCCGCATCCCCGTTGATGATGTCCTGTATTGCAGCCTCCAACGCATCCACACGTGTAGACATCTGGTTCACTACAAGCGAATCAGCGACCGTTTACAAATCACTCAGTCAAAACAAGACCTGCTCACTACGCTCAAGCATCTGGCCAGACATGTCGTCAAATTTGGCGTCTAGCTGTTCCAAGAGCGATTCAACCTGGAGGTCGTATCGAGGAGAGACAGGGCATTAGAGATACATGTATAACGCCACTCGTGAGCGACTCACAAAAGCGGTCAGTTCATGCGGACTGGATATGTCCGATGGATTGGATGTCGCTTTGGCTGGCGTTGTCGTTCCTGGTGCTGCAGCTGGCGTTGTGTTTGCTGCTCTGGATGGTGCGGGTGAAGGGGTCACATTGAGAGGGAGCGCTGATGACGACGCAGGCATAATTCGCTCTCGCTCTCTGTCTCCTTCAAACTAAATTCATAAAAACCACTCGGCATGTAGAGGATCGTCCGCATACCTGACTGCTCGTGATTGTCCAAGGAGTCCAAGTGTGAGTTGCAACTGCCGATACCCGGCAATGATGGCGCCACGTGTCACAAACTTTCTGCATTCAGCCTTCCTCCGCCTCCCCTTCTTCGCATCCAACCCAAATATCACGCCAATCCGCCTTCCAATAAGCGCATAAACTCTGCTCTGTCCGGATAGGATGGAGCGCCTGGATGGCCGTCTGTGGTTGTCCGCGAATAGCAAATTATCCGATGAAGATACTTAGCCCGTGAACAGTGGGCCTTCCAGGCTACGGCTAGGGAAAGCTCAGCGGAATTGTGTGATTAACATCGTGTCTTCCGGCGTCCGAAGCTTGGTAACACGCGGCTAGCCTTTGACCGTTCGAGTTTGCCTCATCTTATCCTCCATTATGAGCATACGGCGTAGGTGCTGTCTGGGCCCGTAGCGTCGCCTTCCAGAGCAACGCAAGATGCGATGACGGATCTGTCCTATTCTGGATGCGATACAAATGGTCACTTTGCAGTTGCCGAGTTGCGCTAAGTAAGTGCGAGAGATTCCCGCTGGTATAGTTCCGACGCCGTTTTTTGCGATCCGCATTAATGTATACGCCCGTTGCCTCCGGCTCAGTGCTGTAGGTTTCCTACTTCCCACAGACTCAAACTTGCGGCCAGCAGCAACGACATCAATCACCAGCCAGTCTCTCGGACTTCCGATGCGCCGAGACGAGCAATCTTGACATCTTCTCTTGTTACAGGGATCAGAAGCCGTGGACAGACACCTTCTGTACGTCTCAACGTCATGCCATACTGTACGAGTCGCCTAACAGCTAACTCGCTTCAACCATCGGACCAAATGGATGCCATCAAGCAAGGTTGAGGTGGCAAAGCGGCTTTTGGCCTGATGAACTCAACCGACTGAATAGCTTGGGCTCACGCTTGGCAACTTAGAACTGTCCTGAGGCGAGCGTGTACCGCGAGGCACGAAGAAAGGATGCTACGCTGCGCTAGCCGGTATCTGGTCGTCAATTTGCGCGGCTAAATGTTACTCGGGCAGCATACTCTCCGAAAGGCCCCAATGACACCTGATCATGCGAGCGATCAGGTTTGACTGGATGACCACTGGGAGAAAGCCAGCCATGAGCACAGAACTTGATACCGCAACAACTGCTAGTTCATTATCCTGGCATTCCATGAGAGCCGGTATGAAATGCCTCGCTCTCAAGCCATAATGCGTAAGGAACACTTAGAGTGAACTCAGTTGCGCGGAGAACGGTTAGCGCCTGCAGGCGGTTTCTGAGTTGATTGCATTTCATGCTGGGTTCGTTTTTTCCATTTAGGTCCAGAACACGTTCCTCAGCAATCAGGGACGAATGCCACGGGTAATCAGTCGCTACGGTACGTAATCAGTAGATCGGCATGCAAGGCGAATAGTGCTCGCCCATGTTGCAGGTCTCAGACGCTGCTCATTCGGTTGAGTAATCTAGCGGGGGCACGGTTTCAAACACGCATGACCAACGGTGCACTGATCCTATGCAAGGCAAGCGCACTGTTCCAGCTGTCTAGCGCTCGGCCTGGTTGGAAGGTGGACGCTAAATCACAAGCGATGTCTCGAATCCATGATGCGCCTCGTTGCTCCCGGTTGGGGTCAGCGTCTCGGAGCATGTCCTGCTAGCGCGCAGCAACAGGTCCCAACCCGCCATCCTGGGTAAGGATTTTTTTATAGGACTGTTCCGATGGACCTTTCTGAAGTGGATTTCTTATACCAATGGCCCTATCGACCTTTCCACTGCTTCTCTATGCGCCCACAACGGGTCTAGCACCTTTATAAGACCTATGTGCTGCCCCTGCATCGCCAGTTTCCCTTCGTTCTCCACCCGGGTTCAGCAAGAGTCCTCCCCTTTCCAATTGTCGATCCATCTCCCCACGATCTGACCCACCTGCGCCTTCGTCTCTCGCGTCGATTAGCATTCACCATGTCAGACTGCAAGCAAGAGATCATCACTTTCCCAGATCTCATGAAGTCCATCCCCTTCCCGATCCGCTTGAACCCTTATACCCGATTCGTGTCTGCCGATTCGGATGCCTTCATCCTGGAGTACGGGAACTTCTCGGAGAAGCAACGGGCCAAGTTCATTGGCCTCAATGCTGGCCTATTGTGCGGCATGTGCTATGCCGAGTCAGGTCCCGATGAGCTCAGGGTATGCTCGGATTTCATGAGCTTTCTGTTCAATCTCGACGATTGGAGCGACGAATTCGACACAACCGGGACGAAGGGTCTAGAGGAGGCTGTTATGAACACGTTGCGTCATCCGGACACCTTCCATTCTGACACTATCGCAGCTCGAACTGCTAAATCGTGCGTATCAATCATTCACTTGTATCATGTTGAATTTCGGCAGCATGTTCATGACGCTCTCTTCCCAGATGGTGGACGAGGATGCTCAAGACGGTCGGTCCGAACTGCAAGGAACGCTTCATCTATACGATGGGCTTGTATTTCAAAGCCATCATGCAACAGGCTGCCGACCGTGCATCAAACAGCATTCCAGAGCTCGAAGCCTACATCGATTTGCGACGCAGTACGAGTGGATGCAAGACCGGCTTCGCCCTCATCGAATACGCTGCAGGCATCGACCTTCCTAACGAGGTCTATGAGCATCCTGCTATCCAAGGCCTCTTGAACGCCACTAACGACTGTGTCAGCTGGGCTAATGTGAGTCATTTCTGTTCACCGACTTTCTATTCCGGTCTGTCTGAACGCTTTCGGCATTCGCCTACTTGCGCTCTGGTGCCACGAGGTGGGCGTCAACACTTCCAGCTGTTGGTATAGACGCGCTGTGCGTCCGACCGCGCATTTACCCCTGAGCAGATCGATGACCATCAACTATATTAGATCCTATCGAATGTAACAAGGAGATCTGACAACATTTCTATGTATAGGACATCCTTTCATACAACAGAGAACAATCACGAGGGGATGTATGTTGCGCTTCTTTATGTCTTCCTGTGCCTTCCTCACGTCGCATTCGCAGTCGCATAATCTCGTGCCTGTACTCATGCGGACTCTCGGTATCGAGCGACAGGCAGCCGTTGATTACGCTGCGGACCTGTGCAACAAAACCGTAGAGCGATTCCTTGCAGGCAAGACGGCGTTGCCGTCCTGGGGTCCTGAGGTCGATGCACAGGTTCAACAGTACATCCAGGGCCTGGAAGACTGGATCATCGCCAACGCGGAGTGGAGTTTCATGACTGAGAGGTACTTCGGGAAGGATGGACCGAAGATTAGGAAGAGCCTGCAGGTGCCTTTGCTGCCGGTGGTTGGATTTGTTTAGACGTCGCCAATCCGCCACGCGAGGAAGCACAATTCTTCGCGTTTGATCCTGACAGGAAACAGCGCCATCAGTGTACCCTAGAAACCTCACACTGTCGCGTATGCCTGTCGTCAACCGCGATCCGGCTCAGGACATATCACGCTGACGTGGAGATTGAAGCTTACCATGATCTTGATAGTCCATAGTATACTGGTGTTACGTCTGTAGTCAGGTAGTACTTTAGTGTAATCGCATTGCTTAGGTCAGGTTCCGATTTCAACCAACTCGCTCTGACCGTCGTCTGAGGATCTCAACGAGTCGGACTGGGTGGGACTGTGGCGTGCATCATATCAACATATCAACTGAAGTTTTCATCAGATCAACTTGTCGTGCTTCACGTGGACATCCACAGGAGAGCCGCTCGTCAGGTGATGGAAGATGTCGTTGCTGAGGAGATTCAGGGACGCAGTACCAGATGGCTGTAATCCAGACTGAGCTAAATGGGTCCAACTGTTTCATCTATGATCAGCTCGCGGAGCTGCGAATTTCCGGACTGACCCTGCTTCTGCCAGAACCGTCCGGACCTCTCCAGAACAGTGATCGGCATATCGACGCGCACCCGTTGCGGTGACGTTGAGCGACCTCACGTATACAGCACGACAATTTGATCATGGGTCTGGACGGGCTTTTGCAGGCCATCAGCCAATTGAAAAGAAGATTGGGTTTCAGAATATGCTGTCATCGCAATGCCTTCCTCAGTACGAGATTTCTCGGGAGCTTTGTCCGGCTTACTGATTCTCGAATGTGCTATATTTTGCCTTGACTACCAAACGAGTGCGACTTGCGACCCAGTACAATGGTGCAGATTTTACTTACCGGAAAACACCGTTGTTCCCAGGCATGCGCGTGGAATGCTTGTCGAGCGGATCTTACCTATCTTGCCGTCATTCATCTCGGTGACTAAAAACGTAGATACCGCCTTTCCTTTTCAACCGTTCACCCGAGGCATCGACCGGTTGGTATCGTGTAGTTTCCGCGAGGATGCTTCGTGATTTACATGAATCGTGAAGTCCAAGCTGTAACGATGCCGGTTCTCGCTCACGGTGGTCTTACGTGCTTGACGGACCAGGCTAGCATGAAAAGGCCGTAGGCCTTCTCATTCGCCACGCGGGGCGACGGAGCTCGGTCGCATAGGCAGGTGCTATAACACGCCGTGGAATGACTTCATGAGGGAGCGCGGCCCGGCCCAGGAACCTGACCCACTCACCAGAGAGGTTTGTACGGCCCAACCTATTGGAAGTGCCCAACGCGCCCTCAAGGAAATATCGGTAATCAACGTATTTCGTCTCTGTCATCATCTTTGTGCCAGCTGGGATCTCCAGCAAATTGTCGCGCCGCAATGCCACGCGACGCATTCCGTGCCTATCTCGTCATACGAAGACCTCTGGAGCCCCTCAAGAATCTTGTGGAGCGGGTCGACTATGTAGCCGCAGGCAGTACATGGGCTTCCTGGTGGATATTGACCATTCTCTCAAGTCGCCGCCAGAACTTTGCCACGCAAAGTTCGCTCTAATCCGGGGGTTGTTTCATCTGTGTGAAGGGACTGAATCAGCCGCAAAGAACCTTGCAATAGATTTGCCGACGTCTAGGGCAAAGTCGCACCCACATTCTCTAAACGTTTGTTGCATGCTGTAAGATTTGGTTTAGTCGGAGGTAATTGCCGTATTGGGGCATTCCTATTGCGCCGCTGAGATTCTAGATATGTTATTGCGCGGCCTTCTCCCGCGAACAAGAATGGGTCGATGAACGACGATCAAGGCTTTTGCCTTGCTCGATATTGCGCCACACCAGGCACTGCCTCGACTCCTTGATGGGTATGGCTTGATATCACAGTTTGCTCACAACGCAAGTCGTCTACCAGAGCGCACTACATGCTACCCATGACGGAGCGCTCGGCACACCTAGCCGATTTCGATCTACAGAAGTCTCATGGACGTATTCACAGTAAGAAAAACAATAACCGTGCGACGTAATATTCTCACCGAATTGAGCCGTTGTGATAAGCGGTTCTTCCGTATTCGCCCTGATAGTGCGCCTGGCGATCCGAGGCGTTCATCGGACACATCCGTTCTACGTTGACCACAGCCGGATTACTCTTCTCCGTAGCCGACATTGGAGCGCGGCTTGCACGTTCAAGTGTTCGCCGCGGTCACCGCTGACGTTCTGTGACTCTCTGCCCTTGTCAGCCGCCTTTGTCCAGACCCTTCTGTTCGGCGTAGTTGAGCTTCGGTGTCAATTGGAAGGGCAGGACCGAGCAAACCTTGTTGTCGACGAGTCATGAGCACTCGCGTGATGCATACATACATTCCATGCCCGGAAAAGCAGTTCACAAGGCAGGGTTCGTGTGTGAATGACGTCAGACAAAAATGTGACAGATGAGTTTCGCTAGCCTCTGAGGTTGGGCGCGAAACCCTCACTGTGTCTGGCTACTGAGCTGGACCAATCTGGCGACACCGCCTCCCTGGAAAGGATCGACTGAATCCTGATGTAGAGTCTCTTCCATTGGAAATGCACGCTTGAACTCCACGCTCGCACCATCTGCTTGATCTTCCGATCTACCAGTAAGTCGAATCCGAGGATGACACTGAAGCTTAGATGGCAGGTTTGGCGGCTCCGAGAGCGATCCAATAGGCGAGCAATCCATCCACCTCTGTTCGGTCATGAGTTCGAGGACGTCAATGTGCTGTCATGATGTGGAGTCTTGTCGCCATCTTGAGATGGACTCGATGACGCGAGATCTGTTCACGGTAGACTTACTGCACGGTCGACAATCTTCATCGGCGGTTGAGCGGTGTCTTGCGATACAGAATCTGACAAGAAGTCAACCAGAATTTCATCATGAGCGCCAAACTTTGACATGCATGGCAAAGTGCTGCAAATTTGCACGCTTGCAGATGTGAGAATTGAAAAGAAGGTCGGTTGCAACGCTCACGGAAGAGGGCCCGGAAGACGTCCCGCGAAGACGACCGCCGTCTCGTGCTGTTATGATTTTTGGAAGATGTATCTGTCCGCGTGGTGAATGCAAGTCATTACATCGGGTGTCCGAAACGTTGATGGTTGGCGCATCAGCAGTAGTATGCCTCCTTCAGCAGCTACCCTGTATCAATAGGGTCCGTGCTACTAGGCGAGATCGACAAGCATGTCAGGATTGATAAGTCCTTCTGCCCATAACGTTCATCGCGGGTGCAGTACACGCGTAGAATGCATGCTAAGCACCGTTCTCCGACAACCGACGACAGCGGTGGTGGCGGTATAGTACTTAATCTGTCGCTTCTTTCGAATCGAGCAAGGGGTACTCGGCATTCCATACCATTTTATGCCTGCTCGCTGACTTTGAATGCTGCGGAATGTCAACGTGAGCACTGTTCTGTATTCAGCGACGACAGGATTATGCCGACCGTTGAGGAGCCGAAAATGGGAGTGCTCTCTGCTCTCGCAGTTTGGAGGCCGTCGTCGCTGTCGCCAGCTGATGGACTGTGAGAAAGCACATGGTCAGGCAGGAGATATGTATCAATGGAAGCCGCAGATAGGCCGCAAGCACCGCTGGGCACCAGTCCGAGCAGGCAATGTCGGTGCTATGTATACGCCTCATTTTCACACGACCGCCTTGAGTTGGGCATGCGAAGGGCCGTTATTCTTTCTCGTGGGTTCCGCGCAGCTTCCATCACGATGGCTCCCAATGAGGCACAAGTCGGACAAGTTGCCCCCTCAGTCCGTACATGAAGAGCCGCTTATGTCAGCTGCACGGCTCTTGTCATTGTACACTTACTGGCTCCAGCAACTCGAGAATAAACGTGCTCGCTGCTACTATCTGGCTATGAGATGTCCTTCTCTTCCGAGGACCTAATTGTATGTGTAATCGAACAATGCGTTCGCTGTGCGCTAGGGCCAGTTTTCAAGATGGAAAACTACGATTGGCTACGATTTATATCTCTGGCCCAGTTCAGAACAGGGAACCGTTGCTAGTTCCACATTTCGGGGCCTGCATGTGATCCATGGCTTGACACGCCTGCGATAATTATCGAGCTGTGCTCTAGTGCCATGGAGCCGTAGCGTGGCATTCATTAGGTAGATAGGACCATTCCCTGACGCATTGCTTAGGTGGCACATGCGCTTGATGCTTTACGGATTGACGCCGAGTTGGTGCCGCGAGGTGCTACGCGGGGTGTGTCAATATTCGAAGTATCACGCCGTCACAGTCTTGACAAGCCTTTCGTAGAGTGACCCTGCAAGCTGGTAGGTGCCGGACGCCTCAGAACTTCTCCCGTAATCCGGACGCATTTGATGCGAGTGTGCTTCCGCAATAACTTCTTGGGTAGGAAAACCGTCTCAAGAAGGGTAAGTTCCTGGAGTGCAGGATGGCTCGCAGCCATAAAACGGAATCTCTTTCTCCCGGTTCACTTCCAACCCCAGCATAATCTTGCATAACCTCCTCGTCTCTCTCTTGCACTATGCCACTCTCCGGTACGACTGCGGACGTCCAACCGTTCTATGGATATGTCGACACAACTGAAGATGCTCTGCGTCTCATTGAGGTTCGTTTCAATTTTGCTCTGGCATCCTGACCATCCGGCTGACGTATTATTATCAACGGCTTCCCCATCGCGCCAATCATACGGTATCATCTGGCGGTCAGGCGGCCCGTCGCGGAGTGCTACCTCGTGTCACTCGACGTTTCAACGAGCTCGAGAGGAGATCCATGATTAGGAGCGGAGCAGTGTTCGTTTTTAGCGTCGAGGAGAGCGGCATCAAGCGGTGGACGGAGGGGTTAACCTGGTCGCAGTCGCGTATATCTGGGAACTTCCTGGTACGTGACCCGTCGAGATCTACGCCATTGTCGAAGAAATGCTTTCATCTAAGCTGGCCTTCATCAGATCTACCGAGAGGTCGCCGACCGAAACATCCTCCGCAGTTCACATCAAGTCTCGGACTCTTCTGACGGTTCACAGAGTGGTCATCCTGTGGAGAGCCATATAACGTTAAAGCCAAACGGGCTGATAAAAAAGGCGAGCGTTTGAGTGTCATCTGTGGAACAATTAGAAGACTAAGTCAAGGTCCCAGACGATAACGGTCAAGATAAATGGCTCTGATCATCACCTAATATCATACTTCACGCAAGAAGACGTCCATTCGGGACGGCTTCACAGGCCAACCAGTCGGTCGGATTTGATGGCGCTGAAGATACCCGCCGAGCTTTTGCAGTCCGCGAACTTCCGCTATCCACTCAAGCTCGACGGGCAACGCATCGGTATTTCCCAATTGTGAGCGAAGCTTTAGTTATCTGGACTCACTGAGACTCTGATCAGCTTCGCCACATCGATGACGTTAGCGATGAAAGCGATGGCGCTGATAATCAGTGCAAAAAAGCCCTCGGTACAGCGGCCCCCTTGGCTAGGCTAAGCTCTCCAGCTGCTACGGGATATATGGGAGAACACCCTTCAGATGCCTCGCCGACCGAACTGTCGGAGTTCACACGAACCCAGTCTCCGACCATTTCATATCAAATCCATGGCAGGCCTAGGCAATACAACAACCTCTATCCATCGCGACTTGCGGAGATAAACCGCTCCATGTCTTCCCCAGATCCGCCACAGATCCCTCATACAACGGACCAGATAGTGCCTTCATCATGGTCCCCGACGTACCCTACCGCGCTAGAATCGTTCTCGATGTCTCCGAACGCTTCGACAATGTACCATGCCCAGACGAGCCCGAGCCATCTGCACCCATCCCACGTGCAGAAAGAGGACGCGTGGGTTCATCATGCCCCAACCCATGCAAGTATGGACCGCGCATATGACCAGCACATGCCACGGCTTGACATCCCGGGCCAGATCGAGCCATCTTGGGCGCCCGGCGTTCCTGCGATGAATCAGCAGCAAGTCAGCTCAGCACCCCCTGGCACGGGGTTTCCCTGCATCCATTATCCAGAGGGACGCGAACGAGACCGCATTCGCTCCCGCTCGTACCATCCAATGTGGTCATGGGGACATGAATCAGGTCACTCGTTATACCAGGTACCTCCGGTATCCCATGCCGTGTGCGCTTCACACGGCGTCCGTCATTTACCGAGCTGACTGGCTTGCGCTGTTCTCCAGGAATAGATGCTCCTTCAATTCATCATACGCACCTGTAGCGCTTCGTTTCCAAAGGACTCGGCACTCACCGTAGACTCTAATGCCAGACACAATTCGCTGTACGGTTTCTCGCGAATCTGCGCAATTACGACCACGTCACGGGCTCGTATTAGTTACCTTTCAAAATGCTGACGACTTGAACAGTGCCGGCGAGGACGTCACCGTCGGGCCAGCACACGTAGGGCCGCACGATAGATAGTTCTTAGAGATTCGAAACCATCTGTAAGATGGGCAGTGCCAGATGATCCTGATATGATCTATTTAAGCGTTGCCGGCGGTCCTCCTCTCGATGAACCCTCGTATGTTCGCGTGTCCATCCAAACTGCCGAAGAAACACCGCTTTGACGGGTTTTCCCAAAGCACGACGTCCAGCTGCTTAGCGTAATTGAGAACGTATTCGTAATCGGCCTGAGAAGCGAATGCGGTATATAAATACCCTGTTGGCAGAGAAGATCAGTGTCCAGATGTGCTAGCGAATGCGTGTAATACATATGATAAGACGAACCTTCTTCAGATTTCAACCTATTTTTCTCCAGCTCCCAGAGTCGGATCTGATCTTGCACCGTCACCGGCAGGAGAGGTCTCTGCATGATTGTTGTATGATAAGCTCTATCCAGAAAATATCCTGTAAAAGCATACATTTTTTCGCATCTGTGGGTGAGCATGTGCAGTCAAGTAGCTAATAATCTTCATTCGAGATACAGCAATCAATCACGATTGAATCGAGAGAGTCCATGCCTGATACGTACTTGATCTGCGGTAATTCCGTTGGCAAGTGCCTTCTTCACACTTTCGCGGGTAATTGCTCCAATGACCAGGTTTGGGAACCGAGATTTCAATGTGACGAAAAGGTTCAGAATGGCAATCTGTAGAGGATTATCTACGAAAAAAACATATGTCATTGGTTCGAGAAGAAGACCCTGATGGCGCACCTGTGTACGCATACAAGCGGTAATTGGTTTCTAGAACAATGAAGCCTTCGGACTGAGTTCCCAAGCCTGAGTTATGTGAAGATGGCAGCGGAGGCGAATGAGATGTCAGAGTGGTAGCAAGACGGGATGGGCTAAAGCGGCGCGAGGACGGCTGTAGATGATGGATTGTTCGCTACCGAATCCGCTCAGTCGGCAAAGGAGACATACATTAGGTTGCCATATCAGTCCGTAGTTTCGCAGGTCTGTGAGCATTGCGACTTGGGTAGCGCTCAACTGCTCCGTGGAATATTCCTGTATTCTTCAAGCGTCAATCATGGAAAAGAGCGTTCATGATTATGGCGTACTCTGCCAAGCTCCATCGTTGAAAGCATCAGCAGAAAGCCCAAGACTTCAACCAAATCCATCTGGCGCTCCTGATGGACGGAAGCACGAGACATGTGTTAGCAATGACCAAATGCGATGCCACGCTCCCATACCTCTGCCAAGTGGAGATATTGCAATAGCAGCTCCCAGAGCTGTGCATGTGGTGAGTTCAGGAGAAACTGAAACCCTGACGACGTTATCTGCAAGGCTCCGCCGCTAGCAGGCGATCAATGAAAGATGCATCTGACACTAATTTTGACTCACTGCGCGTTCGCCATGAGCCCACTACGTCGCAGCAGGAAGAGGACCTCTCTTGAAGGTTGCGTCGGATGTTGCCCGGTACCCGAAGACACCATATAATGGAGTATAGTCTGACAGAGAAATGTGGTGGATATGACAGGATCGATAGAATCGGCTGCGGACCTCCCAACGCTCCAATGCATACGAATCTAATGACTCAATTGAGGGCGGAAGCTCTTGGTCATTTGGTTCTGCCGGTACTCCGAAACTGCCGCTCGAGCCTCTACAGAACTAAGGCTATGTCACCGAAGATGAGAAGCGGCTCCACCACTTACCCTCCGGTAATCGCCTGCCTCAAGCTTGTCTTGAACATAGCACTCAGGATCAGCTTCACTTGAGAACTTGGGATGATATGCAAGCGACCCAATGTAGAGACACTCTCATTGTAGGCTCTAAACGTAAAAGGAATGATCGGCCGAAGTTACACATTGGACGAGTCTAATGAACCCACTTCTTGCCCTCTCGTGTGACCCATGCAGACATTGTTGAAACAGGAATTGCCGACTCCAGCCAGAGCAGATTCATGACGAGTTGTCTTTCGAGAGGGTTCAGAAGACTGAGCACTTGACACTGTGAGATTAATGACGACAGATTAAAGCACATCGATTGACCGAAAGACAGAGAGGCACGCCGAGGGCATCTGATATAGGCGGTTCAATGCGTTCTGCGATTGGGACTGCAGGAACATCAGCAAAATGTGGGAGTGTTCCTCGGCTGTGGGGTGCTCGGTGTTGAATTCGACAGCCGGCATGGCCACCAACGACAAGATGCTCGTCAGAATACCCTCTTCGTGTCCGCTGAGGTTTGTGCACACAGCGTCGTTGCCGTACGCGGTATTGAGCGACGAGTTGAGCTTAAGTGACAGACGGCGGCTGCCACCTCGCTGAACTTAGGGTTTCCTAACTGAGCACTGGCAGAGCCAGACAGCTTTCCCACGTTGTGACCGCGGCGCGCTTTTAATCGCGGATTACGCGTCGAGGTTCGCCACTCGCACACTTTGCAGCGCGCCACCGCAATGTCGAATACATCAATCCACCGAGCTGCACAGAACGGTAGGTAGTCATCGCCGCTCGTCAGTGTAGCGTTGTAATTCGTTATCTACGACAATAGGTCAGACCGGTTTGTTGCGATCCTTGATATCCCAAGACCCTAAGCTTGTCAACGCTCTCGACGAGGCGAGACAATTCATGGGAAATTAAGAGTTGTCTCTCAATATATACAATGCAGGACGGACGCACCCCTCTTCATTGGGCTGCTTCATCCGGGTCTCTTGATATTGTCCGAGACTTGCTTGATCAGAAAGCCGAAGTTGATCGTGGAGACGGCAGTGGCTGGACACCTCTGCACATTGCCGGTAAGCTATCTATTTATCAGACGATAGTTGACTGAAGGATTTATGTAGCCAGTGCGGGGCACGAAGATGTTGTGCGCGAGCTCCTCGGAGCCGGTGCTGATGTCAACAAGAAGAATGACAAGGGCATTACGCCATTGTGAGCGGGGACAGTCTGTTGTGAAAGAATATCTGATGGCCTTTCTGTAACGCCAGACACTATGCCGCATCCAAGTCCAGAGTGGATGTGTGACATTTTGGGCTATCTCAGCGCATGTCCTGTCTGACGCCTCCTTTCAGATCGGCCGTCTGCTCATAGCACGAGGTGCAGACGTGAGGAGCCCATACAATATGTCTCCGATTCGTAAACACTGATGCCACTGGCAGATAAACGCCAAAGACAAGGCAAATCAGAATCCGCTGTACGTTCCCCTTTTGCCATGTGAGATGTCGATTTACCTGCGGTTCCCGAAGTCATCGTGCGGCTACTACGGGCTCGATAGGATTCATCAGTATTCTGCTCAACCCTCCAGAAGGCTCTCCAAAGACCCGGTTAAACACCGCCGATCGTGTTGGTGAGTGGTCGCTACCGTTATTTCAGTCCTCATCAAGCCATTGAGTAACTATCAGGTAATACACCCCTGCATCTTGCCATGGAGTCCGCCCACGCAGAAGCTGCCTGCCTGTTGATTGAGGCCGGTGCAGATCGGACTCGCGTAAGTTCCATGGACATGGTGTCCATGGATTTCATCGCTAATCTACGAACTGATTCCCTACACGGGTTATAGGAGAACCTCGATGGTGAAATGCCAGAAGATCTTGAAGGCGTTGGAGGGCAGGAACAGCGGCGGGCAAAGGCCTACGTTGTCGAGCGCTGCGGAAAGCGATCGTGAAACGGTGAAACGGACAATTAGTCCGTGATGAATGTGCGCGGAAGGAAACGAGTCGGCGGTGGTGTTCTAATTTCATTTACGCTATACGCTCCTGTCATGAGTTTTATTACAAAGGGCATGTTCTAGGTGGCAAGACGCTCTGTTTTAGCGGTTATGATACGTGACAACCGTCCGATTTGAAGCGCTGTAGCAAATCCAAATATCGGAAAATAGATCCGCTGTTCAGTCATTGCCGTCGATAGGATCCGACTGTAGAAGCATCCAGCCATGGGAGAGCGCACAACGCGGCTCCCTGCCTGCACTGAATGCTTCACGGTGCGCTAACGGATGGCCAACCTGGGCGAACATGAATTGGTATATGGCTCAGGAAGCTCTAGACTGACTCATGATGATAGAGTTAGAAGCGAGGCATCCAGAAACGTGCCGTCTGCACTGTCTCGCCTCCGGCATCGACTGCTGCGACATATGGGTTTGAACGGGCACCGCGGACAATCATGATTAGATTAGCCGCAGACGCGCGCTTTGTGCGGGCTAGTAATTATGAACAGAGAAATGCACCATATCTTCGTGACATAAACGAGGAAAGGGTGAGTATTTTATTGATCGCTGCCACCTCGGCCTGTATCAGGCAACCTTCGACCGAAACATGGACTCAAAGGCTTGGCAATGTAGGGATAGATATCCTGCATACTCGCATCCCGCCATCTGACAGACAGAAAGCATTAAGATGTCAATGTGTGAGGACCACACGGTGAGGGTGATGGCGCGGCAGGAACAGCTTCGCCCGGCGTCAATCTGCACGCGAAGGCGAGGTGACATTAACTGCATCGCTTGGATCGGAATCAATGGCTTGCACTCATTGAGAACATATCACTGCCCGTGGTTGGCTTTGAATAATAGAAACCGCTCAATAGCGTGCTCAACAGTGGAAGTTAGAAGATTTTTAAATTCAAGTTCGTGCATAGTCGTGGCGATGACCTGGTGAGGAACTCATCCGTACAAGGAAAACATTGACACTTCGTAAGAAGGCTGCAAGCGCAACCTCCTTGCACTACCTTACTTAAACATTCACGGGCCGTTTCCGCGCAGCCTATAGGCGGGACATCATGTCCGGTATGGGCGGGTGTAAGAAGGAGGGTATACGACTGCATAGACGCTATGTGCAGATGAGCGACGGGATAGTACTCTCCGACAGTTGAGGAGCTGGATCAAGAAGAGTACGATCTGTGGCTGCACAGTACTATAAACAAACGGGCATAGCTTCGCAGTTCAAACACGAACTTTGCTCCGAGCGATATAGACAGATCTAACTGACCTGACGCCTGGCGACAGCTGCGTCCATTTGGCAACATTCAGCACTGAGGCTCGGCACATTGGTCACGAAACGCTGCCCCTACTCAATCGATAGAAATGTCGGGTTGAACATCCTGCGACCGCTGACAGACCTATCCGACCCTTGCGGAAGATGAGTCAATTACATGCGAGTTCCTGCAGGGAGAAAAATGATTGCTGTATGCCTCGGATTGGATAAACTAGGCCAATGGGAACTTTTCACGAGCGAGAAAGGCCATATTGTACTAGGACAACTTGCGACGAATGAAACCGTCACTGTGGATCACGAAGGAGTGGAGTGGAGTAGTCTAGTTATCTCCGTGACTTAGTCCCTACCGCCTGCGGGAGGGATCGTCGGTAGTACTTGGCCATACTTACTTGACCATTGTTGCCAATACGGTAAGGTGAAGGAGGCGAAACGCACAAGCCCTTGAGACTAGAAAGTTTTTCGTCTCGAAGCTATGCAGTAGCTATGGCCGTTTCTAGACCCTCAACGAATCCAGGAGCCATTCTGGTCTGGAATTCGCGGTGCAGCAGGTACCAAAGCAACCTCCGCGATCCACAACGTGTGAGTTCATACTCGACTGCCAAAGACTGTGCTGGCCACTGTAGTACGTGGGCGGCCCCGAAATCGTCGACGGTGCCGTCTCAAACACGCAGGCTGGACAGAACAGATCAATGCTATGAAAGTAGTAGTCGAAAAAAAAACGATGGGCAGATGCTAACGGTAGTCATCAAGTGCTTGATCACAGTGGAGCATGATCAATCGGTTTTGATCCGTTCGATGCCAACTGTCATTCCAGATCAACATTAATGTAACCAAACCGGTACGCACATCAAACGGGAGCACAGTGGACTGGAAAAAGCAATTGCACAGCCAATGCACATTGATGCGAGTCCGACTGTTCGCAACTCTTTCCACGTAATAGTCGCATGTTCATCTTCCGTGCCTCATGTTGTACGCCCGCGAACAGAACACGGCGAGCGCAGGATCGCGGTTCACGGCGTGACGGAGACATCGCAGTTGACAGGTTGAATGGCGCTCAGGCTGTTGGAAAAGGCAGTGCATGGGATGTAGCAACCGCAATGAAGCAGAAGGTGTCTCAGTACACGCCGTAAACATAATGCGATCGCATGGAACACAGTGATAGGCAGCTCTTACCTGAACAGGCCTGCAAGTTGAAGGGTAGAGGGTAGATCGCCCGAACGCTGAACATTCGTCTTCGCCTCACGACAGACGATATTGCATCGTAATTTCTGCGTGGTTGGCTAGCGCGTCAGCTGACATCTCGCATGGCTGCCGCGTGGCATCAGGGTGCAATTCCGAACTTCGCGCGCAAGTAAGTAAGCGAAACTTGTTCCATGGACGCGCTAGCAACGATCGATGAGGCCGCCCAGAGTCGATGAGAATTCTTCATGCCAGCTCTAGTTACCGTAGCCGGATATTATAGCCTCCTGCCCAGTCCGCACGGATGATCTATATCCTGGATGAGCATATTAGCGATTGCAGTGAGAGGCCACAGAGGGAGGGGGACCTTGGATCAACGAGCAAGTCACCTGCCTAATGGTAGAAAGAATATGTGAGCTTGGCTCACACCAGAGAAAGAACGGTCCCAGTGATGGAGGGAATGCATCTCAAACAACTCTATAGCAGCATTTCAGCCATATCAGGGCAGATACTCTTGTTTCAAGCAACACGGTGCAATAGAGGCGGAATCGATAAGGATGGAAAGGGCTGTAGACCAATGAGCGCGCCACTGCGACGGTGGCCATGATCAATCCATCAGGGTCCCGCACGGGCACTCCCAAAAACATCCGTAGCTAGTCAGCTGAGCATATTGTCACCGTTGGATCAGAGCAGAGTACTGCATCATGTCTGGCGATGCATCAATGTCAAGTCGACACTAGCATACTCTGGATCACCTCCCCGCTCGTTTTGTCCCTTACTTCGTCAAATCACAATGCGCGGTCCAGAAACCCAGCTTCGACGAAGGGCTTACCATGACACCAATGAGATCTTTCTTGAACGTTCCGCCGATCTCCGGAGAAATGTACTTCTTGCCCGAGGCCTCGGTCATTATTGTAGTCGTTATTCTCGCTGCGTAGAAATTGTGGATTCGAGATACCTGAGATCGGAAAAGACCTCAGTAGATGAGTTGTTTGGACTGTTACTAGGTTTAGATCATCCCTCAAGATGCGTTATGGTCATTTCAATGAGCAGGTTGAATAGGAACAAATTTCAACTGGTGGCTTCCCCAGGGAGCGTACAACGTAAGGTCGTCGAAGATGCGACTGCGGATGAGATGCTGTAGAAATGTTTCCAACGATGCAAAGAGGATCGCAGATGGCTTGCTTGAAGGGTACTCCAGCTGAAGAGGCATGCGTGGAAAAAGGTTAAGGTTCTAAGTTCCCGAGACTCTGGTCCCGGAGAACACAGACGGATACGCCGATACTACCGCCTGACCTCCGGATCCTTGTAGTGCCGGTGACGACGGAATCCGAAAATTTGCCAGGACATCCAGCCGTAACAGGTGTTTTAGTAAACCAAATACGCCATTGCGAAGAGCCAGCTTCATGGCCGTGGTTGAGTTAATCGGTTAGACAACAATCTATTTTGGTTGAACAGGTTCCTGAGGGCACTTACCTTGAAAGTCAAACCCTCCAGTGACGCTGGAAGTGGAAAATTGGGCAGCCATGCTCCCGACCGGCCCGCACTGATGGAGACTGCCAAGGTGCTGCCACGCTACTGACGCCAGAGACCCTGTCTCTAGCGTCAAGCACGGGAAGCTGAGAGACCAGTTCACAATGAATCTTACTTCTTATCTTCTCCCGCATCCCTGACAGTCCTTCTCCAAGCTCGACTTTCCTAGTTTGTCACGGGTGGGTCCTCTCTCTCGATTGTCCACTTTCGTCCCGGGCGAGGACTTCTATCAGTTCACCAGGCATACCTTTGAACCTTCGCAAAACATCATGGGCTTCTCGCCTTCATGCGGCGCGCCGACGCTCGCTGTATCAGGGCAGAGCCTGAATAGGAACTTTTATGGAACCTGCGATGAGCCGCACATGCAAACGCAAATTACAAGGACGAATTCAGGCACCTATAGATATCATTCATAACGTGTCCATGGAAGCATGAGAGGCGCAGTATCGCGGAAAGCATGACTGATCACAGTGCTTTCAGACGTATCGAGAAGATCCGCGGCACACATTAGGTTCCGAGGACGTTCTGCTCGTGGCTGAGGCCGCTTTGCACCCTATCGCGCTCGGGTCAGGCCATCGGTCTTGCAGGTCGTTCATTTGTCAATAAGCGTGACTCTGACACTTTATAGAACACGTCTAGGTTTTGAGCTACCTCCGGGTGGACGCGTGCTTCGGCTCGGATTCTCCTGCAGAGTCAATGAGTAGGCGAAAAGTTCGTGACCATTTAAGTATACTTGCAAGATGCATCTGCACCGGAAACATAGACGCACCGAATATCATCAAGCCTGACGCCTTACCCCACTCTTTCACCTGGATACTCCTCGGAGGCGTGGGCCAGCAAGCCCCCATCGTCAAACAGAAGATGGCATCAGAAGGGGAGTTTTTGCTCGCCCAAGGCATGTATCCAACGTGGCGTTTGCCCACGACATTGGTATGCTAGTAGTATGACCAAAGGATCGGAGCGGTCTCTTGTTGCTTGCTGCCCCAACATGACATAGTGCTCTACGACTCGTCTCCTCCACCCTTACTCCGTCGCAGCTCGCCGTCCTCGTTCTTTTTGAATAACACCATTAGGTTGGCGTAAAGCGCTCGAAGTTGTGTCGCAACGTGAGCATGCTGAGCCTTTGCAAATTGGCGGACTTAGGTAGTCGCTCCATGTGTCCTCTGAATTCATCTTCGCCTTTTCTGGCTAGCCCGGCCAATGTTACGCTCCAAACATTATTCCAGGGACATGGCATCAGTCCACTACTCATTTGCGGACGACGGTCGATCGGAAAACGTGTTTCGGAAGTCTTCGACGCTAGAAGGCATCGATCTAGGGACTGCTACGTATCCCATCTGTGGTGATCCTCAACTTGCGTATATGTTCGTTTGGTGCGTTTCTGGGGTCGGCATGGGCAGTGTCACATTGAACAGACCGTGTGCGAACACAGATCATTGCAATTGACTGCAATACGAGCGCGCATCAAGTACGTGACGCTCCAACTCTCAGAATTATCTCAGGTGCCGTAAACCTGGAGGTGTCGCGACTACGGATAGATTGTACCATTTTACCTCTTCGACTGTTTCGAGCCTGAGAAGTCTCCCCTCAAAGTCATCGGACAGGTACGTTGCCAGAATACCAGTCGCTGTCTGAGTCGATCACAATTTTCTTAAGCCTTGCGGAGGTGCGCTATACGCTGCATTGACTGTTCATGATGACCGCGCAGTGGCCGGCCCGCCACTCCATGTGCCAAAGACGAAACGCCTCTTAATTTCAAAAGTCTCCCGATCTGAGAGTCCATCTTGCCTGTTAATACCATTGTAATGCATCAGATTGAATGGGCTTTGAAAGTGGACTGTTACTCTCACATTCTGTTCCAACGGCTTCCTTGTATTCGCGTAGACCGCGTTCTGGCCTCTCCACGAGCCATGACGGGAACGCCAATCATGCACCATCTTCCCTTGAATGGTAAGCAGCGGCAGAGATTGTCCGGACCCGCGCACAGACATGCGAGCGATACGCTCATCGGAGGTTAAATCGTTAGCTCGCCATTTATTGAACCTTTACTCGACTCCTCGGAGACACATATGAACTGCGGATTCACTCAATGCAATGCATCAGACCGTCCCGCGGGAGAGTGAACATCGCGCCGAATCTGAAACTCCTCCGTCAGTGTTGACTTCACATCGTCGTCATCTCGGCCGGAAGCGAATGCTCGTCGGTCTTTCGGCCAAAGGTCCAAGGATCAGATTACGAACGTTGCAATGGATATTTTTACATATCAAAATTTTCTGAGATAGTGGAGTGGAGAGCTGTGACAGGGGTATTGTTGGGCGCTATCAGTCGAACAGGCTGGACCTTACGCCCATCTCTGCGCCTTCAATGCGTTTAATATGCGATTGAAGCCATGCCATGGCAAATCCTCGTAATACGTTCCAGCACAGAGCAGTTTCACGAATGCATACCGACTCAGCCTATAGGATGGTGTGGCCGTGCGAGAAGATGACGGGCTCTGCTTCCCCACGGGGCCAGCCGCACCGAGTGACGTTCCGCTGAGTCGCGGCCGGCCCTCTCCCCCGCCTGGTTCTCGCCCGTCTCGTCCAAAATGCTTTTAGACCTGAACGGTGGCGGACAAGGTACCTGTAATACGACATGCTCGACTCATCACCCAAAGCCGACGAAGGCGAGCGTGAGCAAGTGAACGCCCTCCCTGCTTACTCTCCTGATGCGAATACCCCTGAATGGGCTCTTTATCCCTTGCACAACCACTCTTACTTCCTGTCCGATTCGAAGCAGGGACAGCGATGGCTCACTCTGGACGTACGCAGTCGAGCGAAATCCGCGGGGGATCCACCGACTTTCTTCCAAAACGGAGTGATTAGCGGTACAGTCAGCGTGCATCTGGAGAAGGAGGAGAGTTTCCGCTCCATCGAAGTTCAAGTGAGTCCGTTGTTACTTTCATCTCTTTATCTTTGGTGGTCTTTGGATGCCTATCGGGAGGTATTCGGCAGGGCCTTGGGAACATTTCGACTTGTCTTACCTTAAGACTGACCGTCACGATTCCATCCTTGCAGGTAACTGGCCGCATGACCATCTTTGCCCATAGAACGTTCAATTTTCTCACCATGTCGCGAACGTTATGGCCGCCTTCGCCGTCCTCGCCAAGCGGCAGTTTGAAGGGAGATCATCGATGGCCGTTTTCCTTCGAACTTCCGAGGGGTATCACTACCTTGATGTACGCTCAAGTGGGAGAAGCAGTGGAAGAGAACCTCCTTCCACCCTCCGTATCCGACCAGAAAACGGGAGTCTTCGTTGAATATCAGATAACCGTGCAGGTTTCTAGGGGGAAGATTCGACGGGGTAGTAGGTGGGTACTCGAAGCTGAACTTGCTCGGACGTCAGCTAAGTTCACTCTGCCCACAGCCTGGTTGTGCCTATCATGTACACACCGATGACGCGGCCAGGTCCGCCGTCTGCTGCGCGACAAATCGCGTATCAGAAGAACACGCGGATACCAGACGCAGAAGCGGACCCCGAAGGATGGTCGACGCTTCCTCCGTTGATCGTGCAAGGTGTTATGTCTAAAAACATCGAGGTCGAAGCAATATGTACAGTCAGTGCAACTCCCAACCACCTCTCTCACGTGCTAAAACTTTCGACCACAGTTGTCCCTCGCGAAGCCTGTGAGTCCTTCGACGCCTTGTCAGCATGGTCACCGCTGACGTATCTCAAGTTGTGCTACACTCGCGGCACCGCCTTGCCGTTGACGCTTGTCATTGAATGTGACAATGAGCAGGCACTGGATTTGCTTGCAACTAATGAGGCCATCGCCATCCGGCTGATGCAGGAGACTTCGTACGGGCCAGACTTGCTGCAAATGTACAGCAGCTCAGACCAGATTGAAACAAGGCACCACGAAATAGCACGCGCGGTCTGGACTCATTTAGATGATGATCCAGCACGTCCGCATAGGAGGAAGCTCGCAGGAGAAATACATATTCCTGAGCACACTGCACCTCGTTGCAGCTTTCTGAAACTTCAGATCAAGGTCAGTAGCTAATTGTTCACTGTTGAGACAGTCTGAGCGTTGTTGTTATAGCATACAGTCGTTCTGGACAAATTTGAGGCAGAAGGTTTCGTTCAAGCGGAGTCGATGATATCACCGCTGTTGTCGGAGAAAGTGGAAATCGCCACAGCACACGCGCCGGGACCGAAACCGAGGAAGTACATCACTGCTCCCGGGCTTAGACGAGCGCAAACAAGAGCGACACCAGAAGCGCAAGGAGCTCCTCTCACGAGGATATTTACTTGGCCACGACGGAGGAGCGTTGTTTGATGCGGTAATTAGAGCATCACGGGTTGTTGGAAAGGAGCAGTCTTGTTCATATGCGGAATGAGTCCATTTTTACTGTACTGTACTGTAAAGGCTACAACTGTTGTAATGACTTCACGAGAATTCACGACTTTCATTATGCGTTGACGCTTTCACGGACACTTGGTCGGATCCCAGTCAGTAACCAGTTCTGGAGACGCGAAGGTGAACAATTGAGCCCCTGTCGCTGAATTAACGCAAGGCGCACCTTCGTCGAGGCTATCCAGGTGGGCTATCTCGTCCGCTGTGAGCTCAAAATCATAGACGTTGACATTCGACTTGATACGTTGCGGCTTGGACGATTTCGGTAGAGGTATATAACCCTGGGTAATCGATCCGCTTGATACTCTTTTAGCGAGATGACCGACCACACACCTTCTGCAGCGAGTATCGCAGTAACACCTGGGCTGGGTCCTTGTGATACTTCTTCGCGAGACTCACGATGGATGGATGCTTGAAACGAAGCCCTCGCACAAGCGGTGCCCAAGCCTAGAGGTGGGGCGTTGGCTTAGCAATGAAATGACAAAGTCAATTGAAGACCGGAACCTCAAGAGCCATCCCATGTTCTTGACACAACGCCACGATATCTGCCCGCGTCATGAACGGATGGAGATCGACCTGACAGATTGTTGGTTAGTGTACCATGTATAGTGAGTCTGAGACGAACCTGATTGATTACGGGCAACTCTACGCGGGCTTGCAACATCTCCTGCAGGTGCCGTACACCGTAGTTGCTGACACCGACGCTGCGCACCAATCCCTCCTTCTTAGCCTCCAGCACTGCCTTCCAGCTTTCCGCGCGCTTCTGAGGGCCACCGATCGGTGAATGCACCAGGTACAAGTCAATGTAGCCGAGGCTTGAGGTCTCGAGCGATTGTGCAATCGCGGCTTTCGACGCTGCGTAGCCTGAGTTCGAGCGCAGCTTCGTCGTGTACCAGATCTCGGAGCGCGGCACTCCGGAGGAGGCGCAAAAGTCGAGGATGGCACGTCCGCATTCATGCTCGTTGTGATACCATTCCGCGGAGTCCTGTGAAAGTTCAGCAATACTTCAGATGCCCGCATTATTCTCACTGACGACATGGCGATATCCGGTCTGCATCGACATGATCAGTGGCACAAACGTTTGCGATCACAGGGTTCCTCACCTCCAGAGCGTACTTCACAGCTGAATATGCTTCTTTCCCATCCATCTCGTACGTTCCTATCATGTCGCCAATCAGCTATCTGCAAATCCACTGACGCACGAATCGCCTTACCGAAACCCATGATAGGGATCTCATTGCCATCCCTCAACTGTCAGATGTGGTTGAGCCGACCGCCAATAGCCTTGCCGTTGTACTCACTTTCAGTTTCGATTGCAGATCAAGAGACATGCTTCTGGCTTGAACGTAGACGGCTGATCGTGGCGAGGCGCTAGTGGCGGGCGACGTGCAGATGCTCAAAGCTGTCCTGAAGGCGAGAACCGATCCAAGACGGTGGGCGACCATGTATTAGCGGGATTCGAGGTTCATGAGCTAATATGTCCAACACCTAACAATACCATGTTGTCATTTCCAGCCCAACTTGCGGCCGCCGTCAGCCTCGGCCACCTCATCCTCCCGGTCGTCCCGAAGTATATGGTTGATAATTGATCCCTAAACGTCGAGCAGACTGCGTTGGTGAGGCGTAAATACCGGACAGCGTTCCTCGCGTGATCAGTCTTGCGTTGGAACATCAACTTTTGGAATTTGCTTCAATCGACATGGCTCGAGTGTCACACCGTTCGGGTCAGGACGTATAGCATATGCGGCAACATCGACATCCGCATAATTAGAGACACTAACCAGTCAAATATGAAGAAGTCGCTCAATCCGATTCACTGAGGCCAACCGCTTGCAACGTCGTCGGGACTGAAGCCAAATTAGGAACTCGCCTTCCACGAACGTCACGTGGTAGCGGGATTTATTAAGCTCCCAAACTTGCCGCCACAGGTTGACGGGACCATGAGCGTTGCCTGCAGAGCTCTTCCACCTCTACCCACAACCACAACCTAGTGTACTCTTTCCTCAGTCGACTCACCTTCCAAGTCCCTCCTTTTTAGCCTCAAATGGCGACAGTCGGCGTTATCTCTACCGCAGCCCCTGCGCGTCCCCAGCGGACATCTCCCGAGGTCATCGATGTTGACGCCTTTGAAGAGGACGAGGTTCTTTTCCTTGGCTGTGGGTCATCGCAGAGCCGACCTCCAGTTGAGCCTGGCCGCAGTGCATCGGTGTCCTCTGTCGGGCTAAGCACTCAACCCATTCTGATTGTAGACAGCGATGAGGAACAAGCGCCCCCACGAGGTACGTATAATGCCGCCGTCTAACCCAAGCGCCTTGCTGATTATAATTATCCTTCTAGCCAATCGACGGCGCCTCATATCGCCTCCGCCTCGGCCTGTCTTTGGCAGATTCACACCACCCGTCCCACCACTTCCTGCTCAATTTGCTGGCCAGCAGTCGTTTCCAACGGGTGCTCGAAACAACCGGCCACATCCGCCCATTGTTCGCCCAAATGCGCAGCCCTTTGCGTTCGAGGCAAGTTTGCGCCAAACACCACGACGCGTCCCCACCCCAGTCGATTTGATGCCAGCCGCGGCGCCTCGCTCCAACCACCAGCCTGCGATGGGCTTTGGCGGCGCTCTTATCGCCATGAATCGACAGAACGCCATTGCAGAAGCGAATCGACAACGTGAGGAAGAAGAGAGGTTCCACAGGCAATTACCGGAGCGAGGAGCAGGCATGCGCCGTTTTTTGCCTGCCTTCGTGGAACTTTGGCAAAGCAGAATATGGGGGACTGCGGAACACGACAACGCCGACTCTTGGCTCCTTAATGCTGACCCCATCCATAATATTCTCGCGGAAGAAGCTCCAGGGCTCGTCTTCGGTTTCGGTACATTTGGTAGTCGGTCTAGTGCAACCGAGCAATACTACAAGACGATATACACTCATGCGGAGAAGGCACAGGCTGGCTTCACTCATGATTTCGCCCCCGCTGAGGGCATACCACCCTCTAGTCAATCATCGTCAACCGTTATTGTGCTGGAAGACGATGACGCAAGCGAAGGAGGCAAAGGCAGCGTTGTTGCTAGTTCCTCGAGCGTAATCGAGACATCTACGACTCTCGTCTGCGCGCGATGTATGGATCCCCTGGTCCTACCAGCAGCAGGTGCAACGACAGATGAGGAGAGGAAGACACGAAAGATTTGGGCTCTCAGATGCGGTCACATGTTGGATGGCAAATGTGTCGAAGAGCTCATGTGTCCTACTCCTGAACAGTCTAACATTGTCGCGGAGCCGGAACTTCCAGCGGATCCCCAGGGCAAGGGCAAGGGCAAAGTGGTCGAGCGTGCTCGAGCTATTGATGCGGAGCGTGCAACATCCTCTCAGAGCAGTGGAAAGGGGAAGGGGAAGGGAAAGGCGCCTGCTTCGACGGATCGTAAAGGCAAGGGCAAGGCAACGGAGTCGCCGCAGATCGAGACCCCTATGCCAGGAGCGTTCCCTGAGTCGCCTGTCAAGCATGAAACAGAATCGACGGATGATTCTATCCGTTCACGCCTACGCCCTCGTCACCCTCGAGGACCTGCCGAGCCTGGCTCAAGTACAACTGCTGAGTCTTCATCTTCGGCGTTCCCGCCATTGTCAACGCGGCCGGTCCGCTCGCTACCACGTCGGCGCAGTACGCCCGCTCCAGCACCCATGCGTTCCCGCGCGAAGGGTAAGGGAAGGGCCAGGAACAAGCCGTTGATTGAGGCTCAGTATGAGTGGGAGTGTCCTGTCGTGGGCTGTGCCCGCGTCCACGCTAGCGTCTTCATTGATGGTGAGTGGAAGATGGAAGAGGAGCGCGGTGCGATCGCTGTGTTTGTATGATATATGCGGACCTGCTTCCATTGGCGGGTGAGTCTTGAGTCTTGACAACTGTGCTCTGTGCTGTCTTACTTATTGAAATTTGTAGTATCCACTGGGCGTTTGCTGCATGAGATCTGCGTCAGGCTTTCTTGGGCGTTCCATTCACCTTCTGCGGCCTAGTGCCTTGCATGAATAATAACGCATTGTTGCAATTTCTCTCACCAGCAATGGTTGATGGGTAACGTCGTCCATTCCTTCTTTTCCTTGGTCAACTGGAGGTGCACAAAGTGAACATCACATTCCATGGTCAAGCTATCTGCATCGGTGGCGTTGATTCTGAGTGCCGAGCGTCGTCAATTTCGCATTGAGGACTCGATCACTCATAAGGATGTGGGCATCATCGGCGAGACCTGGCAGTTCGTTCGGTTGGGCTACACATCCGGAGTGACAATATGAGTCCTCGCTACCTAAGCCTAAAATAGCTGAACCGGGGAGTCGGTGCACGCCAACGTCAAGCGTCCTCCTGCTCCGCTGCCCCGCATCTTCCGCTTCGCGGGAGAATGATTAAAGCAGTCGTCGCAGTTATCTTCCGTTCGTCTCACAGTTACTTCCCGCCGTATCATTGTGCATATATGCTTCCAGGAACGCGGCTCTCGAGCGATTATTAACTTGAGCCTCCGGCTCGGAGCCTCACTGCTGGTTCGGTCATGCAGGGAAGTGTCCTCAGCTCCGTCGCTTCTCACACTACCTCTGCGACCAGTTTATTGTGAGATCTAGGTGGGTCTTACAGTTGGTCATAGACTCGAGGTGCTATGAGACGAGATTTATGTAACTGAGTGGCTATAATGATTGCCCTTCAAGGGCGCTTGTTTGAGTCTTGCGCGACAGAAGGCAAAATACATACAGTGTACCAGTGAGCTCAGCAGTCGGAGACTTATGTAGGACAACACACGGTGGATTATTCAAATGGGTACTCAATTATAACCGGTAGCCTTACTATCGGAGGATACGTGTGAGATCAAACGAAGTTCGCGCGAAGTTGTGCGCGCAAGCGCAACTCCGCAAAAGGCAATTCATGCCCTCGCTGCAACCACGACGTTGTCTTGAGGTTTTCCGGATCCTTCTTCCTATCGAGAAATGATCTCGAGGCTCATATCAGCGCACTACACAATTCTTTCGGAGAAAGAGAGGCTGTACGCGACGATGGTGGCGAATAGGGTGAAGGCGGAACCAAATCGCAGTTCAGACCATCGGCCATGAGTCCAAGCCTCATGCTAGACTACCAGTCATTTGTGTCGTCATGAATTGGCCCATTTCGCAAGGTGGTTAGTGCCTGTGCGTCTGCGAACACTTCTATCTGGGTGCCAGTAGCCTCGCACTGCCGGAACACGCTCTGTCCTGGGTCCTCGCGTCGTAGTCTGCCACTCCTTGCAATGACCCGCCATCGCCACTTCCTGACCATGGATGCTAGTCGTAATGAATCGTCTTTCCGCCCAAGAATGCTCTGGAGGAATTACAACTGGGATAAGAGGGTGAGTGCAGAAAAAATGTCTCCTCGTCATTGAGTTTATTGTACATGCCTTAGATCGCGAGATGGGAATCTCTCCCTTGTCTTCGACTGCAGCCGAATCGCGATCTGTTCAATTGCCAGCGATGTGGTTTCACAAACGTCCTAGGCTTCACATGCACTTGGTGCTCTGGTCTTTGCGATATTGTCAGAGTAGCGCGCTCAGCTGTGGCGTTGGTGCGCAGACGTGCCAGCACACCTTCACTACTGAGCGCTGCGCAGAAGACGCGGGTAGATAGAATGGGAAGACAGAGGGCTCATGTTGTACTGAGCAATCGACCTGAGCGCCATCTGTCGCCGATAGAAGACAGCCAAATACAGCTGTCTGCGAACACTGTGTCGCAGCACTCGACGAAGACTCTTCTCCGCAGGAACCGTCGTCGTGCTGCGATCTACTCTGCGACAGATGTTGTTGCTACCTCGGTATGGTTACGCTCGTTACGTCAGCAGCTGTGCATTCGTACTTATGGATGCTCTGTCCGGTAGGATTTAGAACTGCAACCATATCTACGACGCCTCACCGACATGTTCTGGACCGACGAACAGCCCGCCGCCATTGCGCCTTCCGACTGCTCGAGCACACGTGGTGCTAGCGAGGTGGGGCTTCAGGCTGGCAATATCGAGTCGACAGAAAGCGAGTCTGTGGCGTCCACCGGTACTTTTTCGCAACGAACGCTACGGCGCAAGCAGAGGATGTCCGTCCTTAGGCAGCGCTCCTCTCGCTCTCTGCGCAAGCGATCCTCATGCACGTTGTCGACGGCATCGTCAAGACGTGGCGAGAACCCTCAAGCTATAGTTATGCAGAGCGCCTCGAGCTCTGTGGCGTTTGCGCCTGTGCAAGTCCCGCTAGGGCATCCGCATCGGCCTCTGTACACAGCGATCCGCAAGAACATGGCCTCTCCCAGTATACCCGATGTTCCGATACCCGCCATAGACTGTACCGCCCTCCACGCCACACCATACGATCGCACCGTGAAGTCCCTTGATATACCCCGTTCTACGGCTGTCGTACGGCACTATGCGTTCATCCCTGCCTCGGATTGGACAGCTGGCTGCTCGCTCACTGGAGAGGCAGAATTGCGTATGGACCTCGAGCGGTGCCGCTCAGCGGAGGCGATTCCGATACAGTATACAGAAGGCGAGGCGAGGCGAGGGAGAGCGGTGAAGGAGAAAGTGAGAAACTTGAGGAAAGGACTGAAAGGATTGCTGACGAAGCGAACCTGACGGATGGCTCGCGAGTATCGTCTCTTGCACCTATGATGTAAGATCTCTTCTGAGGTCGTCTTTATGTGTTGTCTTGATGTCATTCTGGTCAACTGGAGGGATGCAATCGTCTTCAAATAATGCCCGAGTGTATATGTTGCGATCGTCGGTCAACCGGTTTGGTTGATCTTCGCCCAGCGACTCGAGATTTTGCGGGTAGGCACGTTCGTTATCCTCTGACCATGGTTCCCTGCCAGTAGTGCTCACGCTCGAGACTGGTAAAGGCTTTACCCTTGCACCTGCTAGCTTCAGATCTCTGTGCTGATCGTCCGACACATGTTGACATCCACCCATGTACGCCCTTCCGATACCCAAATGTATCTCCTTTCCTCTTATTCGGCTCCTGATGGATCCGTTCTACGCATACGTTCCGCACGCGATCCGTGGTTGCGCATGGGGCTCCGCTTCGCTGACGTTATGAACTGAGCACACAAGAACCGCGACAGCTTCGAAGCCCGGTCATTCTGAGCTGACGTGGGTATAGGAATAGTGTCGGTTGTCAGACATTCAAACGGTATGCGCCTCTCGGCAAGCAGATTCAATATTCATTCCTCAGTTGCCCACACGCCAACAATCGTCAGAATTTGACTCGTTTCACTACTGCCGACCAACGCGGTTGCCGACGAGCATACTGCATGGCAGGAGCGACTGTTCGGGCGATGCAGAAATACTGAGATGTTCGTCGTATGTATGACGCCGCCGTCACAGGATCCACCTTCTCTTGATACCCCGTATACCTCAGGCCTTGTGAGATCATCCGGACGGGTCTTGCATCTTCTGGAAGCATATTCCGCTAACAGAAACTCCCCGTTCCTGTGCATGGATTGCTCTGCAGGCTGACATTTGCACTGCCACTATGGCAGTCGATGATACCGAAAAGGGCTGAGGCGCTGTCTGCGCCGGATCATGCATTAGAAACATTTTCTTTTAGCCTGTGCAGAACCATGAGGATATTAAGCGGGTCGAACGGACCAGAAGATGTGCCTTGTACGTGTCATAATTTATGTAAACTGCTCAGTGATGCGAGCTCTATCAGACTGGTCTATCGGACGACGCCTTTCCCACTCCGCGGTGTCCGACCCGTCGCTGGGACGAGATGCCTGCATTGAGCAAACGGTTTAGACGTTACCTTGATAGTGCGGTATTTTAGCCTCAGGGTCGACGTCACGCTACCGTGGGCGGCTACATGGGTATTACAAGGAGTATTCCTTTCTCCACCATCGCCGAGCTCCCTCATATGCATCTTGATCAGCTATTACCTATAAATATGGTGTCTTGCATACCAAAGAAGATTCGATATCACCGTAACTAGCTACCCGTGACCGCTGTCGGCGCGAATCCATCAGGTGCACCGCGGCCTCTCCAGTCTGCAATTCTACATTCCGAAATTACCAGCCGGTGGGTAGGCTCGTCAAGGCCATTCCGGCATATGCAGGCGGATAAGACAGCAATCAGAACGATCCAGGGATGACTCTCGGTAGAGATAAAGGTCGGGGTCGATGCGGTCTGCGGGTTTCTCATCCCCTGCATCCAGTCTGTCCCCTCCCATACAGCAGCGCACTGTCTGCGGATGCCACTCCCAAGGGATGTCACGGTCGATGAGGAGACAGCGCTGCTCTCTGGCTCGAAGAGAGCGGGAAAGCCTAAGGCGCGCCCGGTGACGCCGCTCCCTCGACTACAGATCGGTATCCTCCTCCTCCTGCAGCTGGCAGAGCCCATCACATCGCAATGTATCTACCCGTTCATCAACCAGGTGAGCTGTGCCCCCTCATGCTCTCGAGACACTTGTTCCATGTCCTGTCAGTTTATCAGTGAGTTGGACATTACCGGTGGCGATGAAAGGAAAGTCGGGTACTACGCCGGGATAATTGTAAGCCGTGCCATTTGATTGATGCGTTTGTTGCTTGTGATGACCGGAATGATAGGAATCAGTGTTCTTCTTGACTGAAGCCATGTTCGTCCTTCACTGGGCACGCATCTCGGATTACATTGGACGGAAGCCCGTGCTGCTCACGGGTACAGCGGGTCTCTGTATCTCTATGATGTTCTTTGGCCTTTCCAGGACGTTTTGGCAGCTTGTTGCAAGGCATGTAATCTCACGCACGCGTTGATCGTATTCCGGCTGACGGACATCCCTACAGCCGTTGCATAGTCGGCGCATTGAATGGCAATATCGGAGTTGTCAAGAGCATGATAGGAGGTTAGTTAATCCCGCGAACTAATCGGCTGCATCTAATCGTTCCTCGGCCGGCAACGGTCAGAATTAACCGATTCTACCAACATGGCACAAGGTTTCGCTCTGATACCAATAGTCTGGTCTGTGGGTACGACTATTGGGTCAGTCTACACCAGCTTCGTCCAGCGCATTCGTCATTAAACTCCCCGATGTGGTTTACAGTCCATTCATCGGCGGGCAACTAGCCAAGCCGCATGATAGGTGGCCACACATCTTTACCGACCGTTTCTGGACGCGCTTCCCATACTTTCTGCCATGTGCCGTTTCCGCTGCATTCTCTGCATGCATGTTTGCACTTGCTGCCGCGTTTCTCAAAGAGGTGAGTCTTACTATGCTTAATCGTTCTTGCCTCCAATCAACATCATCATCATCACAGACAGTCCAAAAGAAGCACTCCAGCCAGAAAAAGAAAGTTCGAATCGTCGTGCGGGCTGATGATGACCAGTTTCGCGAGGAGACCCTCGAGAATCCCGCAACACTCCGTTCGCTGATGATCTGGCCCGTCTTGCTCTCCGTTGCGAACTACGGCGCCCTCGCCTTCCTCGACATCGCATACCGCGCCATCCAACCGCTCTTCTACTCCATGCCAATCGAGCTCGGCGGCCTCGGGCTGAACCCCGCGACGATCGGCGCCGTGCTGGGCTCTTTCGGGCTGATGAATGGCATCTTCCAAGCGTCGTTCTTCGCGCGCATCGTGCGCCGCTATGGCCCGAAGCGCGTGTTTATGATGGGCATGGCGATATTTGTGCCGCTATTCATGCTCTTCCCTATCATCAACGCGATGGCGCGGAAGGCCGGAATGACGCGGGCGGTGTGGTTTATGGTGATGTTCCAGCTCGCGGTGTCCGTCATCATGGACATGTCCTATGGTGCGTGCTTCCGTATATGCAGCTGGGAACCCTATGAGTGACGTCGTTCTGCAGGCTGTATCTTTATGTACGTGACGTCTTCGGCGCCCAATAAGCGATCGCTCGGAGCTACGAATGGTATCGCCCAACTGGTCGCGTCCATTCTGCGTGCGATTGGCCCTGCGTCAGCCACTTCGCTCTATGCTCTTTCTCTGGAGGAAAACTGGCTAGGTGGCTACGGCGTTTACGCCATCCTCGTTGCTGTCTCTTGCCTGCTCATCTTCGTGGCGACTCCTCTGCCTCGCGAAGCTTGGGAAAAAGAGGAAAAATGATGGGTAGCAGCATGGTACCGGTGGAGCGCTATCCATGTGAGTCATGGCCTCCTTGTCGGGATCTGGATGCTGACATTTCTGGACACGGTAGCATTGAATTGAAAATCCCTGTTCTCGAAAAGGGACACTGCTCGATCTCCTTCGATTTATGGAATTGTATAGAGAAGAAGCTTGTTTATTCATTTGTATTCCATATACCCGCACTTCTTAGTTACGCACTCGCACTTGGTGTACAGTAGATATGTTCAAGCAGGTATATAGATGTTCCTTCGACAGTATTGTCCTAATATTCGTCGCCGACATCTTCGCCACAAGGGCAAACACCACTCATCGTCGAATTCAAAGAGCGATTATGCAGGATCAGCCTACGGATCCTTACAACATACAGTCATCACGAACTCTATATCACGAAATATAGGCACGAGATCGTCAAGCCAAAACCTCGTTGACCTCGTCCTGTATGCTCTTTTTCTCATCCTCAACGTCCGTCTCTGTTGCCTGACTTGCAACATCGTCCGCCAGAATCGCCTCAGGTATGTACGTCTCTTTCGCCGGGAACAGCAAAGACGTGACAGCGTACACTGTCGAGGCGACTGTGAACTGAAAAGAGGGCCGACACTGTCAGGGGAGCGTCGCACGCAAAGCAAGAGAACGGAGCGCACCCCGAATAGCCATGCAAAGTCGAAAAGGTTGACAGCCCTGCCTGCTTGGATGTTAATGTTGATCGAATTGATCCAGCCAGGGAAGAGCGGCGGGACGGAGCAGAGGATAGCCAGGACTGCGCGCCAGTTCTGTGCCATTGACAGCCTGAGAGTCAATAAAGATGGGAACGCGATATGAAATGCACTTACAAAGCCGTAGGTGTAGCGATAACGTCCATGAGGGCGATACATTGCGGGCACGTCAACATGGCATTTGTGGATCAGCCAGTACTGTGAAAATCGTAGTTAGTATGTGAACAGGACTTAAGGATGAGCCAACTCACATCGGTGACCATAATGCCGGCAAACGGTCCAAGGAAGACCGTATAACCATTAATGAACGTGAGGAATCCCGTAGCACTATTGACCGCACACCCTCGTCAGCCACCACTCTCAGCTGATCCAGGATCCATCCACGCCTACCTCGCCAGAATCTCCCATGGGCACAGCGCCCACCCACCAATCAGCGCACATAACACCTGCCCGCGTCTGATGTTGATATACCGCGGGAAGAGCACGGTCATGTCGTTCGCGGCGGACATCGAGTTGGCGGAGATGTTCGTGCCGAGCGTGGTGAGGACGAACGCGAATGACGCGAAGAACGCTGCCGCTCGGTTGTCCCACTGGTTGATGAGCGTGAGCGGATCCCACAGCGTCTGTCCGTAGAGCACGATCCCAGCGGACGTCACTGCCATGCCGATGAACCCGCAGAGCGTGAAGGCGACGGGAATGATCGCGAGTTGGACATATTGGCTAAGAGACGGTGCATAAGTGGGTGGGCGCATATGGCCAGCTGTTTGGCGTAACTTACGCTCGCTCGTTCTTGGCGTATCTCTGCGACAGACATCAGCACAGCGAGACGAGGAGTGGCTACCATGCTACCCACCGTGAAATCCGGGATGTTGACAGCCAGCGTGGAGTAGATGCCGAGGGCGCTGTTCAAAGCGCTAAGCCATGCCCATGACATGTCGCTTCCCTTGACGGTCGCATGCTGCTCGAACAGGCCTTTGCTCGATGGAACCTTGACGAATGCCCAGATGAGCATTGCGAGCCATGTCGGCGGCACGATGGCCGCCTTCGCCACGAACAGCCAGCGGATCTTCTGTGGCGAGATCAACATGAAGGGGAACTGAATGTGACCGCTCATTTATTAGCGCTAAAAGAGGAGGCAGAGCCGAACGTAGCGGACCTGGATGAGCCAGTACAGGAAATAGCACATCATTCCTATGAAAAATGTCTCTTTACAACTCCGTACTTAGAAAAAGAAGGGAGACATGCATACCTGAGGTGGTAATGTTGGAACTAGCTGGAAGATGGTTGGGCAAGCGGTCCAACGACGGCCAGATAGCTTTGAGCATCTGTACAGGCGTGCAACGTCAGCTTCCGTACTTGCGCATGTCTTGTTCAACACATACCTGATATACACATTCTGATCCTGTGTATGACTGTATGCTGAACCAGAACAGGGATAGGATGACCCGGCTGACGACGGTGAAGTAGCTGAACCAGAAGCCGAACGAGGAGCGGTTGAGCACAGGGAACGCAACGTGCAGGCGGGCGCCGATCGTCCCGTTCAGTACCATGACAATGGCTATGATGCAATGCCCGAGGGCAATCGCAGGTAGTGCTTGTCGCCTAGACCGCAAGCATGGATTGTGAGCAGGTGCTTGGAGACACGCATATATTCTGGTCGTGTGCGCACCATGACAATCCGATGGACAACATGCTGGAGGCGAGTTCCCACACTGCAGCGTTGGCCGCATCCGAGATCCAGTATGCGACATAATTCCACGTCGACCACGTTCGCTAATCACGTACCAAGATATGTAGCACAATGCAATTTTCCGTCAAGAATCCATTGAAATGAAGACCATCAAGAAGCGGCGGACTCACAGCATGAACAGGCACGGGATCCATGTCCTTGTTCGACCACCTGCCACTAGGCGCAAATGTCGAAGGCTCAGGCTCAAGAGCCCATGCGGACGGCCTTAGATAGGCGGAGACGCCGCTTGCGGACACGTAACTGGTGCTAGACGTCTTCTTCGCCATCGCGAGCGGAGGAGCGTGCAAGACGAGATATCGAGCCTGGGGTGCTGCATCGCTGGCGAGAACCGAGGTGCATTTATAATAGGAGCCGCTTCGCAGATTTGTCTACGGCGTGAGCCCTGATAGAGTGAGGCGTTGATGCTGATAAGCGTTGGCCCCCCGCTCTCGACTAGATAAGCCTTCTCGATTGGTGCTCCAACTTCACGACATGCGCTCGGTGATGCGGACGTGCCTGTGGCTGTTGCAAGGAGGTGCGAGAAGAGTTGGGTACTTCGCTGCTACTGACCGCGTTGCGGTAGAGGCGATCGACCGAATTTAGCAGGTCCTGTATTCGACCTCGGGCAAAACCATATTACCTCAGCGAAGGTCAACATTGTAACTCAAATTCAAAAACGAGTTTAATCTCCAGCATCCTGTGATGTATTCACACTTGCTGAGACAGATACTTTGCAACACGACAACCCTGGACGTTAGGCAGAACCTCCCAGCATCATAGATATCGCCGTGGTATGCATATCGCCAGCCAATGGAGCATATCATGCATTTCGCCCTAGGCTCCAGTCCCTCAAACTCCGTGCCACATTTCACAAGCACTCATGTAATTATATCTCACCGCTATGCACGAAGTGGCCCATTCGCAAATGCTGCGAGTTGCCGCGAGTGCGTACCTGGCGCGCTTGCTTGGCCACAATCGAGAGCCTTCACCAATCGGACATTTGCAAATAGCGATCGCAGCCACACCGCGAATCATTCAGCAGTAACTCGTGTGCAGCACGCTTGCCCGCGTTTAGTTGGCCCGCCGGCATTCTATCGTGTGCGCGCAGCGCCACAGAAGTGCGGGTCGGATTCGCGTCCTTCCGAAGCCGGGGGAAACAATATTCGATACGGCGCAATCTTTTTGACGGGAGAACTCGCGCGACAACACGCATGAGGTGCGGGTCCCCACAGCTCGTAGCTCGTTAGACAATGTTCCGACTTGAAGTGGTCACCGTAGCAATCCCCGCGGATCACAGAGAATCCTTCTATCACTCAAACCCAAGCACTTTCACTGTAATGGGACCGATGAGATCATATCAACAAGAAGAAATGACAAACTTACATTGATATCATCCTTAGAAATTCAGTCTATCTCGTGCTCGTCTCACAACGACGCGCCGCCGCACGTCTTGATCGTCTGACCAGTGATGTATTCCGCCTCATCCGATGCCAGGAACGACACCAGCTTGGCAACATCCTCGGGCTCCTGTATGCGCCCGAGCAGTACATCGTTCTTGACACGTTGAGCCTTCGCTTCGCCGACGCTGATGCCCTCCTATCGACGGAGAACAGGCTCGCACGTGAAATAGTGGGACAATCGCAATAATGGAAACACCCACGATCTTCGCCAGCTCTCGGTCGATGTGATCCCACATCGGCGTGTCGACGATACCGGGGCCGTACGCTAACGCGTCCGAGGCCGTCAGACAAACGTTGATAACAAGCCGATAAGACGGCAAACCCACCGTTCACCCGGATCCCATATTGCGCCCACTCCTTAGCAGCCGCCTCCGTGAACCCACGAACCGCAAACTTTGTCGCACCGTACGGGGCAAGATTGACTGACACGAGCACGCACCCGTCAGGCCAGAAATTCCCGGTCATCGTGCACCTTTCCACTCACCCGCGGTACGGTATGATGCTATCGAGCCGGCACCGAGGATGCGTCCACCGAAGCCCTGCTTGACCATCTGCCGCGCAGCCGCGATGTGGGTGTTCATGAGTCCCAGCACGTTGATCCGCACCTCGTTCTCGATGAACCTGCACAAGTCGCGAGATAAGCGAATCATCCAATGATGGGGACGTCACATACTCTGGTGTGCAATCGAGCAATGGCCGGACCTGGGTAACGCCCGCATTCGCAACGCTCACGAAGAGCTTCGGCCCAAGCCTCTCCACCGTCTCCTCGATCGCAGCATTGATTTGCTTCGCGTCCTTGACGTCTGCGCCCATCGCACATCAACCGAATGCATTCAACGGACGGATGGCACTTACCAGCGAACACCCCGATTGCTCTGCGGCCATAAGACTCGATTTCTTTGATCACATCGTCTACCTTCGCCTTCGCAGGTGGGATGTCCCCGATGGAGATGTCGAAGCCATCGCGCGCAAGCCGGCATGCAATCGCGCGGCCGATCCCCTGCCCTGCGCCCGTCACGAACGCGACCTTGCCCAGAGCGGCCTTAATCGGTGAGACGTACGACATCGCGAGTGGGGATGGGAGGTATGGGACCGGGTGTGGTTGGAGAATTGGGTGTCGGAAACGGGGAAGGTGCGGGGTTTTGAGCTGCACAACGCGTACTTTAACGGCGACCGGGTCGAGCCATGAATGAGATGTTTACGAGGAGATTTGGGGGGAGGCCGGGCCGTCGAGGACAACATCAATGGGGACTGTCTACGGGCCGCATCAACCGTGTCCTATTATTCGAGGAAGGTCTCTGATTTGCACGATGTGCTTTTGCTCCCGAAGTCGTGCTCTGGGCTCATAGATGTAGGGAGGATGATGGGCAAATAACATCGCGTCGCCTGGATGTTGCACTCGCCAAGTTCCAGCTGGAACCCACTGCTCACCCTCCGTCCATACCGGGAGATGCCTGCACGTGATCGTGAAGCAGATTGATCGTCGGATTTCGCCCGGAAGTGGCGGTAGCCGCCCTTGGCGCCTGACCTACTAACTTGGCAACGGAGTCTCCTGGATATGAAGCAGGACGATCTCAACGAAAACACTACGTTTACGAGACTTATTCTATTCTCTTAGATGCAAAAATTCCATGTGGGAATGCCGCGTGGCGGAGAGGAACTGCCCAAATCGGCAAATTCCACGTGCGGTGGCCCGAGCAATCTTGTACTGCAATTCCATGGATATTTGGTCACCCATATGGTAAATTATGCGGTGTGCGCCATGATGCAAGGCTCTACTTCTACATGAGCAACATCTTGTGAGTGAATAACCAAAAGCAATTTTAGTAGGCTGTTTTGAGGCAATCTTTTGCCGCTACTGAGTCTCCCCACCGCGAACCTTTGTGTTCATGTCCTACAGAAGCTCACGGCCTTGACTAGCTCGTGAAAGGCTCACTGAGGCTTGAGCTTGAATCATCATGAATTCCACGGCAGACACCAAAATACAGTTACAATATGGTCTCTGCTCCGTTATCTGCCGACTTCGCAATTGCACGCATTATAGCGGTCACGGTCTTCCTTTCGGAGCACTAAGACTGACGCTTCGTGCCAGCTCCTCGAGTGTCCAGCCTCTCCAACCGTCCGTTGCACCTTGGCTCTTCTCCCAACCATTAATCGCTCCTTGCATCATATAGGGCGCGCCAGCCGCACTCAAGAATGCTTTCTTCCACACTTCTCTGACAAACCCGCTGCAGTAGGACTAGCCAATATTGTCTGTGTTATAACTGCCGACAGCATGGCGCTCGCAATTTGTTGGCGCAAGCTATATGTTCACCATAGACCAACCACTGTTTATCTCTTGTCTACGAGGAATCCCCCGCTTGCAGCACTACTGCTTAGAGACGGTACGGCTGTCCGAAAATGACTATGTATTTCGAAGCTCAAATAACATTTGCATATACCATGTTCACAGGTACAATTCAACTGACGTGAGAAGTTGAATCGGAAACAATTTGACAATGTCTAAAGCATATTATTCAGATCACTACTACTGCTGACCTTATTACAGACCATATTCGAATTCGTGAACGTCCTAAGTGTATGATTTCTCCACCCACCGCATATATTCTGCAACTTGGATGCTAACCATTCTGCCATACATGACTATGGATTTAGCAGAGTGCTAGAAATGTCGCCGCTTATTTACAATACCCGTTAAACAATCCTCTTTCATTTTCTCCACCAATGACATGCTGATGATTCTACAGACTCGGTCTCGTCTCGATCTCTCATGTCCTCCTCGACGTCCGAGCCGCAGCGCGCTCCACATGCGGAGAGTCATCCCAAACGCCCTCTTTATTCGGTCACGGCGTGGGCTCCAAACGCAAGAGGATGTCGACCGAACAAACCCTAGAGAGCGATCGCTCTCACCCGCAAAACTCTATTGAACATGATGATCAAGGCATTGCGGAACCCCGCAGCACGGCAAACAGTGTTGTTACTACCGGCGATGCTCAACAGGACATGAATGAGGAAGAGGGGATGGATGATGTCGAGGAAGAAATGGAGTCGCATTGGGAGGACGACGAATAAGGGAAGAGAATGGGTGTCCGAGCTGTGCTGTCAGGTTCACGCTGATTGTGCGCTTGCTTGCTATTTGTGAGTGGCACATCGGCCTTCGTACGCACCGTCTCACCTGGCTGCATTCCGGATCTTTTCCGCATAATCCTCCCCTCTACTCCTTGTCCTGTACATAGATTAGTCTCTATCGCGGCGTTTTCAGAAAACAAAGATAGTGTGCTGTCATAAATATATCCAGTGATAAATCTCAAATGAGCCTACAAATGGCGATATTAACCGCTTATCCGACTGTACAGTCTGTAACGATGAGTGAATCCATGGCCAACGACCGTGGCTTCGTCTCAAAGCGAACCATCACAAATGTTCCGATCAGACGTCCAAATTCAATAATGTAATGGAGGAGTAACTGCCCCAACAAGGCGCTCAGAAATGCAACTGGGAATGTCAAAAGACTGCCAGTGAGTGTCATCTAAGATTACAGTGCCAAGCCTATCCGTATGCCGTGAGCTCCTGCCGCACTGACCCAATTTCACTGATTGTGATACAGCCCGCAGATGAGATCGGCGTTGAGTATCCTTGCTGAGAACGGAGCGAGAATGCCGGTTGCAATACGTCTACATATTCTTCCCGGGATAGCGTATCAACGCCCTCCGTTTTCGCGGATGTGAACATCAAAATTATGCTCGAGACCACCAAGTTTCGCTGAACGGATTGTACAGACAGACTCATGAAGCGTTGTGAATTTTGATAGCATTGTCAGACAACAGCGTGTCGATAACTGCCTGCAGATTCTAGAGAAAGGAGTAAGATAGCAGGTGAGGGAGATATTTCGAGGGCCGGGAGGATGGGATGCGCAGCCAATCTGAGCGCAGTCGCCGTGGCACCAGGCGACACGTGCGGCATGGCGGTGTGGCTCGATTTTTTGGCAGTCCTAACGCCCGACGCCCACGTTCTTCAACTTCTCGGTTTTTTGTTTCGATAAATGACGTTTTCCAACGATTCCTTCACGACGACCTCTCTGAACGCAAGGCTGCCTGCGCACCGGTCGTTGGGCAGCTTGAATGTCCACGAGATTGACGGACCTCAAACGCCCGCTTCCGGCGCGCAAACTGATGTGTTGACGTCCCCCGACGGATCCGCAGAATGCCACTTGCTAGTAGTAACCCTATGCGTGGCGACTGGTCCTGGAGGAAATATGCTGGCCGCCGAAAGCTTTTTTCTGAGCTTCATCGGGCGGACACGCGACGTCGATGCTCTTGAATAATGCGGCACGTGGCACAAACTACGCCACAAAGCCGTGATCTTCATATTGGCACGCACCATCGCAGCAATGCAGCTTGAGCCGTGGCTCGAGTCCTCGCTCCATCTGTGACAGGTATAAAATTTGGCTCAAACATGCAATGCTCAAAGGTACTCACCTCCCTCAAGAATTGCGGTATGTCGATGTGCTGCGGCACGGGATACAATCGCTCCACCTTGCGGAATGCGACCTTTTTATCAACGTGTCTTCGTCGAGCCCAGTGTGGAGTGCACATGGCGTACTCTTGCCCGCGTTCCGCAAGGTCCTTGAGGAGTTGGCGAGTGAGCGGTCCCTGCAAGCATGCCATTAGAAAACCGAACGATCATTACAAGGTACCAAGAAAGGCACGTACAATTTCACTATGCGATATCATCGGGGGGATGCGGAGGTCCTCTCCGCTGTAGTCGAAGTTCTTCAGCATGTTGGATGGCGAGCAGAAATCCTCGACGGGGCCGCGAGGCGTGAAGCGTGGCCAAGTAAACGGCACTCTTGCACGTTTCTTTGTGCGATGGCGGCCCGTGGTTGTATGCATGATAGTAAACGCGGAATACGGCGAGGTTTATTATACGGATGAATTGGTATGTGTGCAGTTGCTTTCGTGCGCCGACCTTTATATACTCGGGCAGTCCGCCACCGAGCATGGGGCGGCCGGAGCATCAGCCTTTCATCGCAGGCCACCATTGTGTTCTGCTGAAACAGCTATATGGAGTGCGATTGCTGGGCAGCGGGCACCGCCAAAACAGCGGGCACTGTTGTGCGGAAATATAATCGCAGCGTCGGCTAGGCAGCGTGTATTGTCTTCGAGCTTGTCGCAGCTTGTGCATGCGGAGAATGACGCGCTGCCGCTGCGGAACCAAATTGTTCACGCATCGAATACCCAGCTATTGAGAAGTATATGTAGACTGGTGGATGTTTGCCACTCGTGGAAGCCGAAGGGAAGGATATTTGAAGGAGAGCCGTCGAGTGCTAGTACCACTGCACCAGTGAGCGGGGTTTTCAGCGCCTAGCAACGAGTACAACGAGTCTCTGCGGTGAAACATGAGACACAATTAAGAGACAGTTGAGCTAGAGGCATCTATATGTGCTAACACTATTCAGCTCGAGATGGACGTTCAGCGCTGAACGTCGTTCTCGCTCGGGAGAAAGCCGAATCGCCACAGGTCGCCACTGATGCGTGACATAGGTCATGTGCTGTGACGCGACGTGGCCACAATTTCGTCCGCCGTCTGGCTGCCAGGCTTAGGCTAAGCCAGCCACTCCTTGTTGTTCTCACTGCTGGGTAACCCTCGTGCTCAGAGATACAAACTGCAATAAAATACACAAAATCTCAATTCAGCTTCACTGGACACGAATTACTTTACAAAGCAGGCTGGCGTTGAGACTCAGGCGCAGCATCGGAATGAGGAGGTTGTTCCGCCTCGTCCATACCTCCCATAAATGCAGTCTCCAGCCATTGATGCTGGTCCAACTGCTCAATGCTCAGCCGATCACCAGGATCAAGCCTTAAACAATCCCCAATGAATCGGGCAGCAGCCTCGACCTGAATCGCAGTGAGCTCGGTGTGTTCGGTCAAGAGCTCTTTGAGTGTTTGGCGAGGATAGGGATTCGCCTTGGCTTTCACGAAGTCCCCTGTGTATACGATGCAGTTGAGTGTAACGCCAGCTGAACGAACGAAGGAAGCGTGAACTCACCTTCGTTGTCGAAGTACTGATCCTTGGCGCGAGACTGCTCGGCCAGGCTCTTGTCCAGGGTCTCACCGGTCAAAGCGTACTGCAACAAGAGCAGACTTTCGTCCGCAGTGAGATCTGTGGTGGGCTGAGGTCGGAAGAGAATCTGTCCCGTAAGGAGCTCGAACGTCTACAGCAAGTGAGAGGACGAACGATTGTTAGCATGAGGTGACGATCGGAGAACCGGATGTCATAGATGCACACGCACCATACACCCAACAGCCCAAATATCGATCTCCTTGCCACATTCAGCGCGGATGATATTCTCAGGCGCACGCAACGCAAATGCGCCGATGTCACCCGGAGGTTTGGGCTTGTCGGCCCATAAGGCTGCAGTTGCCGCATACATGTCAACTCTGTCACGGAACATAGAGATAAAGAGACGCTGACGTACCAGCTCCGAGGTCGCTTAATACCACCTGGATGGTTTCCGCGTCGAACGAAGATACATCCCACGAGATCCCTGGCTGGAACGGTTGCGACCGGAGAATCGGATATTGCGTACCTCGGAACTCGAACGTACCGTCGACCAATGGAGGTTCCCTCGCAATTGTTTCCTCAATCTCTGCTGTGTCTGGACCTAGGAATAACACATTGTCCGCCTTGACGTCTACACAGCGGGTATGTTAACGAACGTGGGCAACCCAGGTATCGCCACAACACCGGAAGAAAAGTAAGCTGCATACCTGCGTGGATAATATTAAGCGAATGCAACGCCTTCAAGCCTTCAACCACACAAGCAATTATCGGCTTGACGACATGGACAGCGAGCTTTCCTGAGGCAGCAGAGGTGCGGAAGGCATGGACATCGGACCGTAAAGGAGCGGTGAGAAGGCAATAATGAATTCCATGGAGGCCTCTTTGAGCGAAATGGTCTTCGAGAACGGGCAATGACGGCACAGGCGTGCTCTTCCGTCGGTGAGCAACGGCCTGAAGGAACTCAGGTTCATGGATGGAACCCTTCTCCAGAGCAGCAGTGGACGCCACAGTCAATATCTTTGCTGCCAAGTATTTGGAAGACAACGACCTAGTCGAGGCTCGACTTAACATTACTGCGTTACAACGGCACTCAAAACATACTTGGGTTGAAGATCCTCCACTAGGAACGTATTTGAGCAGACCCCTCTTCCTAGCTTGCGAATGATGCTGTAGCGGCCGGCCTTGAGCAGGGCTCCAGGCGAGGCAACGAAGAAGCCATCCCCTTCAGGGATTGTAGCCAGTAAGTTTTCCTCTGGGAACCGCATCGCAGGTGTCGCGGTCCTCGATACTGCTGAGCTGACGAGCCTGCCGATTCAGATGGCAGTGTTAGAAATGATGTCGAAACCCCTCATGATCGGGAACACTTGCATAGAGCGCCACCATGAGCATTCATGAGTGAAAATTGCTCTAACAGACGAGACCCATCAGACCATGTGAAACCGCTGGACTCGCTCTACGTTTACGACGCGGACACTACCACGGTAGGGCAAAAGAGAAATTAGCGGGAGTCGACGCGAAGGGACGCAATAGACGCCCGTGGGTGACGCGGAGTGACAGGGAGTAGACGCCCTGTCGTCCAAGCGCTCGTGAGCTGCCCTCCCCTCCTTGCCATCAAATCACTGACCCTCGCCAACCTCAACCCCTTACCCGCTGCGTACCTCTTCAGCTCTGACTTTAATTATTGCCACAGCATAGGCTCCAGAAAATATCAGGCGTGCTCTTCAAAATTCAAAATTCAAAAAGTTAGACGTACACTATCTTAAGGCGAATGTAGGACGGATACGGAACCAAGGGCCGCGATAATTTACAAGAACACGTTAGCATTACTGATGTGAAGAGACATAGGTGGTCGCTCGGACGTCAGGCTCAGAGGAGCCGGCTTTGTTCTGGTGGGACACCGCTCGCCATACGCGCCATGTTGATGATACCGGTCAAGCTCGAGAACTGGCATGAAGTGCATATAATCAACGAACAATCCGTGACAGAATGAACAGAACAAAATACGCACCGCGTTCCCTACGAAGACCTGCGCGCGCTGCCCAATCAACATATCCACCGCCTGCTTCACATACCTCTGCTCCCAATTGAGCATCAAATCTCTACTACTCGTCACCATCCTCCAGCGCCCATTCCCCTTTTGCACCAGCCGTTCCTTCAGCTCCGCGACCCATTCCGCTGGGCCATTCGTCATAATATACACATCTCTCAGCCTTTGCCTTCCCTTCACCTCCTCCTCCAACGCGACCTCCTCCGCGCGGCGCACGATCTCGTCAATGTCCGGATAGCAATGTGGCCGGAACGCCTCTACGCGTTCGTCCTCGGGCAGATGCGACGGCACGGGGAACTTGTCCGGCAGCGCAGGGAACGAGTTGAACCCGCTGTACGCCGCACCCCACTTGCCGAGGTTCACGCAGTGTTCCGCAAAGTCGCCGCGCCGGATATGCATCGCGAGAAGCCCGGGCACCGGCGTGTACCGAGCGCCGCTCGGCGTCACCTGCGCGGTGTGAACGCTGCTCGCACTGTCTACGTCGAAGGAGTAAGCAGCGGGCGCGGGAACACGGAGCGGCGTCGAGAGCAGCGCAGGCTCGAAGATATGCGAGGGCGCGATGAGCTCGCGGTTCGTGTCAAAGGCCAGCTCGATGAGCGGTGACCAACCGAACTCTTGCAGAGTCGGCGAGCGCGAGAGGGATGGCCAGGCGTCAAGCAGGCGCTCGGCAGAGCCAAAGATGCTATCAGAAAGAACGGAAGCATCAGATATGGCCGACAACGAGTGGCGGCCGCGCATATATGCGGTACGGAGTGCCGGGAATGATAGACTTACAAGATATCGAAAACTGGGTATGCATCCCTCGGCACCTCGACACACTTGTCGTCTATAGTGCTGAAGATCTCGATCCACTTCTCTGCGATCGTGGCGACGGTGCTGACTCCCAGTGACTTGTCGATGGGGCCACTGTCGATCAGCCTCCGCTTTTCGGGCGGGCAGATCTCCGCATAATAGTCCTCAGAGATGGCCATCGGCCGAGGAGCGTACGGATCGGTAATGGAAGGTGCGCCGGTGACTGGGCCTGTGTAAACAATTTACCATGAACGACTATTCAGAAGAATATCTCCATAGATAATGTGCACGGACGCACCTTGCAAAAGCGCGGTCAGCGGGATCCTCGAAGGGATAGGAATTCCGTTGTACGACGCGATGTCTGGGCCATCACGGCCCCATGTGTAGTTGTAGTACACGAATCTGGATAACGTGAAATCCCATCAACCTGCGCAGTCCCGCAGCACGAAGAAGGAACAAACGAACGTTCTGCCGAGACGGTGCGCGAGGTACGAGTGCAGCAGCAGCTCCTGCATCACATTCCCCCAGCCACATGCTGTGCGTATTTAAAGCACACACGGCGGCCGATCAGCGTGCGGCCTTCCCAAGCACAGACTGCATTACGTACTATGAGCATGGTTCGCGAAGAAGATGTACTTGGTGTCTGGAGGATCTGCAGTCTGGCGCGACGTCTGCATCTCATACTCGTGGAACCGCCCGTAGAGCGGCGGTGTCTCGTGCACGCGCTCGGCTTCAGGCTCTGGTGCGTGAGGGGCCGCGAGGGGCCGCCAATGGGTGGTGCCGTGAAACCTGAACACGAGCGGGACGCCGACGAGCAGGACGAGCACCGCGGCGAGGAGCTTGGTGTAGCGGCGCGTCAGCCATGGAGTGCGTGACGCCATCGCTCCCTGAGCATTCTGGCCGTTCGTTTTGGGAAGCGCCTCGCGGTCGCGCGGGGAGCCGAGGGGATTGTACATGGCGATAGATGGTGAGTAGAGAGGAGAGAAAGCTGTTGAAGGAAGGACTAGCAGGAGAGCATAGCGGGCGGGGTAGACGCGTGTGGCACGAGGCACAGGTGGGGCTCTGATATAGGGATACCATCGCCTAGATGCACAGCCACGCGCGTGGGGTATTCACTTGCATTATTCCGGCTAGAGCACACTTTCCGCGTCACTGCATCCCTACAATAGCTGTCAATCGCGTCACTTTGAGCGCACAGCGAGCCGCCACATCGAGGCAAATTGGCAGCGCTTGGGCGCTGAGGGGCCCGAATGCGGCCGTTTGTTTGTGAACTCGCGTGGACGATGTGTACACATTTCTGTGCAGTATGTGGCATCTGAGCAGCAACGGCAATCGGCTCAGTGGGTGAGAATAGTGAACGAGTGTGAGCGTCTCTTCAGGCGGAACAAAAATATTTTGGCGGCGATCGATCTCGGATCTGGGCGTTTGGGGCCGGCAAGTCGGCCAATCAGACGTATCAGTCAATGCCTGTGGCACAACGTTGTCTTCCTAGTAGCTCATTGAGTCGCCTGGTCTGGTCGAAAATGCTCGGACTATGGTGGCATCAGACGAAAAAATTGGTGCCATCTTGCGGTGCCTGTCAAGCATTCAATATATCTTGACGGACGAACGTTCCCATCAGAGCATCCCTCGTCTCCGGAGCTCCAACTCCCACGACATGCCAAAGATACCGCCTTGTCGCAGCCTCGGGGCCGTCAAACATGACTCCAAGTCGACCCCTTCTGGAGCCGCACCGTTTCCTCGATGACCACTTGCTCCGTTAGCAACGGAGATGCTCGAGCAAATTTACACGGTGTACACAACATTGTCCATTATCGGACGTGCAAAGGTGCATCACTTTGATGTCGACTCCCAAGCGGGCTTTCCTCGCCGCGTCAATCGGCTCGATTCCTTGTGCCGTCTCGAAATATCTCGAAATATCATTATCAGAACTGGGGCTACCCAATTTCCAACAGTTTACATCTGTGAGAGCACTGCTTCACTCAACTCTGGGATATGTTGGATCTATTTATATGCCCTTTTCATGCGTCAACCTCGGGCCCTGGACTTAGGACGCGCGTCTGCACCTATTACAGTATCATGTTCCAACCGGCTGCTTTGACCTTCCCATGCTCTCCGCTAGCCGACTACTATCACCCATTTCGTTCTCAAAGGAAGCCCTACCATCGGTTTATCTACGCCGTCGCCCCCAATCCTCCAGACCCCCAGGCAACGCAGGCCCTTGACACAACAATCTCATCTGTCATATTCCCCATAGCAATCCCTAACGCTGACGCCGCTCCCTTCGTAACTGTAGTTGCGATGCGCCACACTGGGGTTCCTTACATCTGTTCCGTGCAGTCACAGGTTAATTGCAATTCTCGTATGTAGAGGACAATTAGAGACAATATGCACAATTTGTAGCGTACAAGTATGCTGTCAAGCACGCCGGTGTGCTCAGTTGGCCCATTGATCGTGAGACGATACGTAGCGAAAGAGTCGCTCACATCATGGGCGCTACTAGGATAAGACCATTCACGAGGAGCAAATATCAATAACATGACGCAGGAATCAAGGGAACGACGTCCGTCAACGCAGTGAAATCTTTTGAAAATGTTTCAGTACACCAGACCGTCGTGTCAAGATTTCATCCTCTTCCTCCTAGGGAGTGGTGGCGGAGCACCGTAGTTTGTCACCTCGTGCACAGAACTAGAATGACTGCCGATATTTATTTTTGGCCTTTCCTTGAAGAATTCGGCCTCAATAACTTGAGATACGATCAACGAGATATCTTCTGTCGGCAGAACTCCAGCAGTCTCCATAACGTCTGACGACAGTGCAATTAGCTACCCAAGATGCATAGTGTGCGACAAACCTACCTAGTCGTTCAAGACGCCGTTGCAGCACGGCCTCCCTCGCTCCCGCGAGACGCATGGCCGTCTCCAGTCCCAATCGCTTCGCTTCGAGTGGGGACAGCGCTCGTGTACGTTGGCACAATTCAACGTAAGCAGACTTCAGCCACTGAGGGACATCGTGCTTGGCGGCAAGAGCGAGCCTCTCGACAGGGTCGAGCGGAGGATGATGTGTCGTGATCTCGTTGATCGCGCGCTCCCGAATCTTCTGAAACTTGAACTTGGATGAGATGGATAGCAGCGCCTGCCAGTCAACGAGAGGCACGTCTCTCTCGTACATGCTATATCGCAAACAACGATGATCGTGACTTAGAAGCGAAAGTATCATTGAGGCAGAAAAGTTGGTCAGACTCACCCGAAGTATAGGAAAGACAAGAGGCACTCTGTCTCGACAGGCGTAACGTCCGGTAGCAGAATGGCTGTCTCTTCCGCCATCCCATCTTGTCCATTCTTTCCTGGAGACAGACAAAGTATCCTTCGAAGGACTTCTGAATCGCGCTCCAAAAAATACCGATGCACCTTGAACAGGTGATCTTCCGGCGTCTCTCCCCAAGGCTCATATCGCACCTACTCGGCACTCATCGATCGCAGAATGCCCCAAAATGACATTAAAATTGCATGACACTCACGCGGAGGATCACCGTCCCATCCTCGAGGTAGAACTTCGAATTGCGGACAATCAGGACGGCCGGGAATGCATCCGAGCGCTCCGTATCGTCCGCTATGAAACTGAAAGTCGTGCTCGACGTGGACTCAGTGGGTGACGTGCGAGGCCAAGATACCGGTGAGCCCTGCATGGCCATTGTGCGAGGTTTGACTCAAGTGCAGTGCGATGGACACGAATATAGACCGAGGTCACGCCGCTTCTTGCAGGCAGTTGAACATGTTCATGTGCCTGCCTCGCGTGACACACATCAGAAAGAAATAGCGCCATGCACGTTGAGAGCCAGATATCGTATGCTTATTCATCTCACGAGTACGACAGCTATTCGGGTCCTCATAAACGAAGCTCGTCATTGGTAGGCGGTCGCTTTGTCTTGACTAAAGACGTGGAAGGTGGGAGGGCCTCTACCAGAGCTGCCACTGGGTCTGCAACACCATTTGCAAGGGAAAGAAGACTTCGCCCTTCTTGCAAGTGGCAGTCCATGGCGCTTTCTCAGCAAATATCCGTGGCTTTTCCTTTTTGACGCGCCGCCTATCGCAAGCCTATTCTTAAACGTTAATTGGCAGATGGCGACATCTTTCAACCAGTGCGACCAGTCCATACAGCTTTTTTGACCCAGCTCGTGAACGGCGATCGAGTATTCATGCATATGGTGAGTGCAGGGTCAGTGAGATAAGATGAGCTGGCAGCAGCGAGAGCTAGCGAGAGACACATGCGAGGAGAGTGACGTGACATGTCGCGTCGCGCTATTGTCACGATCATCGATCGCGCCACCAGCGCGTCTTGGGAGAGGCTTGACGCCCAGGCTGTGCAGCATGTATATGTGCTTGCTCACGTTAGTAAACGTTACTATCAGTGGAGGAGCATTAATTGATGTGTCGAGCTGTTTCTAATTGCATGGAAAAGATCAAACCTGTATGGAGGTTCGAGCTTGCGACCGGAAGCCGACGCCACGCGTCTGACGCGCCCACGTGATCTAGCATTGCAGCAGTCGCTGTCACAAGCGCGTCGTGAGCTCAATTGCAAAGTCTAATTAGTATTCATGCATAGCGCTGAGACGAGCACGGTATGGCGAGTCGGCGTAAATATGCGGAAGAGCGAGGTCGGTTCGACAAAATGTGTGCTTTCTGGCGGATACAAGTAGCTGTACATTATCAATCGACCATTTAATTCCTAAAGTCCTTCAGTACAAAAGTCACTAATACAAAGAATTCAATCGACAAACATCTCTCCAGGCCAAACTCAAGTTGATGCGGCAAAAATACCACGGAAATATGTCTTCAATCCCTCGACCTCAAGAACAATAGCGCCGATAACACCATCAGGCCTAACAACGACAATCGTCAAGCCACCCTTCTCGACGGCGTAGCCGGAATATGCATGCCCCTCACGGTCGACCAGAGACAGGTCCGCACCATCGACGTCCGGGGTGCTCGAAGTATCCTGCGGGTAGATCACTACGGATCGTATCGCGTCCGCAGGATACGACGACAAAGCCGCCAGTGCGGGTCCGGCGTGCGCACCCTCGGGAGAGAACACCAATACGGTATGGCGAGTCGTCGAGAAGATGCGGAAGAGGGAAGTCGGCTGCTCAGATACGTCGGTGCTCTTGACATCGACCAAACCCGGGGCATCAGGCGCTCTGTCTCCCGCCCTCGGCACGTCGCCCTTGTTGATTCCATATGGATCCATGGGCTCCGTTGCGTCCACCGGAGCACGCTCGTCGCGGACGATCGAGCTCCAGCGGTAGTTCACGCCAAGCTGCCGCATGTGCTCTCCGCGGTTGAAGCCGCCCTTGAAGTTGTTCGTGCCATTGACCGTCTGCGCGAGCGTCGAGCGGAAGATCGCTGTCGTCTCCTCAAGCATCGCTTTGATGACCGGCAGGCGCTCTTCGTTGTAGGTGGAGAGAAGCGAGGGCGAGGCGAGCCCCTTTTCGACGAGTGAGAGCTTCCATGCGAGGTTGAGCTGTGGGAAGAGCAAGATGAGTGTGACGCGCTTTGCACTGCTAGACGGAGACTTACCGCGTCTTGGACACCTGAGTTCAAGCCCTGTCGCGGACATCAGTGAAGTCTTCCTGAAAGCGGAAGACATGACTAACCTGGCCGCCTGTCGGACTGTGTACGTGCGCTGCATCTATGAGGCAGTCAGTACATGTTTGACGTCGAGAGCATAAACCATACCTCCTGCCACGAACACTCGCCCTTCGCTGAATTTGTTCACCATCCGCACATTGGGCCTGCATAAAGCTCAGTCACAACCTAATCCAGGGAATGAAGTAGTGTTTCCTACCTGTAGTCCGATTTCCATGGCACTGCACCAAATTCCAATTCCTTCCTGTCGCTGGCCTTTCGAATTGCATCAAAGAGCTCGTGATCGTCCATCATGATATTTGCATAGTCTATCTTGCCGGAGATGGCGAAAAAAAACAGGCCTTCATCCTCGGTCGGACGTAGTATCAGCCTAGATGGACAACTGAAGTTCAGCCAAGCTCCAGAGAGGTTGAGCGCGTGAAGGAACACACAATGTCGTATCTGTACTGCCCCATATGTGCCAGTGCTAGCATCAAGAACAAACCGGTCAATCCAAAGTTCTTCGACCATATCTGATGTTCGACCATAGATGATGCAAGGAGGATGCTTACGTCCTGATCTATGCCCTTCACTTCAACGTCACCAATAATCATCTCAGCCGAGAGTGATTCCCCAAGAAATGTCAGACCTAGTTGCTTGCGCACGATGCCTGGTCGTCACCATCAATTAAACAGTCTCGCACACAGACGGTGTAGCAACGTACCTTTTCCACCGTCAGCCCCAACCACCCAGCGGCAAGTAACGGTTTCCACCGTCTCATGGTCTCCGTCTCTCTTCGCTATATGCGCAGTAACGTAATCGGCATTCTGCTCAAGGCTTCTTAGTTCAGTGCCGAGTTCAACGTGGTAGCCGAATTTCTCCAGATGCGAGCGCAGGATCGCCTCTCCATGTGCCTGGCCAAGCAGCCAGGCACTGACCTACGACCAGGAATCCATGAGTCCTGCCCACCGATGATGATCGCTGAGACCTACGTATGGCTTTGAAGGAGAAGGCACGAGCGGAGGGCTCAACCAGAAGGCCTTGTCTACTTCCACACCACCCGGAAGCTTGTAGACTTGTATCTTCCTGGGCGGGATGCCCTTCTGCAAAACATCGGGCAAGACACCCAGCAAGTTGTAAGCCTCAAGGGTTCTGGGCTTGAGCACGGTCAGATTGCGACAATGGATGAGTGCCACGGACTGCATGCCTGGATGCCGGCGCCGCGCTGACCGACGTGGAAGTTGATCTCCTTCTCGATGATCCGGAAGGGTATTCCGTTCTGCGCAAGCGTCAAGGCGAGTGTCAGCCCTGTCGGGCCTGCGCCGACCTAGCCAGGCATAATATGTCAATCAGGTTCTGCCGCTGCATACAAGTTGGAATATGGACAATGACGCACAATAAGGACGGGCAGATGAGTAGTGGAAGACATGTTGCTGTTGGGGGCGTCGGTGAATTGCTTCAGACCTTACTGATTATCCTGTCAGGACGGCTTGCTGTTACCAAATTGTGAGCTCTTTTATATTACAAGAACGGCACATATCATACACGCAACCCCTCGGCAGAAAACGGCAGACAAGCAAAGCCCAGGTCGCCCATCAAGCCCGTACTATGCGTGACTGAAGCAATGAATGACAGCGAAGGCAACGTGAGTTTAGTCTGATTGAGCGGGTCAGTTCGGATGGGGCCGATCTAGCGCAGCAACCGCCGACGGGGCGCGTCATTCTCGCACACGTAAACGTGTTCTCGTCCTCGCCACGATCAGTGTGTATTATGCAACGGAAATAAATCAAAGACGCGGAAGCATTGCAATTTCATGTATTTGGATCGCGTATACTCTGACAATGGGCAACTAATCATTGCTGGAGGATTTCCGTCATAGCCGATTGGTACGCAAGGTCAGACAAGGATATCCGAAGCCCTCAGAGGTTGAAGGAATTGTCTCGTCTGCGCACGGGAGAATATACGCAAGTCCCATGCAGATCAATCACTGTGAGCACTTCGGTACGACGGAGGTTCAAAACAAGGCAGGAAATATACAGCTAAAGTACTCGTGCAGTGTGGCCGAACGATAACAAACATAAAAGCACCCTCGTCGATAACATATGCATAATATGCACATTGCAGCGGCGCACCATGACCAACTACTAACACGAAGCGCATGCCTTTCCCGCTTGCAATGCAAAACGCACGACGGTGCAGCGGAGTCACCGCGAACTGAATGACATCCGGAGGGTATGGCTAAAGGACCTCGAGCTCAAGCACCAGCCAGCCTGCATGCATTCAGGGTAGAAGATGAGCACTGTATGGCGAATCGTCGCAAATATGCCGAAAAACGACGTCGACATGGCAAATGTACTTCATTTTGCAGGTACAGACAGCTGAACTAAATACATCCAACATTTCGTCCTTCAGTACGACTACCACAAGGCATCCACCGACAAACAAACTGTGTGGCCTCCATACCAACATCAAGCCGATGCAGTGAAAATACCACGGAAGTACGCCTTCAATCCATCGACCCCACGAGCAATCGCTCCGATAACACCATCGGGCCTAACAATGACAATCGTCAAGCCACCCTTCTCGACGGCGTAGCCGGAATACGCGTGCCCGTCACGGTCGACCAGCGACAGGTTCGCGCCATCGACGTGCGGGGTGCTCGAAGCATCCTGTAGGTAGATCACCACGGATTGTATCGCGTCCGCAGGATACGACGTTAAAGCCTCCAGTGCGGGTCCGGCGTGCGCGCTATCGGGAGAGAATACCAATATGGTATGGCGAGTCGTCGAGAAAATGCGGAAGAGGGAAGTCGGCTGCTCAGACGCATCGGTGCTCTTGACGTTGACCAAACCCGGGGCATCAGGCGCTCTGTCTCCCGCCCTCGGCACGTCGCCACTGTTGATTCCATATGGATCCATGGGCTCCGTCGCGCCCACCGGAGCACGCTCGTCGCGGACGATCGAGCTCCAGCGGTAGTTCACGCCAAGCTGGCGCATGTGCTCTCCACGGTTCCACCCGGCCTCGTTGTTCATACCGTTGGCCGTCCGCGCGAGCACCGAGTGGAAGATCGCTGTCGTCTCCTCAAGCATCGCTTTGATGACTGGCAGGCGCTCTTCGTTGTAGGTGGAGAGGAGCGAGGGCGAGGCGAGCCCCTTCTCGACGAGTGAGAGCTTCCATGCGAGGTTGAGCTGTGGGAAGAGCAAGCTGAGTGTGGTGCGAGTTTACATTGCGACACAGAGGCGTACCGCGTCTTGGACACCTGAATTCAACCCCTGTTGCGGAAATTAGTGGGGTCCTCCTGACAGGAGAAAACATAACTAACCTGACCGCCTGCCGGACTGTGTACGTGCGCTGCGTCTATGGGGCAGTCAGTACATGTTTGACGTCGAGAGCATCAACCATACCTCCTGCCACGAACACTCGCCCTTCACTGAATTTGTTCACCATCCGCACATTGGGCCTGCGTAAAGCTCAGTCCAACGTTTTCCAGGGAATGAAGTAGTGTTTCCTACCTGTAGTCCGACTTCCATGGCACTGCACCAAATTCCAACTCCTTCCTGTCGCTGGCCTTTCGAATTGCATCAAAGAGCTCGTGATCGTCCATCATGATATTTGCATAGTCTATTTTGCCGGAGATGGCGAAGAAAAACAGGTTTTCATCCTCAGTCGGACGTAGTATCAGCCTAGATGGACAACTGAAGTTCAGCCAGGCTCCAGAAAGGTTCAGCCCGTGAAGGAACACACAATGTCGTATCTGTACTGCCCCATATGTGCCAGTGCTAGCATCGAGAACAAACTGGTCAATTCCAAATCCTACGACCATTTATGATGTAACGAGGATGCTCACGTTATTATCTATACCCTTCACTTCGACGTCACCGATAATCATCTCAGCCGAGAGTGATTCCCCAAGGAATGTCAGACCTAGTTGCTTGCGCACGATGCCTGGTCGTCACCATCAATCAAATAGTCTCGCACTTAGACGGTGTAGCAACGTACCTTTTCCGCCGTCAGCCCCAACCAGCCAGCGGCAAGTAACGGTTTCCACCGTCTCATGGTCCCCGTCTCTCTTCGCTATATGCGCGGTAACGTAATCGGCATTCTGCTCAAGGCTTCTTAGTTCAGTGCCAAGTTCAACGTGGTAGCCGAATTTCTCCAGGTGCGAGCGTAAAATCGCCTCTCCGTGTGCCTGGCCAAGCAGCCAGGCATTGATCTACGACCGGGAACCAATGAGTCCTGCCCACCGGCGATAATCCGCTGAGACCTACGTATGGCTTCGAAGGAGAAGGCACGAGCGGAGGGATCATCCAGAAGGCCTTCTCTATCTCCACACCGCCCGGAAGCTTGTATAGTTGTAACTTAGCGAATGGGATCCCTTGCTGCAAAATGTCGGGCAAGACACCCAGCAAGTTGTACACCTCAAGGGTCCTGGGCTTGAACATGGTCAGATTAGCGACAATGGATGAGTGCCAGAGACTGCATGCCTGGATGCCGGCGCCGCGCTGACCGACGTGGAAGTTGATCTCCTTCTCGATGATCCGGAAGGGTATTCCGTTCTGTGCAAGCGTCAAGGCGAGTGTCAGCCCTGTCGGGCCTGCGCCGACCTAGCCAGGCATAATATGTCAATCAGGTTCTGCTGCTGCATACAATGTGGAATATGGACAATGACGTACAATAAGGACGGGCAGATGAGTAGCGGAAGACATGTTGCTGTTGAGGCGTCGAAGAATTACTTGAGACTTTACTGATTATCCTGTCAGGGTGATTTGCGACTGTCGAACTGAGAGCTCTTTTGTACTACTAGTGCAAGAATGGTATATATCATACACGCAACCCCTCGGCAGAACGCAGCAGACATATGAAGCCCATCAAGCCGTAGATGTATTGAGCGTATGCGTAACTGTTCGGCGGTGGGAGCGACAGCGCGGCTGAGCGTGGGGCTGGATCAGCAAATTGTTGCGAATGGCCGCCCACCGAATCTTCTATGGCTAGCCAGAACGGAAGTTCACGGCCATCGTGGGTGCGGCTGAATAGCCGAAGCAATGACATTGGCTAAAAGGAACGTGCGGCGTCGTATGACAGTCTGATTGAGTGGCAGGTCAGTGGTGTGGCCGTTGTAACCCGCGCAGCAACCGCCGACGGGACGGTCGTACATGAGATCACGCACACAATATTGTTTCAGATATCCACCTCGTCCTTGCCACGTTCAGTGTATACATTATGCAACCGAATCGAAGACGCAGCAGCATTTCACATTTCATGTTTTTGAATCATGTAGATTCTGTGTACAATGCGTTTACTCACCATTGCTGGAGGATTTCCACGGTTATATATCCGATCGTTACGGAAGTGCCGGTCCGGGCCACATCAGTGCTATTAAGGTCAATTTCTCACAAAACAAGAACCTGTTCCTGCCTCAATACAAGGAAGCACTGGAAGAGTAACACTAGAAAGAGATCGTAGTCGATGCCTTCATGACAGGAGTGTTGTAATCTGGGCGCGGAGCCCGGATAAGTGAGGCCCCGGTGCGACCAGCGCCACCGGCGTGGGAGCCTAAGTAGCGCGCGTGTATATAGTAGGACGCGGCTACAATGAGACGGGCCATCGGTTTGGCCCCGTGGAGTCATCTCCTAGAGTGCGGGCGACTCCCGAATCCCTGGCCGCTGTGCGGGCTGGCTGGGAATCTCAACA